TGCCAGCTAATGAACTCCAAGCAGGGTCTGTTCCATAACCTTTTGTGGAGCACCCTACTTCCTACTTTCAATATCAACTACTACCAGTTGAGTAATATCCTGGCTTGCCATGAAATCCAAGTGTGTATATGCAGTGTGCTCATAATTATCCTCCAGTGAATTATAATGTACACTTAAATGAGAAAATTAATACAGCTCATAATGATAGACACCATCAATGTAATATTTATCAGGAGTAGGACAGAGATGAGATAAGACAGTAGATCAACTCCTTCATCTTCTTCCAGATCCCTGCTAATAGAAATGTCTATCCACAACTCTATGAGGCTGCCTACTCTCTATAGTATTGCTTGAAGAATGGACAGTAGAAGAAGTGTTATCCAAAGTCTTTCTATCCAGAGATAGTGATGAAGAAGGATGGCTATCCCAAATATTCTAGATATGATAATGGTTGCACTATCCAGAAGAATAATGTTGTTATTACTAACAAAAATGTGGTTACCCACTCTCTCCAACTGCTGGTGGAATTTAACTGCCACAATAATTTGGAAGTTTATGCTTCTATTAAGTCTGTCAAGTATATCCATAAGTTATTATTAATTGGTTTATAGTATCCAACTTGTAATTCTGTATTTTCTCTTGTTTAATAAATTGCTTTTATTCACTATTGGCCATAGGATTTAATACATATGAGTACATTTGTGTTTTACTTTGTGTTTATTAATCTACTAATGACTCTTGTTTTTAATTTCTCAATTTTCTTAATAGAGTACATATTATTCATGGTTTTCCATGAAATATGTCTATATCACTCCACTACAATATACTTATTTAGAAAATGTTTTTGCAGGACAACATATGTGGGAAATATTTTTCACAATTATCTGACATGTGTGGGATTTTGTCTTAGTCATTATTATGAATGACTGAGCAAAAAATTATTCAAAAATATTCTCATCTGAGTTACATTCTGACTTCAGAGTAAAGAGAGACTATTTTATAGTAATTTCTATGGTATTAGGCTTATGAGAGAGTATTAGTTATTCATGCATTGAACTAGTTTGATACAAGTCATCTAGTGTAAATGAGAAATCAATTATTTTTAATTGTGGATTTGCAGAGAGTGATAGTCTATAAGCTGACTGAGTCTAATTTATCTGTAGTGTTTAGGAAGGGGTATTATAATGAGTTGGTTATCAGGTTGTTCTCAGGCAGAGGAAGGAGACATTCACCTGTTAGGATTCCTGTATTTTCTTCTTCACTTTGTTTGATGTCTGATTCAATTTTTATGTAACTTTGAAGAGATAATTACATGTCTCATTCTATTACCATGATATGGTCACAAGTCTACCTAATAGTATGAGTCTCAATGGGGATGTATTTCTTTTGCATGTCATGTAAATGAACTTCCTAACTAATCTATTTAACTCTCAGCTATAGTTAACTAACTTTGAAGGTGCTCTTTATTTGAATAGATCTTTGAATAAATAAGAATAAGAGTATACTAAGATCAGATTATTTACTATTTTAATTACTAAAGGCATTAGTTTAACACTAACACCTTTAATTTGATATACCTTATACTAGGCCACTTTCACTAATTTTGTGGTGACTATAATAAAATCAGAAAATGATGCCTGTGTGACAATTAGATACCAAAAAATAGAGTGGGTGATTATGAGAATCTTTTTAAGATATTAGTGGTTCTCAAAGTCAAACCTTGAAAAGAATTCATAGCAAATTCGGAATGCTCACATGAATGATGATCCTGAAGATGGAGAAATAGTCAAGGTTGGTACTTGCAGTGTGGATGATGGTGCCATTGTGGATATTGTCCCTGCATCTGCAAATGTGTCCTCCACTGTCTAGAATGGGACTGAGTTTGCTGGTAATGCAAGTCTTTGCTCTTTTGACTCCTATAATCCTCTATGCCCTCTCCAGCTCAATGCTAACACTGATTGGAATGCAGACACAGAGGCCACTTCTCATATGACCCCACATCACCATTATATTTGCAATTACATCCCAAAATGAGTGCCAATTCGACTGGCAGATTCTACCATTGTCTATTCAGCTGGGGTGGGGTCAGTGGTCTTTAATCCTATATCAGTGGGTGAGGTAAAGAGTCTTAGAGTGGTCGAGTTCACTTGAGTCTTGCATGTACCTGATCTTCATAACAATCTCCTCTCAGTTCTGTATTTCACTTGAAACTACAGCTTCCATGTTGATATATCTTCTTACATGACCTTCTGTCAACCTAAGGACTCTTCTCTGTTCTACGTCTCTATCAACTCCAACAATGCTGTATTTCTGGATGGCACCACCTCTCCTATAACCGAGTTCGCTTCCCCAGCCTCTACATATCCTATGGACATTGCCCTCTGGCATAGACAATTCGCTCATTACCACATAGGTGGTGTCAGACACTTATCAACCACAATCTGGTCACTAGACTTAGGCTGGACTCAAGGGTGTCGCCAGACCCTATCTGCGAGCCTTGTCTTGCTAGTAAGATGCATATCAACCCCTTCCCTCCTAGTGAGTGGAGGGTGAGCCATCCTTTGGAGCTTGTCCACACTGATGTTCACCAGCTCCCTTACTGCACTTCCAGTGGTTGTTGCTATTGGGTCACATTCATTGATGACTACTCATGTTACCCCTTTGTCCTGCCTATCAAGGCCAAGTCGAACATCTTTGAGGTGTTTAAGATGTTCAAGGCTTATGCTGAGAACCAGTCTGAGCAAAAACTCAAGACTCTGAGGGACCACCCATAGCTGCAGGCATCCTATTGATAGGTGAGACACTCTGAGTGTACATAAGATCCAGGGTGTGTTAATTTGTTAAAGTAAAGAAAACAAAAAAAAACCTTTGATACAGAGACCATGGGCAGAGCCTAGATGTTGTTGTCCCCATCTGTGATAATAAGTGTAGGAAATTGTATGTGTGGGCCTGCCTGACATTCCTCATCGTCTTCTCACTCATCTTCAAAGCCACCAGCCTTAACAGTATTACAAGAGAGATGTTTCATGGAGTCTGTGGAACACAAGGTCAGTGATTTAATAGAAGAAGAAGAAGAACATACCAGCCATGCCTCCAGCAGTTGCAGGGGCACTGTTCAGATGGTGTGTTATGATCTTTTGGGAGGTGATATTACACCACCCTTCATGGAGACCACTTCGAGGGGGCTGTGAAGAGACAAGGTTGGACAGAGAACTCTCAAAGCACACCATCATGCACTTCTGTCACCTCACAATTAAAATTGACAATTGAGTCATGATAGGAAAGTTCAATGTCCTCAACATAAGTAACAAAGACATGATCCTTCTAGGAAAACCCTGGCTGAATGCCATGAACCCTGATATTGATTGGACCAACAACACCCATTAACTACTTGCCACTCCCCAATCCCTTCACCTCGAAAACATCTTCCAAAACTATATGAAACTTCTGTGACAGAAGAACTTGAGAAAGAAAGCTTCCATCTCTTGCACAACCCACTGCCTATGAACAGCAAAAGAATCCTAGAACAAGTAAAACAGAAAGAAGAAAACATTTCCATGATGCCCTAGAAGAATTCTCCACATCCAGGCATTCACAAGCATTGAGGATCAACAGTTCATGCAGAACCACAAGGGGTTCATATCTCAAAACTGCCTTTTTATGTGTGACTTCAAATTTTTACTCATTTATTCAGTCTGTGGGTGGGATGGTGCTGTTCTGATGTGGCACTCTGGAATAATGCATGCATGCACGATCTACCAATTCTGCCTAGAAGATACTTTCTGGCTGATTCCAGCTTCGGAGCATCTGATGCACTACTATTCCATACTGTGATGTCTGGTATCATCTTAAAGAGTCAAGTCTATGTAAATAACTACAAACATATTCTAATAGAATAATGGTGAAGGTAGCAGATGGACCTGCAGATGCCGCAGAATGACAACAAGCAGATAGCATCATGATGCAATGTGAGAGGACTATGTAGTAGAATGCATGCAGCGTTGATGCAGACTGGCACTCAAATTGTAATAATACACTGATGAAGATCTGTAGAGCTTAGCAAAGAACTCCCATGATATCTCAATTAGCTATGACTTACCACATACTGGTTCCAGGGCATGGTCGATCGCTGATGGTCGAAAACCAGCAAATGAGTTCACAAGGATACAGCACACCTTGAAAGGTGAATGAGAATACAAGGATGACTTGTGCAATGTACAGACCCTGAAATCCTGGCAGGGTTGGATCATCTTGATAAAAACACAATCATGGTGAGGATGATCACCACACCAGTTAGGTGCAGCACGGAAGGTATGACATATCATACCATTGACTCCACAAATATCACTAGCAGCGTGAAACAACACAACTGCAGAATGGAAAATATCCACCTTGCCATTGAAGTTTGGGCATTTGACACATCCATTTCATGCCTGGGTATAGCATAATCAGGATTGCGCAGATCATGCAGAAATCAGTGTACAAGGTCACAAAAATGAGGAATGCCAATGTGTTTACCAATTGGCTGGAGCCATTGTGGGTAACCATGCACTGAAGAAAAGAATGATTTAGGATTATCATGGCAAAAGTCAAATGATCCCACCTTGTCTCTTCACTAATTGTACAATAACCTCAGCCTCATCGTCATCATCCGCAATAGCCTTTGAGGTCCAGATCATCACGGTAAAGGGAGAAGTTTGGGTTGTTCAGTGCTACATTCAGGTTAATGAAACTTCTGCCAATACAAAACATCTGAATTACCATCACAATATGTATCTGGGTCAATTGGAATGACACCAGGTGGAAGTAAAGGTTAATCAAGTAGACCCTCAGCAGTTTTCTTGGCTTGGAATGATGTGTTTGTTGAGCCATTGGTTGTTTACTAGCATTTGACCAAGGGGTAAATAGTCACTTGAGCATCTCCAGGGCTCCTTACTGTCTTATGGTGTTTCGACTCTGTGAGGGAAGAACATAATCCATTGGGAGCACTGAACTGCTGTTTAGATAACAGTAATGACACAAAGAATGTTGTTAAGGTAGAGAGATTCCATTTGGAGTGATGCTGAATAAGCAACAAGGGGCGTGAAACAATATCTACCGAACCCCACTGGATCACTCATCATGATGCCTAGGCGTGCAGCTTGCTTCAACGGTTCAATCACAATGTCAATGCATTGATGAAGTAACCAGTCTGCCAGAACACCATACATGTGTTTGACCCTATGGATAAACTTTGCAACAGGAAGTAGAGTGAGAGGGATATATGCCTGGAGGGATCCTTTAGCACATACATCAGGGTCGATATTGGCGAGAGTGATGAGGAGCGGATGGGCATAGCGGTTGCCAGCAAGGTTGCTGACCTTGGTCTTGTCTGAGGAGAGGACCACACCAAGTAAGGTCGCGCCATCAGGCAAATCTTCCTGTATTATTGATTAGCTTTGCTGAAGAAGTCGAGAGTTGAACATACCTGAAGTTTCCAAGCACGGTCACCAGTCATGAAACCATAGTAAACATGAACAGCATGTTCTGCCTCAGCATAGACTTTGTGTGGGATGAAATCAAAACTATCGGCCAACATGGGGTGGCTAAGAAGTGACTGGAGGCACTCGATTGGATCCCAGTAAAATATCTGGAGGGTCTTTGTCATTGGGAACTCTGCAGGGACTATTTGATATTTCGTTCAAGACATATATTCGCTAACTTTTAGTAGTCATTTAGTGGAGTGTATCCTGAGAGTGCTGAGGAGGCCATGTACTTGCTGGAGATGGTGTGGGCAGATCTGGAAGTTCGACATATTGAAAGGGAACTCACTGATCGGCTCCTCCTCCAGCTTCAGGTCCATACATGTTATTGGCAGCTCAAGGCCAAGAGAGCAAAAAAACAATTTGGTGATGTGGAAATGAATGTAGGGCGTGTGCACTCTCTGGTGGTGGTAAGGAATGGTTTTAGATGTTCAGAATGCTCAATTTGTCATTCAAAACCTGACATCCTTTCTGGTATGTCATTGGTTCGCACTTGTATACTCGACTAATATTCGTGTTCCAAAGCAGTAGGGTCAGGTGTATCTGAATCATGATGTTTTTTTCGTCTCATTTTAAATTGTATTTACCTTCACAATCCTTCACAAACATATGCACATTAGATTAGTTTTGATGTCAATTACATACCTGTTATTAGAAATTGCACTATGAATGAAATACCACATGATGGCCATAGCACCCAAAATTTAAATTAAATTTTTGAAAGGACCTGCATATAAGTCTGTAGGTTTCTGTGAGTCTGTAGTGTCTGTAGTGTCTGTGCACTGCACCACTGTGCGCACTGTATGGCTGTGGGAGCTTTGTACCCCAAATAGGCAGTTTGCTGATGCACAGCTAAGTGCCTTCTTTACAATCCTGTCACAAAGCCTTACAATCCATACACAAAGGCACAATATTGACAGACTGGACAGACTAGACAATGTAGACAAACCAGACAGTGTGGACAAACTGGACATTGCAGGCAGACTAGATTATTGTAGACAGATCAAACAACATTGTAATGGCTCATAAAATCTACTAAATAATGATATTATTATCCTCGCTGTCCACTGCACTGTCCGAGTCATTGCAAAGTTCACCTATCATCCCCTCCTTGGCCCATTCCCTCAGCATCTCTTCAAGCTCCACACAATGTTTGGGAACATCCATCAATTTGTCAATGGACTTTCACAGTATGTTGAAGTCAGCCCTGCACATCTCAGTGGTAAGGTCAGGCACCTTGTCAATACCACTGTCGCAGAAGCCAGAGAGAACACCCTTCGCCTGTTAAGCATTGATCAGTGAGGAATATAAAAATTGATTAAGGCAAAGCCTACAACTGTGGCCACCAGAATAAGGCCGTTGACAGGAATTTGGTGTTGAAATTCATCAGTTAGCTTGAGCGCTTTTTTACCATTGCCATAGTAAAAACTGAGGCAGGCTTTCTTGAGAACCTGTGACACAAAATTGGTATATTTTCCCTGTAAACGTCAATAATGAATTGTTGCACACCACAAGGTTGCCACTGACCTCAGAAGAGTTGGGGAGCCGAAGATATTCACCAGTCTTAAGGAGCTTAGCTGCTGCTGCACTGACGTGCTCCTTGTGCATTGAGTTGCCCTTCAAAAATATGCTGTATTATAGTTCATGGATTTCTTAAGGTCTTCCAGTGTAATATTGGCATTGATTTTGTGGAGAACTTCTTCATCAGCATCAAGAGGATCTGGCATAGCATCTTCAATGTAGCTCGGTGATGGTGCACATGAGTGTGATGGATGATGGGGTGGGTTGTCGTGGTCTGGTTCATCGAGACCATCAAAAAACTCTCCAAGTTCCAAGTCAACTTTATTTTCCTAGTACATTACATTAGTCTTTGCATATTGTGAAAGAATGGATAAACTCACTACTATCTGAGATGAACTGGCCAATTCCTGTGGCTCAGTCTCAGAGTCTTCTCCCCGATGACATTGTCCTGACACAGAGGTCACTAGTCGAGCACTGTGACTGGCCATATTTCCCAGTTGCAACTTATCAGAAGACAGCCCTGTTAAAAATGCTTGAAAGTCTTGACTGAAGTGTGGCTCCTGGCTGGAGCACAGTGGGGAGTATGTCTGGTGTAGGTCTTGCAAGACACTTTCTTGCAGTATCGTAGATTCATACTTATCAACCAGATCAAGTTCTGACTGAAATTAAGTTCTTGTGGAAAGTCTTCGAGTGTCTGTGTAGGCTGAAAGAGTGCTCAAATGATCATGAAATATATATATGACTCTAAGTATTGCTGATGTAGTGAGCCACGAGCCATATTACATACTACATACATACCACCCGGCAGAACCTTAACTGCTTATATAACATATTGCTAACTCTTGTCCCTCATGTGTCAGCCAAATAGGGATCTGCATGGGTATGGGTAACCCATGCGGGTCGTGGGTATGTGTGGAGGTTGGTTTTCGAGGCACCCATACCTTACCCATACCCTCACTGTGGGTTAGCAACTAAAATTGTGCTGGATTGCTACAAATAAAAATTCTGAGCTCACTACTGTACAGCTGTCAGGGACTCAAACCTTATCTGTAGTCTAAAGACAAACATAGCTATCATATTGCCTGTCACCTCTACTACCAATCACACACCCAAGTCCAACATGTTCAGATCCATGAGCAAACAGATAATGAAACTGACAGATAAAGCCAAGGCGGCCCTTGAGGGTTCCAGCGAGAAACAGAAGAATGATGCAAGTAGCATGACCAGTACTAATGAGCCCAAGAAGGCAAAACCCAACCAAATCAGCGGAAGCTCTAAAGATAGAGATACAGAACTACTCTCACCATCTCTGCCTGCAGAAGTTTTTTTTTCTAAAAAAAAATCCAATTTCTGTCCTTTGCAGATGAGGCTCTATGTAGGACATTTCGTTCTAGTCTATGGGACCCCCCCCAGTGTCCTTTTTGCATCTCCAGGCGCACGGATGCCCTGATGTAAGGCGTGCCCCCATCAGTCCGCTGTTCCCACTGGCCGTTTTAGGCGTGCCGCCTTGTTGATGAGACAACTTTTAAGTGGTGTGTACAGTGAGTATGTGACTATCATATATAATATCTGAACACGTACTCTGTTGCCATTGGCAACAGGTACAGGAATTGGGAGGGAGGTAGCTTTTTATCCGAGTGCAGTGATCAGAGCATGACACTTACGACGGTAGAATGGGCAATCGAGGAGTAGGTGTGTCACGGTTTCGTTTGTGCCTGGACAATGCGGACAATGTGGAGATGGAGTCTTTCCTATGCAATGGAGGTGGTGATGGGTAAATTTGCTGCGGGGCTGTTGTTACGGCAGCTTTCTGCCGCCCTTTTTGCATGCTTATCTGCTTCTTCATTGCCGTGTACATCAGAGTGGCCTGGGATCCACCGGACAGTGACATTGAAGTCTCTGTGTTCCTTTGCTATGTCAGCTAGCCTGTTACAAAAATTATTGGTTAAGTAGGATCCTGGGCGCGAGTGGTAATTTTCACCAGATTGTATTGCAGCTTGATTGTTGACAAGGATGGATACCAGGAAAGAGGGGGTCTACCTCTGTGGCCAGCAGTTCAGCTGCTAAGTTCAGTCCAATGGCCTTTGCTTCAAATACAGTATGTTACTTGTCCGTACCGAGGTGATATTGAAGGGTTCTTGGGCATTGGCCCATATGAAATAGAGTTGCTGCGGCCCCGATCTTACCTTGATGGCCTGACCCGTTGCTATAAATTTGAATGTCATCAGTAAGTTGGGAGTGTTCTTCTATGGCTTGCTGCTTGGATTCAGCTATCCAGACTTTGTGGATGTTAGAGCTTTGAGGGGGTTTGCATGCTGGAATGAGAGACTCTATGTTTCGGGGGATGATAGCGAAGTGACGGGTGAGGAGGTGGAGAGAGGAATGATGGGCTCCTACGTAATGGTTGGCAGCACGCCGTACAGGGTCATGGAGAGGGTGAGTTTTGGGGTGGGGGGTGATACAGACTATGGTGCGGTGACATGCATTTTGCAGGAGGAGTGACATGGGGAGAAGGTTGGCGTGAGTCTCGAGGAGGTCGGTGGGAGTCATTCGCATCGCTCCTGTAATGGCTAGGGCAGCCAGACATTGTACTGAGCTGAGGTGTTTGGCTACTCCGATCAAGCCACACTGCGGGAGATCTGATCCATCGCGGTACATAGGGTTGAACCATAGATCTGCGGCATAGAGTATTTTGGGTGCTGCTACTGCTTGATAGAGCTGTCATATTAGCTGTAGTGGGATGCCCTTAGTAGCGGAGGAGAGTCTATGTAGCTGAAGAATATATGCCATTCCCTTGGCCACTGCATTGTCAATCTGTGCTGTCCATCTCAGCTCTTGGTCTACTATTCTTCTTGATGATTTTGAGGTCCTCGTGACAAGGGTGGTTGGGGAGACCGCGTAATTGGTATACCAGCTGGCTGAGATCATTAACCTGTCGACACATATTAGTCAGCTCGCGATTCCACCATCGCTTAGAGTGGGGACAGGGCTTCGAGTGAGGGACTTGAGCTTTGATGGTGGTGGTGATGGCATTAGTAAGGAGCTTTGCCGCTTGCTGGAATTCATCTGCTGATGCCAAGGGCATTGGTTTGTGCTATGTTGAGGTTGAGGACTAGATGAATAGGAACATGGTCAGTACATGGACCTCGTTGTCCTAGGTCCGTGTTACATGTGACTACTACTTCAGCTACTTGTTCGGTGCCGAGAACATTGTCAGGTCTCGTCCAGTTACCGGTGGATGTAGATTGTAGCATAGGTATACCGCATGGGAGTAATTGGAGCATGCCATAGTTCGCTATAAGATCTATTAGTGGTCCCGCTGCGTTATAATTGAATAGATGTTGGTTTCTGTGTTCCTCCCACAGTGGATGGTGTCTGTTGAAGTCTCCTAACCACAGCATATGGTCGTTTTCTGAGGGGCAAAGGATACTGATGTTCTGTTCTAAGTACTCATCGAGGGCTTTGAGTGTTCTTTGTGAATTTCCATCATTGTAGATGTTGAAGATGGAGCATAGACCAGATGGGCTTGATATCTGCATGAGTACGATGTCGGACAAGGGGAATGCAATTTGCTTCCAGGTGTTGGTGTCCAGGTTCAAATTGATGAGCATGATGGTTAGTATTGTTAGTTTGTTCAGACATTAGTGAAAGAAGGGGAGGAGGAACTGTCAGAGAATGGGGTGGAGTCCTGTTGGAAAGATTGGGTGATGATAGCGTGAATGTTCTCGTCTTGAGGAGGCTGGGAGGAGATGAGAGGAGGGTGATGCTGCTGAAAGTTGATGGTAGATTGACATAGGCGGGGCGATCCAGGACCTTGCGAGTGTTGACCAGGTGAATGTGAGCCTTGGGTGGATCTGAGAGGTTTTGGGGGGTGAGTGATCTGAGTCCAGACATTTTTGGTGGGGAAATAGGGCATTCAGTTTTCAGGGAATTTCTCGTCAATGTCTTGACAGTGTTTTGCAAACTCTGGACACGAGCAGCTCTAACTCATGTGTTGCTGGCTGCAGCAGTTGATGCAGCGTGTGGTTCGGAAGGAGTTGCAGGATGAGGTACAATGATTGTTTCCACAGGTGCCGCAAACATCTTGCATGGACATACAGTTTTTCACTATGTAATTGTACTTTTGGCACTTGGCGCATCTTAGGGGTTCCTTCTTGTCCTTTCGGATGCTGACACATTCATTTGCAATGCAGAGGCCGTCCCTTAGTATGTCATCGGCTGTGTGAATGTCAGTGATGTGAATCATTGCGAAAGCTTTCCTTTGCTGTGGTGAGTGTTTTGCCATAGGTTTGATCCATCCAATGCCGGCCAGAGACGCTGGTGGTAAGTAGTTTTCCAGTTCAATCTGTCGAAGGAAGTTCTCATCCTCAATCTGTAGATGGATAGGTAAGTATTTCAAAACTATTGGGTAGGATCGGTAACAGAACGATACTTCGATGTCGAGATGGCTCTCCAGAGCCATTTTGCCAGGTGGATTGTTAAGCCATGAGGCTAGGGCTTCCGATTCAAGTTCAACTATGAGGCCACCATTTTTCAAGGCCATGACAGCTCTAACTTTGCCTTGGGGAGTAGACTCATCCTTTGCCTTGTCCAAAGCATCATTGAGTTTTTGCACGATTTCAGATGTGGGTGTGTTTGCTAGGAATAACGAGCTGCCCGGCTTTGGGTCCAAAAGTATTTGCCGGGCCCTTATAGCTGCTCAGCCAATAGCTTTGTCGATCATTGGGTCTAGGTTCGAGGTGACCGCAGTGCTATAGGATGGCATTGTCATAGGCTGAGGGGTAGGAGTTTTGGTCATCTGCGTGGCGAGCATGTCAATTTTCTCTTGCGTAGCATCTAGGGAGGGGGTTAGTATCTGTAAGGCTTTCTTGTATGTCTCCACTGATTTGTAGAGAGTGTCTGCTGATTCCTCAATACAGTCTGCGGACATTTTGATATTGTCCTCTTTCTTGGTGCATTCCCTGCCTATGGAGTTGTGAAGGGATATTGCATTTTCCATTGTCGTGGCAAGGGATTGAGAGGCATTGTGGACGAGAGCGACCTGAGGGGAGATGGCTGCGACTACGTGATCTACTAATTTGGAGGCTACATTGTCAGTGAGCTGCTTGGCGACTATGTTGGCTAGTTCGCTGGCCACATGGTCCTTCAAAATAAATGCTACCGCCTGAGTGGCAGCAATTACCGGGGCCAGAGTAGCACTAGCCATTTGTGTGATCTTAAAGAGAACTGAGATTAGGTGAAGTAATGTAAAGGGCTGGTCAATGTGGCATAGTAGTTTAGATTCTAAGAAAACTTTGCTGCTGTTCAAATCCTTGACCTTGTTGGCTTGCGCCTCTATGGATTCTTGTGAAATATTTGATCTGACTGTTCTGCGCGTGTTAAGTCTGTAGACCAGGGAGGTGACGCACAGATCGGAGTTGCTCGCTTCTACGCTGGCACTTCTGCAGTTACCTGTGCCTGTGCTTGGCATGGTAGGGCTGTTGAGGTGGTCGATGGGGCTTGCTGGGGTGATGACTATAGGGGAGAGTTAGTATCCACGTTGGGTGGAGGAACACCGTTAGGCGTTGAGTATGCTGGTGAGCGCTTTGTTGGCTAGGAAGTTCCGGGGTCCTAGTCGGGGTGCCACTTGGTACGGGTCCAAGAAGTGATTGCCTGCAGAACATGTCCCTACTAAGCCCACACAATCTTGCAAAAGCATTGTCCAAACAGAGGAAGAGGAGGCTGTAATGTATGAAGATGCCATCAAAATCAACGACACCAACCAGAGCAGCAACAATGGTGTTAACAATGGTGTTTACAATGCCAACAACAACAATGAAGATGAGCCGTCCAATACCAATAAAGAGGAGAGCCCTGTGTTGAAAATTCCTAATTTGGATTTCAGCACCTTGTAACGTCTAAAGTGGGAGCAGACCTTTAAATGACTTATATTAACAGAGATGTCCTTGGAATATACATTGAAAGACACATGTAAATAACAGTTGCAATGGTGGTTGCAATGCATTGCAACTGACTTAGTCATCTTGAGATCGCGCTGATTAGTAAATGGCTTGAAATGGCTTGAAGTGGCTTGAAATAAGCTTGTAGGTATTGTAATGAAAATAAAATATTGCAATTTCTGCTATTGCCTTGTCAGAAGGCAAGCTATATCTTTAGTATTGTAATAATGACTGGTTCAAACTCTGAATCAAGACCTAAAACTTATAATATGATTTAGTTGATGTTTGCTTTTTATATAGATTTGGTACTTACTCAAATTCCAGGTGGGTGCTCAGGTAGCATAATATAATGACGTGGCCTGCTAATAGATGTACAAACAATCAGCGGTCAAAAAAGTTTGAGTTATGATAATTGTAAGAAACAAACTTTCGAGGAGGCCAACATCGTCATGTATTGGTAGATTCCATTTGGATCTGAATATGAATTGAGTTGTTGATTAAGAGGAAGAATGGTGAGGGGAAAAGGTTCAGATTAAACATTGTATCAATGAAGTGCACATTGACGTTGGTCTAAGAGTGTCAAGTGGTTGGTTGTGGTAGAGAAAAAAGAGGTATAAACATGTTCACTCAATACTTAATAGCTCCGACACTCACTGTACTATTAATATTATGTAATAGACTCAAAGTAACAGCTGCAGTTGTAGTCGTCAATTCAGAGTCCTAATACATGGGCAAAATTGAGTAATATTACTTGCAAGAACAAGTTGCACAAGTTGCTGTGGTCTCAGAAGGTGCAATGGCATTCTTTTTTCTTCCCCTTCCCCTGCCTTCACCTTGCAATTCTCCTAAAGCCTTAGGTAATCCCTAAACAGTCCCATCAGTGTCAGTTTCACCCTTGTCAAAGTTGCTAAGGGCAGACACCCCCAAGATGCTCTCAATGGACTGCGGCACAAAGGTGGGCTCTTCGGCTGCAGCTATAACATTATCAGGTGCTTTCTTGTAGTTGTAGAAAAGTTCCTTGTAATTGATGTTCAATTTCTTCCCAATGCCAGATCCAGAAAACTCAGTGTCAGGTGAGAGAAAAAAAAAGCCTGTATCATTATGTCAGTGTGTCATATCCCATATTCCAGACCTACATCTAATAATATTCCCATGCCTCATCTGGACCTTCAGATGCCCTATCCATGTCACCAGTCCTCTACCCATCTGAATTCCTGCACCTCTGCACCTCCATATCCGCACATCCAGATCCAGATCCCTTTACCTCCATACATCAGACCTCCATACCTCTGCAGCTAGCCTGCATCATTCATCATTTGTCCTATCACCCTGATGTCATATCCCACATTCTGGACCAACATCCGACGATGTTCCCATGCCTCATCCGGACCTCCAGACCTTCTGTCCATGTCTCCGGACCAAATCCTCTATCTGTCCGGATCTCTGTATTCCTGCATCTGATATTCACATCTCCAGATCTCTGGATTTGACCTATGCTTCATATCTGAACCCAAACCTTAAATCAGTGCTCATCCCCTTATGGTAATCACCTGTCTCCAGACTTCTGAACATCCAGATCTGACCCGCGTCTATCTTCCATGCCTTTTCCCTTTGTACATTCCTTCTCAAGTTAGACTATACTCATTTTCCGTACCTCATTTCATTTCCGGCTTTATTTTCCTATGTTCTCATCTCCATCTTCATTTACTATGTTCTACATGCTCCGTCCACAGCCTCACATAGCTTTGGACTGCACTGACTGATTCTCTGTTAAGTCCTCAGTCACTGCAGGCATTTCCTCATTTTCCTCCACCAAACATCCAAAAAAACATTGAATTAAAAGATGGAAATTTCTTTGTATTGTGTGTATCAAAACATTGAAAAAAAATAATGAATGTATTGAAGATTTTCTGTATGCAAGACATAATCTAAAAATGAGTCATTTTCCCTCAAGAAACAGTCTATATTTTTCATTCATCATTCCTCAAATAACAATTTACAATCATGTTAATTTTTTTGCCTCTGTTTTTCCAATGATCAGTTCCAACATTGCATCCTGGCCAGTTTCATTGTACAATGGTAGAATCAAGACTAGCTAATTATTGGTTTGTAACCCCTATACTAGTCATTAGTTACAGAACTTCATTCTGGCTAAATAGCTTCTACAGCATGTAGAATCAAGACTGGCCAGTTATCAGTTTTAATATTGCATCCTGGCCGGTGTAGAGACTTGTGTGTCTCATGGTCTGATATGACAGTTTTCACTAGGGAGTACATAGCATGAACTTATAGTGTCACTCTGTGCGCTACCCGCAGCTATCTCTATATGAGGTGCAGTTTTCCCACGCAACGCGCGCCATGCGCGCACTCTTCCCGCGCTTTGCGATGTATATGTGCGTGCGTTCCCGTGCTTGAGCACCCTATAGCGCCAGCCATCCAGATGCATCCATCCACTGAACTGTACAAACAGGTAAGCATAAGGTTAAAAAAGTGCAAAAAATAAAGTAGAAGTCTCTCTCTGAACTAACTCTGGCTGGCATGTCTTTGGGTGGCACCTCAGTTTAACCGGCCAGCATGGTTATGCATGCTATCGTATCAAGCTAGCAAGGCAATTTAATGCGCTGGCCGGCCTGGTTTTACAGCCAGTCTATGCCATGCTGGCCAGCTTGATTAAAACATAAGTTAGCCCGGCCGGAGCTCTTGTACACTATGCAGTGTAGGGCTAGCCAGTGTGTATGATATTCTCAAGTGTGGTAGAGAAATTGAGCTGCCTCTCCTTAGAATGAGACCATGGATAAATGACTTGCCTTTCATATCTGGCTTGCCAGTCAGGAGGTACAGTAATGCGCCGTCACTTGCATCGGTAAAACTTTGAGAATGTTTCATGACACAACAACACATTTAAAAAAAAATCATGATTGACAATTACTTTCTAATACATGAACTATTGTGTATGATAGAATATTGAGAGCATCAGAGCATGTGTTGTAGAGCGGTGAATGAATCAAGAATAAGGCCTTTATCAACACTCCACTGGCACTTGCGTCGATCCCAAAAATGGTATTACTTAATGATAAGAACTAATTGTACGTGATTAATTATCGCTGATATGCGATAAGCTGATCAAACCTCTGAGCTCCCACCATCAGAATCGTTGCCGTCAATGTCGTTGTCTTCAACATCATCAAGAGTCGGTTTAGGTATTGGCAACTCTAATTTGCCCTGTTTTGGTTTTGTCCACCTTGGTCGACACTTCTCGAGCTTGGCACAATCTCTCTCCTCCTCCCTCAGCCTCACTTCTTCTTTGTATGTGGCTCGACGTTCCTCGTTTCTCTTCAGCCGCGCTGCCTCTGCTTCTTTCCATACTGCCATGGCAGCTGCTCTCCCCTCCCTTTCGATCTGATGAACTTCCTTTGCTGCTGCTTCCTCCTCTGCTGCTCTTTGATGCTCAGAGACTTGATTGTAGAACTCGTCACCAGTGAGTAACCTTGGCATCCCATCCATCACCCACCAATAGTGCGTTTTTCTTGCCGTTTTTTTTCTCCTCTTGTGCCGCGAGCTGATTAGATAAGCAGTCGCAGAACATTGATTGTAGGACTACTGTTGACTGCATCCCTAGGAGTGCACTTTTGTATTCGGACTCATGTCTGTATGCATCCCTCAGTGCCTCTTGGTACATCTGTTCCTTCTCCGATTCAGGATTGCGGTCCAACAGATCATGTCTCAGTAGGCAGGATCTCGTTAATGGAGACTGAATCTCTTTGGTACTGACACATGACCTTGGCAACGACACGGACAGAACTTGGTTGTGGCAGTGGTAACAGCCCAACTGAGGAAGTTTCGAGGCTTGGTGCCATCATGTCACTGGTGACAATGTTAGGGTTAAGTGGCCAGACACCTGTCTTGCGAAAGGCAGCGCGAATTGTTTCGGGGGTGAGTGCTTTATGATGAGCTCTTTCATAGATGGACACAAAGTTGGCCTTGGTAACCTTCTGTCATTTTTCAGTTTTGAATGCATCTCTCTCCTGCGTCCAGTACCATTTCAGTGGTCCGAAAACAACAACATCAAGACCTTGGTACACGTGAGTTGCATGTGCCGGATAGCATAGGACGTGAATCTTATTCTCCCTAGCATAGTCAAGGAATTCCTTTGTGTAGTGGGAGTTATGGCCATCTACAATAAGAAGCCGTGCTCGCCCGTTTGCCTTCTCGCAAGTCTTCTTGTCAAAATCCTCAATCCACAGACGGCCAATGACCCCATTAGTCCATCCTTTCAGGGCATGTGCAACACTTGACGGAGGTAAGCAAACACTTTCATTTGTGTGTTGAATCACTCACGATGCATTCAAAGTATTATCCTGGTGCCAGTTTGTCATTAAAGTCTGACCTTTGTAGATAATGGTTGGAGGAATCTCATTACCATCTGCACAGATGGTAACCATTACTGTGATATTTTCTCGGTTTCCGTCTTGCTGCTGATGCTGAGTCTTCCTATTCGCAGCTCCGATTACCCGCTCCTTGAGTCCTCCACCTGGCTGAGAGCCTGTCTCGTCAGCTGCCCAAAGGCAGTCATCTTCAATACCTTCAGTTTCGATGGTCCTGCCCAAAATGTCATACCATGCTTTGTTGGTAGATGGATTAACGGTCCGTCCACGAGCAGTATCCAAAGGTTTGCTCCAGTACTGGCTGAGACATGCGGAATGGCGCAGAATGAATCACTCGGTCCAGTTCTTTCCCACCCCATATTCTGGGAAGTTGGACTGAAGGCGAGCTTGTAGGAGCATGTCGACATGAAACTTGAGTCGAGAGTGATTGAGAGGGAATCCTCTGTTTCTGAGTTTGATACAGTATGCAACAACACTCTCTTCCTCCTCAGGTGAAAGCCACGCATTTTGTTCTGCATTGAACTGACCACAGGTCCATCCTCCCTCGAGCCTTTGTCGAAGTGTATCAGCACTGACAGTAACAGGTTTTCTCATTGCTTTCCACTTCTCCGCAACATCTCTGCAAATGGCTTTTCTGCTCTTCCTCTCACTTTCAGTCTTCTTCTGCTCATCATGGTATTCCTTCATCGCCTCTGCATAAGCTTTTTCTTGCTCAGCATGAGCCATCTGTTTCTTCTTTGCTACAGAACGGGCAATACCAGGCATTTTGTAGGAAAGATTTTTGTTAGTACACGATGTGCCAGATTGTAACATGCCCACCCTGATTTAGCTAATATCTGTCATGCATAACGTACTTAGATATGATAACTCATTGATTGTGAAGTCTTGTGTAACCCTTCACCGGCATTGAACTGGCACATCAGGAATGCTACAATCCTTACAAACAACACATGTCAGATGTCAGTAAAGGTAATCTTCATTGATATATGAAGTTTGAGTGCACTGCAAAAATCATTCAAAGGTGCTGTGTACAGAAAAGTGAAATTTCAGCTATAAATTACAACATCGTGACCTTTCCTCCTGGCAGATTTGAGATATTATACTAGCCATACATAGCTCTACATGCCATGAAAATACATCAGCAATAATTGTGTCTAAATAATGTGATTTGACAATGTTGTTGTGCATCGACGCAAGTGATGGTGGGAACACAAGTGGCGGTGGATTACTGTAGGTTAATCCCAGGCTGTGGACAAGCAGGGCAAAACCAAGCCAGATCACCCTTATCTGGTTTCTGCTCATCATTATGGGCAAACCCAAACCATTTTCGACTCATCAAGTCTCTCCACAGTTGAGACACTCTCATGAGTTCTCAATATCGATTCTAGAAAAAAAAATTGGTACTGTTAGTTTAACTTTCACCAAGAAGACTTATAAGACTTACAGGAACAGTATCTGGGAAACAGTTGTTGGTCATGTGACAGATTTTTTTCAAAGAAGCTGGATGCTGAAGTCTTGCACTCCAGTGCGTCAATTAGAAAATGATCTAAGACATCAAAAGTAAAGGCAGTCTGTGGTCGAGTGGTACTGGCTGGAAATAATTTAGCTTTCAGCAATTACAAATGCTGCTGACAATCGACCCCAGGACAGCTGCACCAGACGACATTGTGCAAAAACACTCCAGTGGAATGTATAATGGTCAACTTGGTTGGTATAGTTGGACCATGAACTGTCTCCATTAGTGAAAAATCAGCCTCTGTGTCCATTGGAATATTCTCCCATGCATGCATGTTGTCAGAAAATGGACATGGTTGTCCCCCATGGCCCATATGCCAGATAAAACCCAATTCTTTGAGTGATGTGTCATTGAAGCATTTCCCAGTCCACTCTTGAACCTTGTGGAAGGGCAAAAACTGGTGAGCATTGACAATGCAAGAACAACAGAATGTCTGATCTCCACTGCAAGTCAAACAGCGGAATTTCCCTTCACCAATCTGACAAGACTAGCACTGGGATACATCAGAGGGTTTCTCCAAGTCAAGGAGAATATCCAAGTACAAGTCTCAGAAAGGCAGATATTCTTGGATAAAGTCATTTTGTGTCTGGTCGTAATAATCTCTATTTAGTACATCATTAAAAGACACTAAATCACTATGCTTGCCTTGGTTTTTCTTTGTGAGTTCTCTACATAAGAAACAAAGTCACCAAGGGTTTGTCTATCAAAATCTTCATGACTGTTTTGCAACCATTGAGTGTCTTCTCTAATACGTTTATGAGGGCTGGAGGATGGAGATGGTGTTGGGGCAGTGTCATAAAGGCTATCAGCGCATGATTCCACCCAGGTTGGCTTCCTTCTCTTTCCAATGACTTGTTTATGAGACACATAGGAAACATCAAGGTCTTTGCCTTTAGACAAACGACCTCTTCCTTGGAAGGAAAATGTAGCTGCCTTGAGTTGAGTTTTTTTCTGGGGAGACATAGGGTTACGTGTGGGGAAAAAAATTGATATTATCAACATTCTATTTTTGATAGCTGAAACCATTCATAGAAATCACTAGAGTGCATCAACTAATCTAGTAGGTATACTGTCAAATACTTGATTTGTCCCATTCTACCCCTCCTCCTCCAAGAACCACTCCTTCCTTATTATCTACCTGTCACAACCAAGAACTATCCTGCTGCCCTACCATCTTCAAAAAATAGGCCTGTGTTGGAAAGGGGGGTCTGGATACCCCGACTCTAGAGTGTATTTTATCCCGCATAAAATGGGCATTAACGAGCCTCTCTCCTGGACCCCATGGACCGATAGAATGTTGTAAAACCTTCCTGTAAATGAAGACCATTGTCCCAGGGTAATAATTCAGTTCGGCTCCAACATCTGCTAATGTCAACTTAGCCTCATGGCCACTGCATAAACTAATCAGAAGATCAAAAAGAGAAGGGGCACCACCAAAATCTCTGTGTAATAAAGTTGTACAATTTGCAATTATTTCCAATCCTGAGAAGATTGAGGGCCAATCACAGATGGGTGGTGATGTTCTATCAGAACCTTGAAGTTCCTGAATAATGCGACTGATGGCCAAGGTGCCTACTTTGAATAGATCTGGAGCCAATACAGCAGTAATGGCATTCCAGAAATATTCAGTAGCTGATAAAGTAGCTAGCCACTCTTGGACTTCCACAGGCTTATATGAAGCCGAGGTAACCATTGGGTCTTCCAGTCTCTGCAAATGAAATCAAACAAAGTCAAAAGTAGCTAAACAACAACTAAATTTGGCCTATACCTCATGTCTTTGCATAAAATATGCTGGTGATACTGTGACTCTGCCTGCTCCAAATTCCCCACCCCCCTCTGGGACAACAAAGCCTTGAGATTGCCAAGACTGTTGGGTAGAGGACATAATTGTCTCAAGAAGTAAAGTCCATAAACCCTTAGTGGCTGAGTTCGCATATTCCTAATTTAATGTATCAATTTATGAGAGGGATTCCCAAGGAAGAATGAACATACAACCTGAGAAGAAGACAGAATATTTGGCAAGTAAATTGTTAAAATTTTACCTTGCCGGTCCACAATAGTAGCTGGTACTGAAATTTTACTGATTATAGCTGCAGAAAAGTACTTTGGTAACTGATCGGTATTAGTGAGGGGACCATCAGATTTAGGTGTAGACACTTTGGTCATCTCAGCAAATCTGTCAACACCCCAATCCACATAATCTGCAAATGATGGGAATTTAAAACCAGGTGATATCTTGCAGAGTGAAATAACTCACAAGGATTTACCATTGCATGGGCAACTGTCAGTGCAGCTCAATTGATCTCATATTCTGAGATCGACTCAGAAGCATGGAAGTTGACATCACGTGTTGCTAAGCAACTGTCTAGCTCATGTCCAATTCTTAATCTTAAGTGAGACCATTTAATAGAGCGGATCAAATAAGGCCCTAAATATAACCTCACCTTGCTTTGTGTAGAAGGTGAGTTTGCAATTTCCCCCCTCTGAAGATCCCTGTTGCTGATGATTTTCCCATAATTTCCTTGATTCTTGTGGTCAGAGCTGCTCTCAGCTTCGTTGATTGACTCATTTGTTGGTCCAATTTAACTTAAATGACTATATGAAATGATTCCAAAAAAATTGTCCCACAATCAAATTTGGATATATGAATGGAATCTACTGATGGAAGACAAATTAAATGAAGTCTCGCCCAGATTGCGACATGATCCATGTGACATAATAATTAGTACTGTAATAACTCACTCAGATGTGGCAGAGTGGGAACTAATATATTTGGCAGACTACCACAGAAGAATAACAGTAGTGTACAATAGTAAATTGGGATCCGGCAGATGTTGGCAGGACACCAGCACAAGTAGCAATGATGCTATATAATACAAACTGCCCTGCACCATTCTTCTTTGAAATTGCCTTCTGACTGACAGTCGATGATCAATGTTGAAGAACAGTATCATTGGTTGTCCGTCAGTCCAAAATATGCTAGTGTGCTGTAACATTGATCATCGACTGTCAGTCCAAAATATGCTAGTGTGCTACTAGCATATTTTGGACTGACAGTCGATGATCAATGTTACTGTTTTTCAAATCCCCTCCATGGTCAGAAGGGAAGAGTCAGCCTTCTGATCAACCTTCTGACCGGGAAGGGAAGTTTGTATCATATGGCATCATTGCTACTTGTCCTAGTGTTCTGCCACCATCTGCCTATGCCAATAGTATATTTTGACTAGCAGGCAATACTCAATGATAATGTCCTTCAGCATGTCAATGGTAAGCCGAATCAAGGCAGAATTGAGATCTACATAACAATTATCTATCTAAGACATGTAGTAGATAATAGTTGCTTTGTTGCTGGTCTCTGCAGTGTTTGATTATTATTATTATACACTACTGTACTTTTGCGCTTGCTTTCTTAATATGGCTCTTTGCTAATATACACACAGTCATGTGACTTTTTCAGCCGGCAGCAAATAAAGTGCGTCCATCAACATACATTTTCAACTATGAAGTACAAGTGACAATGAATTTACTACAAGTATGCACACAAGTAAAGTAACAAATACAAAAGGGGAGGCGAGACTTCAATGAGGGGGCCCTCCTCACCAAAGCCTCAACACTCCAGGTGAAAATGTATATAGTAAAAATATATATAATACAATACAAATTTGTCCTGTAAAAATGTTAGACCGAAATTTAAGACAAGATTAACACTTAACTAGAGAGCACTTGCCACACAAACGTACTGGCAGGTTTAGCAGTCTAGAGAACAAAACAGATCAGTTAAGGTCATCAGGAATTGAGCGCTTACCACAAACAAAAAGTCGGAACAGATGATGCAAAAAAGTTGGAGCAGGCTATTAAAAAGTCAGAGCAGGAGCCACTGACAAGTGGCATGCACTGCGCTGAGCCCCAGTCTCAATAAGCAGGAGCCACTGACAAGTGGCATGCACTGCACTAGTCCCAATAAGCGAAATACTAAATACAAAGACATTAGCCCACAGATGTGAGAGGAGAAGGACTTACTGTTTGAGTAAAGGTTTAACTGGGCTAGCCCAAGTCAAAAACCGTAAGTATAATACTAAATAGAACAAAGATTAGCAACCGGATGCGAGAGAAGGAGAACTTACCATTGAGCAACTAGAGGGCGCTCAAAAGGAAGGGTGGCTCTCATTGCGCCATCCCTAAGTATCAAAAATCCTATGTATGACAGACATTAGCAAGCAGGTGCAAGAAATCAAGTACTTACCTTGGGAGACCCCAAAAGAAAGAGAGTATATGTAAATGAAAACAGTTAGTAAGTAGGCGCGCCAAAAAAATTGAACTTACTATGTTTGAAGGGCGACTGAGGGTAGTACCTTTGAATTCTTGCAGCTGCAGTCTGCAAGAACCCAAAGGAGTACGCCAGAAGTCGCCCTTGAGTAACGACACTGACAAAAATAAAGTAAAGGAACGAAGGGGAATGATGAAGGTAAGACGAAAGGAGAGATTGAACTGTGAGAACTGGTTGTTGTTGTTCATATGCACATGTCAGTTTGTTGTTATTTGTAGAGTCACATGATAATCAACAATAACAATAAACTGTGCTACAACAATTCAACATGCATCAAAAAATCCACTCAACACATGCCGGCACATGTTGATTTTGTGGATTTTTCATGCGACATGTTGAATTGTAGATTAGTCAATGTGTTGCTGTGGCACAGTTTATTGTTATTGTTGATTATCATGTGACTTTACAAATAACAACAAACTGACACTTGACGCAATCAACCAACATTCAACTTTGACTTGTCATCTTCTCTTTGTGCTTGTTTAAAGTACATAACGGTAAGTGTTATTTGGCTCATGTCATTTACTAATTTGATATCTATATTAGTCTTACCTTTACCACTCGCCATGGTGAAGTCTAAACAGACATGCAAGAAGTTTACCGGTGGCACTGTATCACGAATTGCCTTGTCGTTGCCAGCACCTACTGGAGTGGTCACTGTGCCGGGTGAGCTGAATGTGAGAGAGCCGTCTGAACACAATGAGGTAAGTGATTAGTTACCTACTATTTGCACTAACACGTGTCTTTGTTTGCAGTTTTGCCTCATCTGCAGAGACGGTTCTGTAGGGGATGATTGCCTTTTCCTCTGCAGCACCTGTCTGCGGGTGATGTGTTCAAACTCACATTTATTTTATTTTATAAGGTTTTTACAGGAAGGGGCAACCGCTCCTTCCTTCGTTCCTCCCAATTTGTGCTATGTTGGAGGTTTCACTCCATTCCCAACTGTCTTCAGCACCCATGCTCATGCTCCATCTCGTCCTCATCGACCACGATGTCACCAGTGGCTGTTTTGAACTGGCCTCCAACTTCCTTCGGCCATACTTCCCCAGCGGAGGGTTTGAATTTCGGTCCATCACATTCGACATCGGCAATGCCTCAAAGATCGATGAGTACTGGTTGCAGGCGACTGCCATTGTCCAGTCGCTGATGAGCTCCAACTGGGCTCGTGTCGTCATCGCCATCACTAATCACACTGACAACGAGCATGGGGATCCGTTTATTGGGTACGAGGGCAACAAGAAGTCATATGTTTCGGCACGCGTTCACTCTGTAAGTGGCATTTTTTTGACTAACATTGTATTTGCTCATTTGACACCAAAGGTTCTCGATGTTCTGCTGTCACCTTGGCATCCCCTGATTCATGGTGTCGCAGAATCATACTTATGGCTCTTTTCATGTGGCACGCTCATCAACAATGTCACTTCCTTTTCATACTTGCAACAGGCGGTCATAGAGTAAGTCCATTTGATCTTATCTTTGCAAATACTAACTAACCCTTACAGTCATCGCATCACAGCCACTATTGGCTTTAATGCTGTTCGTTTTCAGCCGAGTTTCACCACCCACATTTTGCTCACATTCGCGGAGCTGGTCATCATTGAGTGTTTGCCCATTCACACCGTCTTCCCTGACATGTTGGGCCAGTCCTACAAACTTGGGCGCCACACTGACGTGTTCCTGCTGATGCCTGACAACTCAGGTTCGTTGGCTGTCACCAAGTTCGCCTGGACGCATTCCGAAATTTGCCCTTGGGGTCAGTACCTGCTGGTCCAGTGCCCACAGTGTGGGTGGAGTAACACCTGGTGTTCTGTCAACATACACAAAGATTACATCTTTGAATGCAAGAATGGGCAATGTAGGAAAAAGTATGTATTCTCACAACCACCTCATTCCAGGATCCTTTTGCCAGGCAAAAGACCTGGCTCCTGCTGGATTTCGGTTGTCTTGAGGCCCATGCCTGGTATCCCTAATGAGGATGAGAATTAGGATACAATTATTTTGTCTTAGCTTTTTCGTACATCCCTTCATGTTTCATTTTTATTCATCTTACTTGATTAGATTACTCTCATCTACACACCGCTCAATGGAAGTATAACCTGTTTTGGATCTTTTTACCTGATGTGAATTTGTCTATTATCTACACTGTCTAACTCCACCACTCAATGGAAGTATAATGTGCCTTTAATCTTGTTACTTGATGTGAATTTGACTGTCAATATATCCAATTTGATAATTGATTCAAGATAAAAATTGCAGGTAGGCTGGTACAGGCAGTAGGAGGGTGGCTAGCTGAAATTGCTGATAAACATGGGTGTTCAAATTAATTTCAGCTAGCCACCCTCCTACCGCCTGTACCAGCCTACCTGCAATTTTTATCTTGAATCAATTACAATGTCTACCGACTGGTCTATTGCCTTTAAGCCAATTCTCGACCTTCACTCTAAGGCCATTTTTGCTGCAGGTTCCTCATCTGTTGGAAAACCTGTGATGAGGAAGATTCAGAAGGCCATACTAGCTGCTTGAGACGAGCAAGAGGAACCTGTTGCCTTGCCTACTTCCTTGAAAAAGGTCACAAAATTTTTATACTGTACATGTATTTAGTTGTCTGATGGATATACATAAATGTTACCTACAGGCAATAAAAGAATACTATGCCAAAGACAAGGAAGAGGCAGACGAACGTGAGGCAGCGAGTCACCCAAGAGAACCATCTTTCTATAAGAAACCCCTGTCTGAGTGGGACGTAGCACAGAAATTATTTAAGCAGGAGATCAACACATATGACAAGGCCCAACAACAGAGTAAAGGCCTAGAGTATTCAATCAAGTACCGCACTGGGAATGCCAGGGAGTGGTTCAACAACATGACACCTTCACAACAGCAGGAGGTCAAGTTTGCCATGAAGAAATGGAATGAGGAGGGGGTGCCAGAAGAAACTCAGGCAATGTAAGTTTTACTTCAAATCTATGGTTATTCCAGTCTAACACTTTGGCTTGAGATATCATAAGAATAACCTCAAGAAAACTCTGGAAGATTTTGCAGAGCAAATTTGGCGCACCATGGGTTGTTGCATAGTAATGCTTGTTAGTCATAAGAAAAAAGCTAGTCAGACATTGTCCGTCAGTCTGTAAGTCATCAAATCAACATGGAAATCTCAAGACTAACTAAACTACTGTAGACACGAAACTACACCACAGAATGCCAAGAAACATTTTTCTGTGAGCTCGAGTGGTATCCAGGAGTGGGCTGCAAATGGATTTGAATCCTTTGGAGAATGGTCTAAGACTGAATTTTGTACGTGTTTCATTTGATTTTAAATATCATGCTCACTGACTATTAAATTGATAGACCCTTCAGAGGATTCAGACCATGCGGCTTCGGACTGTGAGGATGGACCTGTCTTACCTGAAATAATAGTAGATGATGAGGGGTATGCAAAACTTCCTCTTCATGATGGTATTGGCCTCAAGGGTCAACATGAATTGATTAGAAGTATCTTTCATACTTCATACAGTAAGATCTAACATCTTCAATATGACATTTTATTGACTCAATGGTTTGTAGAAGTCTGCACAGGCAGCTCTAGACCTGTACCTTGGGGCGTGATAACTGCCAGCCCATCCAATTATTTGAAATCTGGTTCAGTTCTCACAGGATATGTGGTCAAAGACCCTTCTCATATGAAGACAGAGGAGGTAAATCATCTATGGATGTATTGGGAACAACGTTCTGCTACAAATCAAAAGCTAGTCATCTTTATCAAGGCCAAGGATGCTGATATTCAGATCACTGGGAAGTCCAAGATGAAGGTAGTGAGCACCCTAGACTTAGATGAAGAAGATCAAGGCTGGCTAGCTCCATTTACCTCTCATTTCACAGAACGTACAACACAGCTGGCCACCCATGCAATAATACCAGATGATGTTGCCATCAATGACCGATACACATTTTTAGAAACCCTTAGCAAGAATGAAAACTACTTGGAGCTTATGGATGCCACTAGGGACCTGGCAATATTAGCCAAACAGAATGTTAATGTCACTTGGTGCTGTTTTCAATTTTATGGCTTATATGTCCAACAGCCAATTTCTGAGCAACACCAAGATTTGCCTACCTGGGCTGACTGGTCTTGGAGTGAAAATTATCTTCCTGAGGACATTCACACCTCATATGCAACATTGACAGCCAGCTTAAACAAGCTACAGACCTGTCCAATCTCAGGGCCATCATCGGCAATGCCAGTAGTACTAGGAATTGGACTCCTCTATAGGGAGTCTAAACACGTGATAGAGTATGAGGAAGATGAGGCTAATCCCAATACCCCTTTCTACCTACCTCATTCTGCTATTGATCTACAGTTCTTGGTCGCTCTGGATGAGGCTGTCCAGGAAGTCTTGTGCTCAGTCGTTAGTCAGATTGAGAGGCTGAATAAAGAGGCACTCAGTGACAATGATGAGAAGATGAGGATGGTGGTAGAGAAGGAAAGGCATGAGGTTGGGGAGAAGAATGTTGAGTCAGAGGAGAATGTAGTTAGGGGAGAAGAACAGCAGGAGCAGGAGGTTGAAGAGGTGGTGCAGAAAGGGAGGAAGAGAAAAATTAACCATGCTTTGTCAAGTAAGTCTAAGAAGCCTAGGACTGAGCCTGTGGTTCGTAGATCAGGTAGGGCAAGGCAACCCTCTAAGAGATCCCAGAAGATATGATCTTATATCCTCCATCACCTTCATTACTAGTCAATCTTGTACAGTAATTACATATACTTGTCTAGACTTGAGCAGTGCCTGGTGATAAGTTATGACTTGAGTATAAACTGGCTTTCCTCGCTCTATGTACATATATATTGGCCAGCCTAACTCCTACATAGGTAGATGCAGGATGGCCGGTATGCTAGTTTAATATCTGCAAACCGGCCAGCTTGGCTTCTACATAGGTAAATGCAGGATGGCCAGTATGCTAGTTTAATACTTGCAAACCGGCTAGCCTGGCTTCTACATAAGTAAATGTAGGATGGTCAGTCTGCTAGGTTAAGACTTACAAACTGGCCAGCCTATTAGCATACATAGGTAAATGCAGGACAGCCGGTATGCTAGTTTAATACCTGCAAACCGGCCAGCCTGGCCTCTATATAAGTAAATGCAGGTCGGCCAGTATGCTAGTATAATGCTTGCAAACCGGCCAGCCTATTAGCATACATAGGTGAATGCAGGATGACCAGTATGCTAGTTTCATACCTACAAACTGGCCAGCTTCATGGCTACCCAAGTGGCAGCTGGTATGCTAGTTCAAGCTTACAAACTGGCCAGCCTTGCCTGTACATAGGTATATGCAGGGTGGCTGAAATGTTGTTTTAGACTTACAAACTGGCCAGCCTGATGGCTACCTAGGTGGATGTATGATGACTGGTATGCTAGTTCAGAACATACAAACTAGCCAGCCTTACCCATACATAGGTAGATGCAGGATGGCCAGTTTGCTAGATTAAGACCTACATACTGGCCAGCCTGGTTTCTACTGAGGTAGAGATTTGGGGTGGCTAATATAATCTTAATCCCACATATTGGGCCAGCCCATGTCTGCCTATGTAGAAGCAAGGCTGGCCAGTTACAAATATAGATGTGAAACAGTCAGCATCCTAATACACCAGTAAGCCTTGATATTGGTATATCTACAGCTGGCAGTTGTCTTACATCTACTGGCTGGTCATGCTTTTACAATAGTATGGTAGTGTATTATACATGTGGACTACTACTATACAAGGCTGGCCAGCATGTATTCTACATAGACCGGCCAGGGACTGGCTGGCCATGATTCTACAGGGTTTTGGCACATCTGGAGTACTGGTTCTACATAGGAAATTGACTGAAGTATGTGCTATAGCAGCTGCCAAGTATGACATCCTTCCTACAGATGTTTATGACAACAATGAGTACAAAGAATATGTGTGTAGTCAAGTGCAAGACTTGTTGGACGGTGGTAATTTTCTTCATAATGGTGTTGATGAGCAGGTACATTTACATGAGATACCATTACATCTACTAATATTTTCTACCAGGGGAGGACCAACAACCTCATGAATGACGCACTCGGAGAGTTCTGCAGTACATTTTTCTACATGAGCGAACATGCGCTCGCTAAGTCTTTTCCGGATGAATTCGCTGAAGCTGTCCCCAAAGGTGATGTTGCACTTGGAGCAACTACAGTATATTCCATTGTTCTCGTCATAGCCTGTGTGCTCATCATTGCCAGCTCACTGCAGCCATTGACGAGTACAAGACCAGTATCTACAAACCAATGAAATTTGTCTCTGAGTTGTATCAGCCCATCTACAACAGTGTCATGCAACTCTACGATGATGTCAAACTTGACCCTTATCATTCGAAGAAATGTCAAGCAGTTCGTGAGAAATGGGTGCACGCTGCAGGGTATATATTTTTATTATTGATTTATTGGTTTACTTGACACCCATTAACAGTACTCTCACACGTAATCAATCAAACCGGCATCATAATTGGGGTCTGAAGTTGAAGCTCGACTAGGCACAATTTGTTTTAGGATACATGGCATAGTGATGATTTGTTGATTGTGCTAATATTGGATTTGAGTCTTGTCTGCCTTGCTCTGTAGCCTTCATCAGCAAACTATTAATTTCGCGACAATTCCCACACACTTGACAATTCCGCACAATTCCGTACAAGGACCACAGGTCCCACAGACATCACAAACAAATGGCATAAGTCAGTGTACAAGCTCACACACTATACAAGCGACACAAAACATTACACATTGTAGCACTTGTAAAAGGCATAAATAATACTAGCTAGTTTGTATACATATGCACAGCGAGAACCGCCTATTCACTATGCTACATGGTCTAATATTTTCATTTTTATTAATAACAGTGGTCCTATGAAATAAAAATGTACTTACTACTTGGTGTCACGCTCGAATAGTAAACATTGTGATACCACCTTTCCTCCGGCACTCTGAGTGCATGTGTCTGACGTTGAGGTTGGCCAATAATAGACGCTGGTTTGCAGCTTCTGCCCGGCGGTGGGAGATATGGATAAGTATTTTGTGCTGTTTCAAAAGGCAGTCGGCCAAGTGTTTTTGAGCTTGACACACTTTGCGTTTGGCCTGGGCTGCCTCAAGTGCGAGGTCGGAGTCTTCTTCTTCTGCAGGCTGATCAAACAAGTAGTTTGACTCGGCTGAGTCTCGTTCCTGCAGGTATGAGTAATAAAACAACAGATAAGCGGGTACAACTCACAAAATGCATTGGTATAGGTAAGCTCTCGTCGTCATCTTCCTCCTCCTTGACATAATGTGATTGCGGAGAATGTGTAGGGCATGGATGTCCTTTATCAGGCCAACTTGAAGGGGATGATGAGGCTTGAGGAGGCATCAGAGCCATGAGAGTCAAAAGAAGGATCGTAGGAATGGTGAGAGGGAGGATAATAGTTTGTTTTAGGAGAGGAATAAGTAAATATCTCAGAATGAGAGAACATATGGATGTACATGCGCCTAGACTGAATAAAAGATGTGTGGGAACTTCAGTGCACACATCATCAATGCCGACACCTACCTGTCCAAAGTGCGGGAAAGTCTTCACCAAGGACTCCAGCGTCACTCGCCATCTAAGTCAGCCTCGTACATCTTGTCACAGTTCCATTCGTGACATCATCAACATCTTGGAATTCATGGACGTAGTTCCACCGCAGCAATCCCTCGATCTACCTCAGAATTTGGATACTAGTAGTGTTGGTATGGGTCAGGGATTTGGGGTTGGGGATGACTCACAATTCAATGCTCAGGCTGGGGATTCCATGGATACAAACTTAGATGGAGACCTTGCAGGAAATTCACCTCTGATCAATGAGGAATGGTATGAGGGTGCAGCCAGGTGCTATTCTCAGGACAGCAACACATTTCTGGATCTTTTCGATGCCGACGAGCATGCAGAATACAGGAAGGAGAATCTGTTCTATCCATTCGCATCGAGGGAAGAGTGGGAGGTCACCGACTTCCTCCTGCGTTCTGCCCTTAGCATGGCAGCAATCAACAATTTTCTGCAGCTCTCTATGGTACGTATCTTCCTTGTTGCTGATCTTGACATTACCTCGCAGATAAAACACTTACAACTATCGTTCAAAAATGCCAAAGATTTGCGGAGTCAGGCTGAAATGCTGCCAAAGGGACCAAGCTGGAAATGCCAACTCATTCCCTCGCTCCATGGCACAAAGAGCCCAATTCGACTATTTTGGAGGGACCCGGTCGAGTGTTTGGAGAGTCTCTTCAGCAATCCTCTCTTTCACGACAAACTTGACTTTATCCCTCGTCATGTTTACAAGACTGCAGCACGCCTCTTGTGTGTGTGATCGGAATGGTTGACAGGTGATGCTGCTTGGAATATTCAGGTACATGCTGTTGATGGACTCACAATGTGCACAATCTCACAAGACTGTAGGATCAACTGCCCCAAGGCACAACAATCCTTGGCACCGTGCTTTTGTCTGACAAGACCAATGTCACGATGATGACAGATGCCAGGGTCACACACCTGCTTCTGCTAGGCCTTGCAAATATTTGCATGCGCACTCGTACAAAGCTCTCGTCCAAGGCCTTCATGCTTGTGGCTCTCCTCCCTATCCTGCAGTACTTACACCCTAATCAACGAATGTGGGGTATGCTCGAGGATCGTCTCATCTATGAATGTCTTTCAATCGTTTTGCAGCCCTTGATGAAAGCCACCAAACTTGGAATTATGATGTCTGACCCAGTGAGAAACATCCGCCACTGTTTTACCCCCCTTGCTGCATACATTGTTGATACTCCCGAGGCATGTATGCTCGCATGTGTTCGCGGTAAAACTTCTCCATTCACACTGGTGTCGTACCTGCAGTTCGGGGACAACTTTTGTCACCCTGCACGTACACGTGCCATCACTCTCGAGCAGCTTGCCAATGTTGATGTCGATCCCAACAATCTTGAAGCTTTTTTTGCTGCATGCGCAGAATTCCGGCTAAATGGTGTCTTTACACCTTTCTGGAAGGGCTGGCGCTTCAGTGATCCTACAATATTCCTTACACCGGAAGCTCTGCATCACTGGCATAAGCAATTCTATGACCACGACATGCAATGGTGCCTTGTAGTTCTTGGAGCGGTGGAATTTTATTTCCGGTTCTTGATATTGCAACCCATCACAGGCTATCGCCACTTCGCCAATGGAATCTCCAAATTGAAACAGGTCACGGGTAGAGTCCACCGTGATATACAGCATTATATCGTTGGAGTGATTGCTGGTGCAGCACCTCGTCGATTTGTGGTTGCAATTCGTGCTCTAATGGATGTCTGATACTTAGCGTAGTCTCCCTCACCTGATGACAATGTCCTGGCATCTATCGACAGATCGCTCGCTATATTTCACTATAACAAGAATGTCGTCATGACTCTAGGCGCTCGGATGGGCACAAAGAGAGTCATCGATAATTGGCACATTCCCAAGCTGGAGCTCATGCAGAGCATTACCGCTAGTGTAACCCAAGTCAGCGCCCTCATACAGTGGTCTGCGGATGCGACTGAACACGCACACATCTCCAAAATCAAGGATCCAGTGCAGCGCACAAACAACAACGATTATGATCCCCAAATCTGTCGTCACTTAGATCGAGCAGAAGGGGACGGGGACTGGGATGAGGAAGAAAACAGGGCACCAAAGGATCCACAGACCGCACTTTTAGAAGAACTGAATCACACACGTACGAGTAGTGTTGCCGCGGCTCCGGCTTCGAGCCCGGCTGCAGCCGAAATTAAAATGTGGCTGTCCAAGCCATTACAAATGCACAGCTTACATACTCAAGGGCCCAGCTCGGCCAATTTAGCCATGGCTGGCAGGTCAAGCCAGCTGGCAGCCGTTATATTTATAAAAATAATCAATAGATTTGTTGAGGACAGTCCACCATAAAGCTCTCAAATATGCATCCTGGCACCCAGTCACAGTACATTTAAGAACAAAGACTGGCCATTGGTTCTGCCGTTCAATGGTCTGCTCGGCCGCAACTGACATGCACAACTCTTTTTGTTCATGACAGATGAGCTCGGACAGCGTCAACAGATCAGAAGTCAACACTTGAACAACAGCGGATTCACTCACTCAATACTTCGGGCATAGACTTCGTGATGAGAGTGGCACACAGTTCGAGAAAATGGCAGGAAATGGCGGCGATGAAGTCGGGCTTGGTGCAAAGGTTTCAGATGTGACAGAAAGCGCTGTGTATGCATGACAGAGACAGATGACATGAATGCAAGCTGACATAATGCTTCCCACAGTATTTTTTTCAGCTCTGCAATGGCTGTCAGGAAGGTGATCAATAATTTTGTTGCCTGTTGTACTCACCTAGCAGGAGGATTTGAGAAGCCATGATGGTACAGTTTGTGGTGGCGCAAAGCAAGATGGGCAAGACATGTTGGCATCAGCATTCAGATCAATGTTGTAAATTTCATGTATCGCATAACAGACATCATTGGGTAGTACAGGTTACCAATAATAAGCATTATTAGCTACTACACTGAATCATTTTCTCGTGCTCTGACATATATTGTTGTCATAAAGGAATTTGCGTCCGTTAGACGCATTACATGTAACATACCGCACAAGCGTAAAGGGTAAGGAGAGATCACAGGTTGCAAACAGAATGGGGAGTTGAGCGATAATGGTTGGTGCAAGATATAAGTGACAGTAGCACACAGTGGAAGAGATAGGTGAATCAACAAGATCAACAGTTTACTGCTGACCGAAACTAAAGCCTCCTTGAGGAGCATTGCCAACCTTCAGTGAAGTTGAGTCGCTCTTTCTTCAGCGAAAACTTGACCATTTGTAAGGCCTCCATCAGAGGCGGGCTGATGCGATTTCTTCTCTTTGTGTATGTCTCACTGCTGGATGAAAAAATGTGTTCGCAGGGAACAGCGGAGGCCTGGATGGGGAGATAGTCCATTGCGATTGAATAGATGGTCGGAAATATGGGCTGTGCCGTCTAGTTGACACATCATGATCAGCGAAATGTAATGGAGACATGGGATTCTTACCATCCAAAATGCAAGTAAATTTGTTCCCCGTGGGCTATGGACAGCTGTGCTGTAAGAGCTAAACTCTTGTTCTACTGTTTGGGTGCCACCCTCATTATGCGGCAGCATATCTATGTCAGAAAGTCCATAGATCGTTGAGCCTAGTGTTGCAGCAGCATGTGTCTGGTGATCTGACTGTTCCAAGGGTAGAGAGAGTGCAGAGCCAGAGGTATCTCTCGCTCTTTTCTTCTGCATCTACAGCATATCAGATCAAAGTTGCACTTTTATGAGGGTAAATAAACACACCAGTTCAAGAATATGATCCCTGGCCTTGTTGACTTGGACCATGTCCCAATTATCATTCATCCAAGACATACAAATCGCAGGATCAATGACTGTACAAACACACATGAGAATCAGCCTTGAATAAAAGAAACACGTGGGACTGACACATGGCGACTCCATATGCTCCTGTGTGGCTCATCCGGTCATGGTATTTATCAGTCCAAGTTAAACCAATGGCGACAAAAGGTGCCAAGTGTGCTAAACGCTGTGCCAAGTCCTTCCACTTTTTGACCAACCTTTCGAAAGCTGGAATGGTACAACTTAGCACAGGTGTGCTTTTGCTAGACATGCTTTGCTGAACGGCATGCGGTGCCTAATATAAAATGGTAAGTATATCTCAATTTTGGACAAATTAAGGCCGACCTCTAGGACCACCTCAAGATATCTTGCAAAATTTGCCATTCCACTGGCTCTAACTTCAGATGGAATATAGCCCTTTGATCATTATCATCAAGGAAGTCGTCAATGGCCTGGGCTGCTGTTTAGCTGATGCCAAGGATCATGATATGAGGCCTTACCTGCCGAAGTGTTCTTAAATGATTAAGCATGATGTAGGTCGAGTCCCAACATGTGGGCTCATCGCACAGCAGTTCAACAACCGGGAGCACTATCTCCTCATAATTGTTGTTTTGGAAAATCTTCGCATCGTTGCCCAAGCGAATGACATCTCTAAAGTTATCACGTCATTTGTTTGACACGCAGATTGCATGCACAACAGCCCTGGCCCGACAGATAACATCACCTTGCAGAGCCGTGATATACACTGCCTTGTTGAAAGAGACATTGCCAACTACGAAAGGACCGGCGACATCTGAAAGGTCCACAGTAGAATGCTCGTCCATGATGTGCTGCACACATATATTGATTATGTGTGGAAAGCATGGGATCCTGTGATCAACAGCATCGAATTCGATCCCTTGTCGCAGCAATTGGCGAGAAAGTTCTTCCATTGCAGTCTGGTTATTGGAAGCATTGTTGAGCATTAAGTGTCCCATCTGGACCGAGTCAGAGCATGTCAAACAGCACAAATAAACACTGACATTATGTATCACACGGGCACACTTGATCAGATTGAACATCATTGACCCGAGTGCCTTCCCTGTATGACTACCCGGCATGTAATGAAAAGCGATTAGAGCGCCCTTCAAGATGAGCGCTGAATTGGCATTTTCCCTTGCAAGCCAATGGGCAGTAAGTGTGAGGAAGGGGCGGAGCTTAGGATCTGACCAGAGGTCAGATGTGAACGAGACTTTTCCTTGGGCCTTCTACAGGACATAAGATACTGCATATTATCAGTAGCTAAACACTTACTGCAAGGTCATGTTTCATGACCGGGAAGTAGTCATGCCACGCATCTATGATCAGTGAGTGAAATTTCGTGCGGCGAGGAATATCCGACTCCTTTAGATCTTGACACATGAGACAGAGCAGCCGGCGAAACTCTGGGCACTCGACAGCATTAATTGGCTGGAGATGACCGTTAATAATGTTGCATGTAAAATAAATACTACTCACCTGGTCGTCAGCTATGATGAATCTAACAATATGTTGGTGCATCTCATCAACTGAAAGTCCAGCAAAACAGCTTCTGACTGTGCAGGCAGTGAATTGTTGCATACGGGATTGGGGGGAACACCGAATGTCTCAATTGTACCATCTGGGTCCTGGCCGAGCCTTTTACGCATCTGCGAGATGGTCCAGCCCTCGTCGAGTCGGGATTGCACCTCGTTGATCAAAATTGGCCAGGCCACTGGGCCCCGGCACTCACATTCTGCTAGGTAAAGGTCCATGTGATAGACATGCACGTGGGTGCGAAGAGTGCCCATGGTTGAACTAGCAGCATACATCTGGATTTTCCATGAAGGGTCTTTCTTATGTATATCCCTGTTGGAGGAGTGAGATTGACAAAACACTCCCAGACATGACACTTACTCGCAGGGGATACAGGTATGTTTAAGTGATGCCTCTGTCCTATAGAATGGGGGATGTCGACAACTGCCACCCCCTTTCATTTTCTTTTCCCATCATGGGTGGTTAAAGGATTCGATGGAGTCGTAGCAAAGGGATTGGTTGGGGCGGTGGCCAAGGGATTAGGTGGAGTGGTGGCCAAGGGATTGATTGGAGTAGAATTGAGGGCACCGTCGCCTGTCTGAAGTGGGCTAGAGGCTGGATTAGGTGCAACTATTATGGGAGCACCATCCTCCTCATCATTGGCACTGATTTCATTGATGTTGAAGAATTCAGTATCACCATCTTGATATCTTCGAGGACGCTGATGCTCTCGTTGAGGGCGTTGAAGGGCAGTGGAAGTTGCTGCGGTAGTATTGATGGTTGCTGCAGCAACAGCAGTAGTGGTGGGATTGGGAGTAACAGCTGGGGCGTCAGCCTGGGTAGCATTGGCATTTTTTCAATTTTTGCTGCGACGGTTGTTCATATTAGTGATGATAGAGCTATAGATACAACAAGTGAATCACCTGTATATATATAAAACAAAACTTCAACCTGGGGAGACCCAGGAAAATCCCAATGTGTGTGGTGGGGAAAAACCAGTTACACCTGGACTTGAGGCTCGCCAGGATATTTAGGGTTGCAGGATCCGATCACTATAGCATTAATGGAAATATGCAAACAGGACAATGGAACGCACGCTGGTACATAATATCAGCTGTCTTCGACAGCATCACAAGTGAAAGGTCCCTAGGGCCTAGGCTGTGCTGCATGACATAGTCTTGAATGTGAGGTAGGGGATGCATCAATGAGTCCATGAGTAGGAAAGCATAGGCTGAGTTGTTGCTGGGGCTGTGCTCGAGGCTGATCAAATCCAATAATGATCAAGATTTGAGATGTGATGATTCAGAGCTGGCAGCAAGTTGGCAGCAAGTTGGAAGATAAGAGACACGTGGGAGTTACTCAGAGAGAAGTCAGGATGTACATATTACATGATGAGCATCACTGCACTGAAAGTTCAAGTTCTCATGTTCGTTTCACAGCTTCAAGCAGGCTGTGCATTTTAAATATTATTAATATTCCATCTAATTGGTCTCACTTAGCCTCACGGAAGCACAGGCTGCGAGGATTAGCCAGCATAAGGATTTTCCTGGACGCGAGCCCGGGAAAATCCGATGAATAGACAAGGTAGCTAAGGACAAATAGTGGAGACCATAGATAAATATAAAGAGCAACTCCAGGATGCGCGAACGTGCGCGCGTTCGTGCTTGAAAAGAGAAGCCATGGGCTGGGTGACAACGTAAGGGTGGGTGACGAGAAAAATATGCTAATGCAATGACGGGCAAGTGAGAAGAGGTCAACACGAGAATACTCCTTGAAGACATACCTAGTGCGATGACGGGCAAGTGAGAAGAGGCGAGGACCTCCTAATTGCCCACACGCACTAGGAAAACAAAATAAAAAACGAATCTCCACCAGGACAGAGATTGCTCAGCATATGCGTCATGCCGAGAGCGCCCAGAGCACGTGCCACAATGGCAAAGGGGTAGACCCCGGGTCAGCCAGCACATGGGAAAAACTCGAAAGTATCGACCAATTAGACTTGTGTAAAGACTCGATTAAACTCGATTAAATTGCAAATACATGGTAGCTATAGGAAATACAATATTTGCTGATGCCACCCGCTCGCTACACCTCTGGCAGCCAGACTATATATTAGATGTATGCACGCACACACTGGCAAGGGAGGGGCTACACGAGGTATTTATTGGTGGTCAAGATGACAATCAACAGAAGCCAGACTTACAGAGAAATGATAGATGTCGTTGGCTTTTGTCAAGGTTGTTTTCTTGCTGTTCTGCATTATGGCTTGCGTTAGTGCTAGCAATTTCAGAGTAGATGAGAGTTGCTCACATTGATATTGATGGAGGTTGCATGTTTTCGCAATGTTCTCAAAGCACTCTGACTTTCCCTCTTCGCTAACATTGGGCCCTTGCACTGAAGCAAAAGCAGCATCAATTACTGAAATGAGCTCCAGCCAATTCCAGTCACTGAAGTGCACATCAGATGATATCAGAAGTAACCCTTAATGTCCGCTCACTTGTTTTTGATCTTCTCTTGAGCTCGTTCCCCCTCGTCCTTGTACAGACCACATTTGCGCCAGATTTCCCTGTGAGTCTCATTACATACAAGACTGGCTGAACAGATCGACTTCCCGACATCACTTTCTAGCAAGGTGTTTGCTTTGTCCCACAATTGGAGTTCTTGCAGAATGATCAGATGCAAGTGGAAGCAGTCCACAGCCATATATGATGGTGTAGGACATGATGTGACATGATGGTGAGCCAATTTGTAGAGCAATGTGCGAGTGTTTGGAGGAGTTCCAAGGTCATTCGCCTACTCCTCACAATTAGAGTGTGTTATTTGCAACACAATGCGATGCACAAACCTGGAGAATTGTGCCTGTCACAACCCAGTATATGTACTGATCCTCTTGGAACTGCTTGTGCATTCGATTGTAACCTTAAAGACCACATGATTCGACTATTGTACAAAGGAAGGAACAGGTAGAAATACTCACTTGTTGACAAGATTTCCAGTTGCCAGTTCGCACATGAGCGAAGAACGTCTGTGCACCGAGTTCCTCGCTCTGAGGTTGCTGCTTGAATGCATTATCAAACATGGCTACCATGTCGGAGTCTTGTTTGCAGTGTCCAAGAATGCAAGTGTGTCGATCTTTGATGCAGGATTCTCCAAAAGGCGGAAAGCCCACAGAATAAGAGCCGTGTTGACGAAGACCGACCAATTCGCGAGATGTTGACTGGGACACACTCTGACATATTCAAGTACGACATAAAAAATGGTCGAGAGATGAACGATGTCACTCACCAATGGCCAAAGCCATAAGTAAAAAACCGGAGATCATCGCGCACATGACCTGCATCATCAATCCAACGCTGAGGATTAAATGTCTGTGGTTCTGGAAAGACTTCAGGGTGGTTTGCGATGGCCCTGAAGCATGAGCGTCAGACCCAAAGGTGAGAGGACGAAAATGATTGCCTACTGACCAATGGTTCCCAATAACAGTTGCAACTGCTGGAATGAGGTATTTGTTCCAAATGATGTCCTTACTCGCGCGATGTGCAAAGCCTATAGTGCAAGGTGGTCGATCATTATCGCATCATCACAACACAAATAAGATGTACCTCCAATACAGACAGGTCTCCACCTGAGACTCTCGAGCATAAACACGGTAACCTGCAGCAGCATTTCCTGATCATCAAATGTTGGCACTAATCAGTAGCTATCTCAGTCAGTAGACAAATAAAGGAAATGCATAACCTACGCTGTGTACGCCCCACGACATTATTGAGTTCCTCTTGTACGTGAGCCTGCACATCCATATGAGTGGCAGCAGCCATCATCATAATTGTGATTGCAGACACAGTCTACAACAGTTGTTGAGCGAAGACATGATGCAATGTAAGAACTTACCATATCAGAACTGGCCCCAAATATCACACCTGCAAGGTATCCCAGTCCCTTATCTTCGAGCTGATACTGTTTCTGGTGCTCTAATATGAACCTCGCAAAGGATGGCCTTGCAGTCCCCTCACGCTTCACAATGGTGAGCAAGCATATATATCATCACAGGAAAATCATGGACCATCTGTCTTCGCACTGCATCTAACAGCCCGTCATAGAAAGTAAGTTCTTCTTTGTGCCATGCATTCAGCTGACTCCGGTAGCCTGGGACGAAACGCAAGATGGGATACGCATCCACAAGATATGCTCCCGGCTTCATAGCTTGACCAAAACACGCAGAAAACATGTTGATGGAAACGACTTCAGGATCTGTATATGAAGTCGGAGTGATTTTTCCATAGGCAAAGGGCATGATCACGGAAGCTGAATAACTAAAATCTTCGGATTACCACTTGTACCGCAAGTATGAGCTGGTGTTCGTACCGCATGGCATGTCTCTGGTGGTTCTTTGGATCATTTAAGATATCTAGAACCAGATTCTTTGCATGCCTGGTCTGCATGGGCTCATACATAGGTCTCCGCAACCTTAGGTTGCAAGTTTGCATGCAAGACCCTGGTTTACATTTAGTCACTGATCATACCTAGTAGAGACAGGGTTCGTACCTGCGCATCCGGCGCCATCTCTCATTACTGTCCTCAAGGTGCATTCTCAACCCACCAGACAACGTCTCTTGCACTGAAATAGAATGTGGGTGGTCGGCAACATTTGCTCCCTGTTTTTCCATGATATCCACCGCAGCCTATGACATGATCTACTTCATGTCTGGCTAGACAGTGTATTGTTTTATGCTAACCTGATGGCGTCCTATAACTACGAAAATCCTATGGCCTTGTTTGAGCGAGAACACAGGTCCGTATTGTTCTATCCATTTCACAAATTGAAACGGCACACTGCATGAGGGGTTAGACAGAAATCATGTTGGTATCCCTCGACAATGACTTACTATGACTTTGGCATTGCATTTCCTAATAGCCAACGTCCAGGTGGTCCAGGGGATAACGGCAACCGTCTTGTGGCCTGGTATCGTTGTTTCACAATCCAGATGCTGGCTAAGATGATGATGAGGGTGCATGCGGCAATGATAATTGCCATTGAAATGGTCGAGCTTGCTGATAGTCACGATTCAGACACCCCGCTACTTTGCAACACGTTAAGTACAAGTACTCCAGAACAGAGAAGTGGTGACTTACTGTGATGAGCGACGGGTACGGTGAGGTTAGTGTGCATGATTATGCTCACCTATACTTATACAAACAGTGATTGAATGCCTGCGCAGATAAATCAGACCTGTGCGAATCACGTATTGCGGTCTTGCTATAGTAAGAACCTGATGCTGACCACCCTGGTCCCTGGCGATAAGTTAATAGTGGACGCGCGTGTTTCAAAACATTTGGACTCCACCTGAATATCAAGGTAGATCTCCATGTCATTCTCTGTTCAACAGTCGCAGGTATGCCAACTCATATGCGATGTAATGCTGCAGGGTTATCCATACGATACCGTGTCATGGACTGTTCAATGGAAGGAACGGAATCCTTGACAAGTTTGAGCATGGTCATGTACTGCGAGAAGCGTATGTATTCCTAAGTCTGACATGAAGTGAATTTAAGATGGGAACATACTGTACTGTGGTAATTGCATCATGAATATAGGCGATGGTGGAATGGAGATGTGAGCACAAAGTAGGGTATGGAATGGTAAAATGAAAAGGATGTATCAGTGAGTTGTTTGGCTTTGTTTGGCATTTGTGCACAATGGTTCGCATATTTCCTTTTGGAGATTGTTGGTAATCTGATGGTATCCAGCGTTTCTCAATAGTTTCACAAACAAATCAAAATATATACATCCATCATACTATGCAATGAGTTTCTTTTTCTGACGTGGGGTAGAAGTTGTTGAAGGCGGTAGGGGGCCATTGCGAGGACGTAAACTAGGTTCATGAATCATGAGTGTGTGAAGATTAAAAAATCATGTACTCACACACGAATTGATTTGTGAACAGGTGTTGGTTTTGGTAGGCACAGTAACACCGCCTCAGCCACCGAGTGAATGTTGGAGGTTGGAGAATGTATGACAGGGTCATTGGGCTGGATGAAATCCAGCAAGCCAATTTCTGTGGTGTGAAGACCGCGAAGCAATGAGTGAAGGTAATCGTAGTCAGGATCTTCTGAGAACAAAAGAGACCGCGAGTAGACTAGAAGGTTTGCGAATTCAGGAGGAACACCATCACATAAATCTGCGATGGTGGTGTCCACTTTGCATTTGAGTATGTCAGAGATGGAGAGCTTCTCATGGTTGCTAGTTAGCCATGGAAGGGAGCCAAGCAAGAAATAGATCAACATATATGAAATTGACTCGATGTCATCACGACGACCGGGCTCCAAGCCCAAGTGGTTGTTGATTGAAGCGAAGGCAGGAGTGCCTGTGAGAGGTTGGCCCCGGCGAAATGGTATATGTGTTTCGGTTGCAGCATTCCAGTACATCTTTGCGATACCAAAATCGACAACAAAGAGAGTTTGCGTTGACTCACCAAGACCCACTAAAATGTTCTGTGGTTTGATATTGCTGTGAATGTAGCCGTATGAGTGAATGTACTCGAGGCATGAAAGCTGAGAAATATATTAGCATCTGCAATGTCCCACTCAAAGTGATGTACCAGCTGGTCTCCTATATTCACAACAGTGTGAAGGCTGAATTTTCGGTTGCATGCCTTGAAGATATCATGCAATGATGGGCCAAGGAGTTCGAGAGCCAAAGCGTGATATGTCGACTCCCTACCGAACCAAATGACACGGGGAATCCCAACTCCATTTCCAAGTTGTTTCAAAATTTTGTATTCACGCTCCACAGAAGATGGGCGAGAGGTGAGGGGCTCAAGTTTGATGGCAACTACATCGTCATTGAGGAAGTTCTGTGCATGGTATACAACAGCTAGTAAGTAGGCTTAGCGAGACTATGCGTTGAATATCAATGTCATGTAACTACGTACCTGACCCAGATCCCAGAATGTTACCCAGCCTAAATCTTCCATCAACTCTTGCTGGGACTTTACTCATGCTGTGAAGCCTGCGATAGGTAAGGACAAATACAATATATTCAACAACAGATGGTTGAATGATGGGGTACGTGCGTGCACTGCATAGGGATTCTAGGGAATGAGAAGAAGTGAATCCAAACACCGTCAGCAATGAGATTATTGGTAATGAAAACAAATGTTGGCTTGAGCCGGCTTGTGTGGCTAGCCAGCTGAACCGAGCTGGATATAGGTAGCTTAACTCACCAGGAGAGCCGAACTGCTGACAAACTGACAAAAGCCGAGCCCAAACCGGTCCGAGTCGAGCTGCGGCATCACTACGTACGAGTTCCAACTACTTCAGCAAAATCAGAATGTTGGCTACTTCAAGGCGCAATAAAATTCCTCAGGCTCACCCTCCTCGTACATTCCTTGCTGGCGGCACCGCCATTCATCTCAACTGCAACCTCACCTGCACTGGCTTGAAGATTAACGAGGTTGCCGATGAATTTAACATACCAGATCTGTGGTATGCTCTCTCAGACTTCCTTCAACACGATGCAAGGAACAGAGATGGAGTTTTTTGGGTGGGGGTCCCCAGAAGATCGCTGATCAACCGCCCCTTGAATATTTCTTTCGAGTGTGTTCAAATTTGGCATACTATTCGCTTGCAGCAAATTTGTCTCCATGATCTCAGTGTCGTTTTACCTGCGCAAACCATGCATGCGTCTCCTGCACGTGTTGGGTGGTCGAAAGGTCGAAAGGATGTTGCCATTCTCAACGTTGATAGCGCGTATGATTGGCCTAAGTCTGGGTTAAAGGGTGAGCTCTTTAGTACTCATATACATTTTGATTACATTTGACATCTTTCCCCTCTTTTGAAGGTCACGCCGTCTGCGAATTGCAGCTCATCATGCGCCCAATACCTCAACGAGGCTCACGTATCACATGGCGTGATCAATACCTTTGTTATGTGCGCAACTTCAAGATTGGTGCAGTTGATCCTGTCACTGAGATGCACACATTGACATGCGCAAAATATGCCAACGGTACTCTGGTGGGAGATGCAGTTCCTCTGACGCAGCTTCGAGCATTCGTCAACATTATCCCGAGACTGGGTACTGCAGCAGATCCTCGTCTGACTAAGTCTACTTCCGCGCATTACCATTCCTTGTTCTATTTGAATAAGTACTTTGATAAGCAAATTTATGATACCCTATACTTTGTGTCACAAGGATAGATACCAGCTGTTGGATTATTTTGTTTCTAGTGATACTACTATGACAGGCTGTTTTATCTACTCCATGTGGAAACTCTGGGAACTCAGTGGCATTCAATTGATGATGCACCAAAGTGAAGGCCAGGCCCATGCTGTGGCTGCCTTGCAACTGTGCATAAGCCTGAGGGAGTGCTTGCTCAGCAAACTCACCAACCATTCAGACAAACAGGTGAATTGTCATTGTAGGGTGCATTGGTCCGCAGTACTCATTCAATACTCCATAGCGTTGACTGGTCTTGACTCTGAATTCATTAGACGCCGCCATGACATCTGACCCACTTGCTCACCAAACTTCCCTGACTTCACTTGCCACTACCTCATTCGACCTTTATCTCTGTGGCCCTTCACTCAGTTTGACAGGTTTCCCGCCTGAGGGCGGTCACACGAACGATCTCGTCAAAGACCTGCTCAAATCAGAGCTCAAGGGCCACATCATCTTTGAAGGTGACCTTAACATCAAACACAGCGATAGCCTTTTCCACCACTTCATTCCCAAATCCTTATTGAAGACTAAGTATATCGCGCAGATCAAATACTACAGCCGAAATAATGGGCCGCCAGCATATTTTCAGGGCGCGTGGAACTTCAATCGAAAAAAAGCCTGAAGCGAATGAAAAGAACAGCAACTCTGAGTCAGACAACTCTGATGATGAATCTCACCCTAGCACAGAAGTTGCTGACACAGATACTGAGGCCTTGGATTCTCAATGTTCTTGGATGATGTCTCAAGACACAGATGGCACCTGGAGCCGTGATGAATATGATGGGACCGCAGAGCTGGGATCAAAGAGGGCACGTAAGCCTTCATCGACCGAGAAAGACTTACAGTGCCTCTTCAAAGCTGTTCAGTACGTCCTGCGCCGTAGATCAAACATGCGGGCCAAACTTCCCTTCCAAATATCAAATATTGAATGATACTGGTCTGCAGAGTTTGCTAACTCACCAATACCAGACCCTTACAATGCCCAAAAGCCTGATCTTGCTCTGTTTTATTACAAGAGTAAGGTTTTCGAGAAAGCATGGACAGACACCCTTAGCTTTGTCGAGCACACATCCTCTGATTTTAGCAAGAGGCGTGACCTAGGAGTGTACTGGGGGTCCGCCACTAAAGCATATCTCATCATGCGAGAACAGCCATGGCGTCGCTTCGTCCTCTCATTCTTTATCTCTGCTGAACAACTTTATGCCCATTTTTGCGACCACTCGGGCCTCATCGTAACTCTTCCAACTTCCATCCAATCGTCACCCGCTCGTGTTGCTGATGCAATCGCTACTCTCTCGTTAGTGGATCCAACCCTCTTGGGTCTCAACCCCACAATCCACATGTGCATCCCTTCTTGCAAGGGTACTCACACCGACTTAGCAGAGGGGGCAATCAGTTGGGTAACCAACAATCATGGTAAAATATACTCAATTTTGGCTGTTCTATGGAAGAGCCAGGGTCTGTTTTGTCACGGAACAGTTTGTTACCGTGTTCGGGATCCTGTAGATGGGAAGGAATATGCGATGAAAGATTGTTGGGTGGCTGAGGCCAAGAGATACCACGAAGTGGACGTCCTTGAGAGGGTCAAGAACATCCCTAATGTGGTCCAGCTCGTAGACCATTGGGATGTCCTATTCGATGGGGAGCCTGACTGCACAGCCCGCATTCAGGATAGATATGGTATCCTGCCTGAGGACAGGCCAGACAAGAGGTTCGTAAACAGGTATCACCGGTGCCTTCTCTTGACCCCCTGCAGAGATCCGTTATGGCATTTCAGCTCCAGAAAGGAACTGATTTGCACCTTTCGCGATTTCGTGGTCGGTGAGTTCAGTTTCATGCATTTGATTTATTGTATTATCTAACATTTTACCTGTAGCTCATGAAATGATGATCCAACAATGAGTTCTACATGGAGACCTTAGCCCGAACAATTTCATTATCCATGAAGGCATTGGGTATTTCATTGATTTTGACCATGTGTCAATCATGAAGGAGGGCGAGACATTTACTATTTCGTTTGGTACTGTAAGTTTGAACGTGGAGTTCGCGGTTCTCATTACTAATCATCAATCATATTATCACAGGGAACGGTGCCATATATTTCTATGCGCATTTTGAAAACAATGTCAAAGAATGCTGACATCCTCAAGAAGTCAAAGACGAGCATCAATGCAAAGAAGAATAGCACCAACACTAACAGCATTGCACAGCTGAAACTGGTTGAGCACAACCCCAGTGATGACCTCGAGTCACTGTTCTACATTTTTTTCGAATTTGTTTCGAAGTATGGGGGTGCACATGGTGCAGTTGCTCCGACTTGGGATAAGACAACTATGCCATGGGCGGTGTAGAAACAACAATACTGAGAGGAACAAAAGATGCTCCTAACTGTATCTAAAAATGTTGAAGGTCGTGCGTTGCCTAGTCTGCTATGCTTGAGATGACAAGCGCGTTCGACCCTAAAGGGGAAGCAAGTGGAGCGAAGATCTAGTGGTATGCGCTGAAGCGAAGCGCGAGAAAGTGCAGGTGCGCGCAAGGTACGAAGGCGCGGGAATGCGCGCGCGTATTAGCGCGAAGCGCGGGAAAGCGCGCGTGTGCGTGCGGAAATGGTAGAGAGACTAAGCTTAAGTGATAATATAATGCAATATAAGAGAAGAGAGATGCAAAGTGTAGACAAATAGATTTCTACTATACTCTGCTAAGTAGTAAGTGACTGGTAGGAAAAGTAAGTTAAGGTGAAAAGTAAGTACTGCTGGCGCTTATATAGTGCGCCTAAGTGCGGTCATGCGGAGCCAAAGCGCTACCGAGTAGGTATGTAAGGATATATATGGGTGAGAGTCCATGATAAAAATAAAGGTGGAACACTATGCTAATAAAGGAAATGGAAATATACGCACTAGGGAGCTTGGTGGACAGTGGATGGATGCATCTGGATGGCTGGTGCTATAGGGCGCGCAAGCGCGGGAACGCATGCGCACGTATACATCGCGAAGCGCGGGAATGGTGCACGCATGGCGTGCGTTGCGCGGGAAAGCTGCGCCTCATATAGGAATTGCTGTGGACAGTACACAGAGTGGTGCTGCGAGTTGGTGCTGTATACTCCCTTAGTGGAAACTGCCATATCACGCCATGAGAGGCATGAGTCTCTACAGCGGATGCTTACGAGAATTTGGGCGCTACAAGCGGTTTTCTTGCCACCTTTTGGCAAAGAAGGGAGCCATGTCCAAAAGTGATATCCTGATAGACAGGGTATCAGACTATTTTTCGGAATTCAAGCCCATTATTGATGAATGGCGCACTTGAATTTATCGTATGGAGTCCAATCTCGACGGGGCCATTGTTCACAATCACATCTTCCAAATGCTTGTCAAATTCATTACAAAACTTGACGATGAAAAACCCACTCCATTGCCCTCTCCAGTAGCTCCGAGTCCCCCTGATGCTCCCCCCCCCTGGTGCCCCAAGTCATACCGGGGCTCCCCCCACGGCAGGGCCTTCACTCCAGCGTTCATTAAGGCTCAGCATGATGGCAGGCCGAACCTAACGATGCTGGCATAATTTCCTTTCATTAGAATATCTATATACCTTGTTATATGTCTCCCTTGTTTCACTACGCCACCATGATTATGTAACATTGATTATGTCATGTTCTTTGGGCCCATAACTAGCTACATTCATACATGATAATGTCGTCTGATCTGATACATGCCTCCAAGGAAGAAGCCCAGGCATTCTTCTCCAGATCTCGAGGCAACTGCTCGGCGGAGCTCAAGACCTAATCGTGGTGTTGGCGGTCATGCAGCACAGCTGCAAAGAGTTGGAGAAACGGTTGCTGCCCCAACAAGGAAATGACCAAAGGGCGATGATCTTCACATCAGCAGCTCAGAAGAAAATCCTATGGCACCTTCGCAGCTTCAGAAAGGGGAAAAAAAGGTAATATGAATTTATTCTGACTGTGTTTAAGCTAATTTTTCAGCCTCCTGCAAAATCTTGCAACATTCTCAAGACCAAACAGAACAAACGCCAGCATCCTCTGGCCCCCACTTCCCATCCAAATCCATATGTGGCTTGCTCTTTCGAAAGGTTCGGATTTAAGGAACCCCAGTCCAATGGCCACGAGAAGGCCAGGGAGGGACAGCCTATGCAGAAGGACACACAGTCCAGTGGTCGTGAAACGGTTGAGCGGGACATGGGTCAGCGAGACACAAGTCGTGAGAGGGAGTCCACAGAATGTGATAGTGGTCACCAGAAGGACAGGCAGGATATGGATGATGACAGGGAGTTTCCGCATAGCTCTCATGAACGTGATGGGTCTGATGATGACAATGATGACAATGCTGACCGCAATTTTGACAGCAATACACAGATGTAAGTGTTCTTCTGTGTTGCTTGCATGCTTCCTGATATTATATTCTCATTGCAGTGATAGAGATGTTGGCCGGTACACGCACCAGCGAATGGACAATGACACAGGTGACACAATGGATTTCAATAAAAATCTGGCACAATCTGAGGATGAAGCTTGGGGGGATGTTTAACAAGGAGATCCAGATGATGAGCTCGCAGATTCGGAGCAGGATAAGGTATTTACATTTTTCCTCTCAATTCCTGTGTTAATGATATGCACTAGGTTTATGATGTTCTCGAGCATCATCATGCAAAGAACAGGCAGCGCAAAGCTCCTTCACCAACTCATTTGTTGAAGGGGAAGGGATACGAGTATGTACGTACCTTCAATCGCTCAGAATCCCCTCAGCAACGCCCATCCCAACATGTTCGTTCCAAATCTTCTTACCCATGCTCTCCTCAACGTATCAAGCCCTTGAAGTCCTCTCGTCGATATGCATCATCTGGAGCTGTTCAAACGGTTCAAAGATGGTCACCTGCACGCCATTCACGTCGTTCCTCTCGTTCAAAGTCTCCACGTCGACAACAATCATCTCAGCAAGTAAAATATGCATGTGCTTCATCCTCACGCACGCACTCTCCTCTTCGGCGTTCATCTCGACCAGTTACTTCCTCAAGTTGTAGTCGCACGCAGCCCACCTCTCGTGGATGCTCACCGTCACACTCTCCATCTGGCTCTACTCTGGTTCCAAAATGTGAATGCTCTTGTAGCACTATACCCGAAGACGCTCGTCGATCTGGCAGCAACAAATGGAAGGCCAAGACAAACCAGGAGAACCCCTCAAAGCTAGGATTCTATCCGCCCACTTGGCAAGTATTCCTGCAGACGGCGAAGTTAGAGATGCACTTGCAGGCCATTCTAGCCCACCCAATTCCAGAATCACAGGACGCCCTTGGCCTCGCTTGAGAAGTCTTGGATGCTGTGCTATGGACATACCATGAGAAGAAGAATAAACTCGAGAGAGGTATATTCTCCTTACACCACTGTTCACCCTTCTCACGCATTTTTTTAAGGTTACTTTCCGGAGTACAACACAGATATGTGCCGGCTGGTATGTTCTTACTTTATTGATGGCGAATGCACTCACTGATAGTTGATGAGCTGTGTGACGATCTCTTCACGTTCTGCACAGAGCTCAAAAAGGTCACCATCCCCATTGCAAAAAGGGCATATGATATCTTCCTGCAGGGCTCCATGATGCGAAAGGAGGAGGTTCAAAAGCAGGTCACCGCAGCTGCTACTAGGCTCTTCAAGAGCAGTGAATACCTCCAGCTCTCTGACTCGTCTGGTGTAGGTCATGACTCCTGATAATAGCATCATTTACATTAATTCTTGCAGGGAACATTCAAGAATTTTACGGCGCAGGCTCTTAAGGACGCATGTCTCGAATTTTACTACAGCAACAGCAAGAAGGCATTAAAGAACACGGACAAATTCCACCACACAATCCCCGTCAATGCGATGCTTCTTGTAGCAGCGGTGGTATGCTTATTATTATCATTTATTCTTTCGTCGCTAATGATTCAACAGTTGAAGGGTGTTATCTCTGGCTTTCGGGAGACCGGCACTGACAAGGTCCCTGACCTAACCGCTGAGCAGTGCAGGATCCACTTCACCAATTTACAGAAATCAGTTGACAAACTGCTCAAGGTTCCGGAGTGCCATGAAGAGCTTGAAGACATGTTAGACCAATGGGCTAGGACTGGCATGGGCGACTTTGATGGGTATGCAGCTGGGAGTGCAACGGGCAGTGACACGGAGGACTTTAACATCATACTTTGATTACCATGTTTTTGTTACACAATCATTACAGTTTATGTGAGCCTTACCAGGCGGTATGTCATGTTTACTGTGTGAAGCCTGTCATTAAATGTATCCTTGGTATAGTCTGTGTTGTGTGTACAGTGTGTATTGTCTGTACAGATTGTAGGAGTATGTGACAGTATTGTAACGGGGAGACTTCCTTGTGTAAGTGTAATGGCTGTACAATAGTGTACAATCTTGTACAGTATTGTACAGGTGCCCCCTAGTTTGCTGATGTTTCTGTGGCCTTTCTGTCTTGCCCCTGTAGCCTTTCTGTTTTGCCTCTGTAACATGCTGTCTAGCTTAATGTGCACTCTATCCCACTCTGTATAAGCTCCCATATATTCTGTACAACTCTGTACAGAATTGTACAGGCTACTTATGTGCTCTGTATAGAGCTGTGCAGAGAGAACCCTCTCTGTGGGCTCTGTGGCTCTGTCTAGCACTGTCCAGGGTTGTCTAGTACATGGCTGTTTTGCTGATGTGGGATTGTGCTGTTTGTACAAATCTGTACAAATCTGTACAAGGTTTCACTAGTTTGCTGATGTTGTATTCAACAGCCCATGACTGTTATAGATCCACTCAGACCAAATTCTGACTGGGACTTAATATGTATATAAATTACATACTAGCCATACACCAGAAATAGTATATTCAATTTAGTTTCTATTTATTTGGCTGCATATGTGAAAATAACAATTTATTATGAAAGTGAACATGAACGTGAAAGCGAAAGCGACCTACTGTGAGCTCCCCTAATAGTACAGCACACTTTGTGCTCACCACTAGTAAAATGCAAGTTGTGAAGGATGGGAGAATGGTCAACTCCAGGAATAAGGACCTATTGAACTCGCTTGCCGAACAACTTGTCTGTTCTGCTTGATCATCATTATGTAGCTCATAGTGTCGACAGACAACATCACTCCATACTACCAACTTGCCCCTGATGCTCTGTTCGACCTCTCGCCTTCAGCTCTGCCTGCCGCTGCTCTACCTCGTCTTGCACGCGTTCAATTGACTTGAAATATTTCACTGTTTTGACATGCAATTCTGAGTTGTAGTTCCGTAGGTTTTGTTTCATTCAGAATAAGGTGACGATGGGTGGGCATGAAAAAGGGTGATATGAAGTGAGGGGCGGTAGGATGGCATCCGTACGTCAACCAAAGGTTGTATTTTATCAGAAAAACACCACGCACCGGCTGTCGCATCTTCATCGACTACAATCAACGCCCAAGGGTGGAGCTGCAGCGCCGAGAGAGTCCACTACGTCAGGAGTCATGTCAAGGTAAGTTCTTACGAGGTGCTAGAAACAGCCTACTCACAAGGTGATTTACGCCATCCTCTGTAGACGGCAGAAAGTTGATAACCAATGAATGAATGAGCACGAATATAGCCTGAAAGCATGACTCACCGATAGCCTTGCTGAGAGCCAAGCTCTTCCTCTGACCCGTGACTACAACCACGACTTCCCTTGCTTCAAGTACTGTAGCAACCCCGACTGTAAGGGCCATACGAGGGACAGCAGCAACATTATTGTTAAAGAAGCGGGCGTTGGCGAGGATGGTGTCGTAAGCGAGTGTCTTGATGCGGGTCCGGGACGCGAGGGACGAGCCTTTGATAGGAACGAGCATCATTCAAGTCAATGAATGTGCCAAGAAAACAGAATAATCATACGGTAGAGAAGCCACGAGGAAAGGAATAACAGGAGGTGAAGAAACAATACATACCAGGCTCGTTGAATGCGATATGACCATCCTCGCCGATACCACCCAGGAAGAGCTCGATACCACCACACTGCTTGATGCGGGATTCGTATGCGTTGCATTCCGCGACCAAGTCTTCGGCGTTCCCATCCAGTAAATTGACTTGGGAGGGGGGGATATCGACTGCGTTTATGAAATTAGTATAGGATTCTTCAGCGAGGGTGACTGGACTAGACGGACTATGGGAGAAAAACTCGCGGAACATGAATGTGTGGTAGGATTCTGGGTGGTCACGAGGAATGCCGACATACTCGTCCATGTTGAAAGTGATGACGTGCTTGAAGCTGGAGTCATGAGTGGATAAACGCAACTTCGAGTATACTGGTTCAGCACTCACGATAAACTGCCCTCCTTGACTTTATTGATGAGGGCTTTGTAAGTCGGAATAGGAGATGAGCCAGTTGGGAGACCGAGCACGAAAGGTTTGCTAGCGGTCGGTGCAAAGTCATTAATGCTAGTTGAAAGGAATGAGTTACAGGCAAGGAAATATGGATGAGGATGCTACCGTTTGGCAATGTAATTGGCGACATAGTCGCCGACAGCTGCAGGGTCGTCGCGAATGATAAGACCTAGTGACAGAGACGTAAGCACATTGAACATGAATAGAAGGAAGATGAGCGGACGCATAGCGGTAATCTATAGTAAGTACTTGCTAGTGGTACAGAGATGGCGAAGGAAGAGGTAGGATTCAACAAAGTGTCTGTATGAATTCCAACTCCAACCTGAGTGTGTTTTTATCCTGCATTACATGTCCGCGGTGCTTCCAGCTCCATTGGTGAATCAGCTGAAATGATAGCTGGCAGTGTCTTGGCCATGTGCTCGAACAATAATAACATGCTATCACATGTCATGCGTCCTAATCGCCATTAACTTCCCACCTTGTCAATTCTTAGATAGAACGCTCAACGGAACCTGCAGTTGCGTCTTCTGAACGTTCGTCATCAACCTTGTTAGCAAATGCTCCAAATCAGTGCGCGCACGTTTAATTTGCCGCGGCCGGATCTGTTGTCTTCTGGTTTAACATCTACATCAAAGTGGTTCTCGAAGTGAGGAACCTGCAAAGGAGTTTGAGAACGCAAACTGTGACCAGTCTCATCTTCGAGACAATGCCACTCCATACAGAACTTGAACTGACTCGAATACCTCCTACGATTTCTGTCAAGAGAATTATTACATGGTAGCATTCTTGGAGGTATACAGCTGCGATTAGGAAGTTTCTACAGATGAAGCACAGAAAACTCTGACGTCGAGGCAAATCTTGCGACAACGAGCGCAGTCACTATCGACGAAAGTAGGTTGACCTATGGGACAGTTAGCATCAAGACAGGGAATGATAATATTAGATTGCCTGATTGTTTGTCAATAAATTGAGTCCACTAATGACTTTGACAGTGTCTTTCCGTCCACGTTCAGGTTCCACCTTGTGGTCAGTAAGAATGATCTTCTTGTCGACCGAATAACGCGTGCGCTGTAGAGTCGCTCCTAGGAACGAATCCAGCTAGTGTTGTCGCATCACTATAAGGCACAAATGTGATGCAAGTCGAAACCTACCAAGCTCCCGCCAACACCTGCTGCACTACCCCAAAATACGAGTGACGGAAAAATAGTTATCCAACTGCTCCTGCAGTGTGCATTCTCTACAATGATCGAAATGAACATTGTTACACCCATAGACAAACCGCCAAATAAGCTGGCAAGTGTCCCGCCGACCGAGACACCACCATTTGTACCGGGTGGAACAGTTTTCAGCGTCGTGATAAGGATTGGTGGGCGGGAAGAGAGGATACCGAGTTCTGACGCGAGAGTATCCCCCAGGCAGCAGGCAAAGTGACTGGTGGTGAGGTATTTATAAGCTAATGAAACAAGACGCATCAAGTAGAAGGGTGGAGCTTACCCAAGCACCACAAATATCAACGCGCGACTCCATCCACTTGATACCGTGGCGTCCAATGGGCACCATTGACCATCTTCATATGGCACACTCTCCAACAATGCTGAGCCCGAGCGAATGTAATAATTGACTAGACTCCACGGCAACATGTCAGGGGAAAAGGCGAGACACCATATTCCACTCGCAAGTAGCGCGGTAAATGAGTTGCAGAGAACTTGAGCGCCAGATCGGTAGCCAGCGTCTTGATAGTCATCTTCAAGCTGAGCCTTCCGCTTCTTGCCGTCTGACTAGTGGTTACAAGACATGCCAGTGGGATCGCTCATTGGGTTGACACTTACATTTAGTGGCTCTGGACCCGATCAAGTAGAACACGATGAGAGTGATCCCAATGGTCCGCACAGGCACTGCAAGAATGCTGAAGCCAACCACGAAGGCGGTCACTGCACCGGAGGAAGAAAGCGATCGCGAGCGCAATCCATGCACGCTGAGCAGAACGGCGATAGTTAGCGGTATTAAGGGAATGGGTGCCATGATGGTCAACAAGCGAAAACTCGTCCGAGCAGTTCACGAGATTGATGTTCCCATTACATAAAGGCCTTACGTCCTGTTCGATTATTATCGATATCTTGTTCGGGTTCCTAGCAGTGATGAAGATCCAATATTTGAATTCTGTGGCTCGTTCGCAATCAAGGAATACTTTTTTGGGTACATAAGAGTCTATAATGCATGGATACGCAACATGTTTGGTAAATGCGTACAATTTGGAAGCAAAAGACATAAAAAGGAGATACGAGTGCTAATCTTGATAACTGAACATATATCATGACATGAAGATGGTAACAGGCTTGAACATGTAACCAGATTTCTGGAAACCAAAATGAGGGTGTTTAAAACAAATTAGAGCATGCATGCATTCATGAAGGCTTCTGGATCCTAGCACCAAGCCAGTAACCAAGCTTGAGTCATTCGATATCACAGAACCTAGATTCGAGTTGTATACTCAGCCAGAGATGTGTCACCTACGCAATTGCAGAGACAGTGGACACTCCGTTCACCTGGCTGAGCGCAGCGTCCGCCTTTTGAAGATCGTACTCGCTAAGGCTTTTGAATGCCCCACCGCCGGGCGTGCTTGCCCCAGACATCACGGATGACGCGCGCGAGCGGACTTTCATGACAAGGGGGCTGGATACAGGAACACATGAGTAAAACACCAGTTGGTAAAGCAACACCTACAAAGGGTATCCGTCCTCTTCATCGTCCCCTGTACGCGACCAATGGCCCTTGTAATCGCTAGTTTCCAAGCGTTGCATCTATAGCACAATCGGTACACCCCAACTCGCTTCATGACAAAAAATGCCTACCTCCTCAGTAAGTGTTCCAAGATCGCCTGGTGTTGCGAGTCCCGAAATTCTGAGCTTCGGACTGGCTTGGACAGAAACTGGGAATTCTCCGAAGCCCCATTCTACATCTTCCCCGTTGTCCTCATCGAGGCCAATGAATGCGTCGGGGTACGCCCTCCGAAGCGCAAGCATCCGAGCCTTCTCGTACTCAAGGCCTATATTCTTCCAATCTAGAAGTGGCGAGAGTCGCTCGACGCGGTTTCGCTGGTTGATCCGCTGGCGTCGCGTTTTCTTGACAAAGTCGAACATTGAGTTCGTGAGCGCGTTGACGCTTTCATCGATGGAGGTGGTGCGTCGGTCGATGATGTAGATACCCTCGTCAGAGGGATTATGGATCGAATCCTCCATAAAGCACCCGAATCCGGAGAGGTTTGTTGTTACACTAGGGATACCCATCTACTCGAATGAGCTCAGATCGCACGATACAAAGGATACCCAACATACCACTGTGCACTCCGCGGGGGTATATCCCCATGGTTCATAGTAACTTGGAAATACACCCAGATGGCAACCTCGTACGAATTCCTCGTAATCGAGACCCAGGATTGGGTTGTTTGAGTTCAAAAATTCGGGATGAAAGATGACCTTGACGCGGTCTCCCGGTGTGTTGAAGAGACGTACGCGACGTAGCTGATTGAGAATCGGGTCGCTCGAGTCGTCTGCCATGTTGTGTGTAACAATCGGGGGAAGGGTGTGTCGCTTGAGTGCGAAAATGCGACGTTTCAGTAGGACTTGGTCCTCTGCGCTTAGGAGGTCTTCTGGCGTGACCTCTGTGCGACCCTCCCCGTGGAACCGTGCGGCGTGTTCGAACAGTCGTGCACCAACACGGGCCTGTACCTCTGTAACGGTATCGCGCAGCTGCTTCATGACCGCCTGACCCTTAAGGGCCTCAACAGTATAGCTATTGGTAGCAGCAGGCATGATGATGAACGCGACGACTGTTGTCTTGCTCTGACTCTGCTGGAGACGGTGATTGAGTCGAGCAAGGGACTCGATGAACATATCGACACCCTTGTTGCGGTACTCATATCGACCAGCTGTAAACATCTAGTGGACGTGATTAGTTAAAGAAATACAGAAGAGCAATACGACGTACATAAATAGTATTTTCAAGATCGAAATCATAGTGACCATAGAAATGCCCACGAATGAACTCGTTGATTTTCTCCTTGGAAGTCGCATGCAGATTCTGGAACTCGTGCATTGCCTGAAACTTGACTACGTTCAAGCCATTTGGAAGGACACCATCCGGTTTTCGCTTCAAAAGATGCTCACTCTCCCATGCTGTAATTCCGCTGACAGTCGTGAAAACATCCGCGCAGTGTGCAGCAGCACGTTCGATGCAGTAGCGGTGATATATCCCACGCTTGCCAGCTTCGTGGTCAACGTCAAAGTAGGAAAGGTTATTGTAAAAATCGACACTTCCAGCGCAGAGATAGCGGCCGAGCAAGGTTGCGTGTGTTGTAAAAACGGTGGTAACATCGATGTGACGTTTTCTGGCGAGGGGGATGGCGAGTCCTGCCTGCCATTCGTGGAAGTGGGCGACTACAGCTGTATGAGCTTTGTGTGCAACATACTGAGCATCGATAAGCAAGGAATTGAATCAGTTGGAGTGAATGAACTACGTACCTCACCGAGAAACCACGCTACAAGATAACCAAAAACGATGGTCTCGTTTGTCTCGTGGTCATTGGGGGGAGATGGAATGCCTGCAAGATTCCAAAGATCGGCCTTCCATTCGTCAAGACGATGGTATTGGCTGCCCGTATCAAAGAGTAGGACACGTGGAGCACCCTCTATGAGCCATCGGCCATAAAGACATTTCACGCCCTGTGCTCTCATCGACTGGAGCGTTGCAACTAAAGCAGGATCAGTGGGCTCCTGCGTTTCAACCTCCATGGGTGCTGTCTTGTAAATGAGGGGACCAATGAGGGTGTAACGATCACCGTACGTCTGCATGGTCACGGGGACCTTGGTCTTGATGACTGTGTATATGCCTCCAACTTTGTTGGCAACCTCCCAAGCACACTCGAAAAGGATTGGGTTTTGGACGTCACGCTTCAAGGTATCGTCGGGCATGGCGATGGTGAGCGATTTGGAATCCACGACATCTGCCGAGATGGAGCTGGCCATGTTATTGGATTATGCCAAAGTCGAGGCTACATCTTATAGGCCTCTGACCTCATACCCACGTGACCCATATCAGTGGAGTCAAAAAGACAGGTCATAAAAGCAGCACAGGTTTAGACATGATCTTGACAAAAGATTAAGATATTTGACCAAGAGACGCGCCGTGCATCCGTAGTACGTACTAACTAGATCATCTGCTACCATGTCCAGCTCATTCGATCTCCATGTTCAGACAACTATCTCACCTCACAATGGACAGGCATACCATGTAGAAACATATCCTGTTTCTAGTGATCTAGACCGCACTCTCGAAATTGCAGCACAGTCTCAGAAAGAGTGGATCAAGACTACACTGAGCGAACGTATCGCAAAAGGTCGCAAATTCATTGTCCGTGTGCTCTTGATAAATTGGTACTCGCAGAGCTACAATATTATTACGCGTCCTCTAGGAGAAATTTTCTGTTCTTGCAAACCGAGAAGTACCAGCAACATATGATCACGGTCCCCTCGGACATCATAACCTTGCTGAAGAGCTATGCAATCAGATGGGCAGGTGCATACCTTTACGCGTAAAACATCGCCAATGTACTGATTCGGGGCTCACATAGGCCTGTTGATCAGTGTTGGGGGGAGTTTAGAGGATTTTTACAGCGCGCAACCTACATGGTCGACATTGCTGAATCGTGTCTCTCAGACACAACCTTTTCAGACAACCAACCTGGCTTTAGTCGCTCAATCAAGCGCGTTCCCCTTGGTGTCATTTTCGTCATCGCTCCATGGAAGTGAGTATATTTAATCTCAAAGATGCTCAAGACTCATCTATTCTAGCTACCCGTATCTTGTCATGATCAATTCTGTGCTTCCGGCGCTCATTGCCGGAAATGCTGTCATCTTGAAGCCTTCTCCCCAAACGCCTCTTACCGCCGTGCGATTCAAGGAAGCTTTGAATGATGCTGGATTTCCTACTGATCTCATACAAGTCGTGCATCTCTCGCTACCGCTTACTCGATATGTCGTGCAGCATAAGCTAGTCGATTTTGTCGTGTTCACAGGCAGCGTGGCAGGAGGAAAGGCTATTGAAACGGCAGCCGTTGCTGCTGATGGATTCAAGGGCGTTGGTTTGGAGGTGCCGTATTTAACCATCACAAGTACTAAGTCACTGAGCCAAAGTCTAGCTCGGAGGAAAGGACCCTGCATATGTTCGTGCAGATGCAGACCTGAAAGACGCAGTAATACAGCTAGTTGATGGTAAGTCAAAAACGTACAACTGTGCTGCTTTCTCACTGATGTACGTAGGCGCAATGTACAACGCTGGGCAGAGTTGCTGTGCAGTCGAGGTAAGAAACAGTTACTTGTAACGCCGAAGTATGACTTACCTCAGGTGAACAGCGGATCTACGTGCACGAGTCCGTGTATGACACATTTGTGAATGAATATGTCAACGAAACCAAGGCAAGTCGTGACTCCTGTAGAATATCCTGATGTAGCTTGAACGTAAGTCTAGAAACTCATACTGGGGGATCCTACAAACAAGCAAACGACCATTGGTCCGGTGATTAGCATTGCCAGTGCAGAGAGGATCCGCCAGCAGGTTTCTAGTGCAGGCAAGTGTTCCACAAATCGTACAGCCGTTGGCTGATCATATCATAGTGCAAACGGGCGCAAAAGCACTAATACCCGAAAACCTGTATCCAACGGCAGAACCGTGAGTCAACGTTTGTATGGTAGAAATGGATATTCAGCATCTTCAGAGGCACGGCATGTGTTGCGCCTCAAGTCTTAGTCGATGTGAATCACAGTGAGCTTGTTATATCCGTGTCCTTTGATACTGTTCTGTTCTGAGTTCCGACCAACAGCGATGGACGTTATGAAGGTCAATCCTTTCTCTATCATGCAAAATCGTGTCTGATTTGATGCAGGAAGAGACATTCGGACCCATCATTGGCATCCAGAAGGTGATTTGATCAATGTTGTCTTTAAGGATCGGCAATAAGCTTCAGCAGGTCTCATCTGATGCAGAAGCAATTGAGCTCATGAACGACTCGGAATACGGTCTTACCGCTTCCATCTGGACGAAGTCATTGGATGACTTCAGCACCCTCACAGACCAAGTGCAAGCCGGAACAATCTTCCTCAATAGGTATGAATTCTTTATCCAGATTACTGGTATATCACGCTGATTCCCACGCTTCAAGATGTGATTCGCTCGACCCAGCCTTGGCCTGGACAGGGATCAAGAACAGTGGACGCGGCGTCAGTCTGAGCAAATTCGGTGCGTTCCCATCGACACACAACCCACGTTCAGGTCACTAATGCAACCACAGGATACGACCAACTGACACGGGCGAAATCTATCAACATGCGGATAAACACTGCATGATCAGATTACATCGTGGGGTACGCTATTGAGATAGGTCTCGTACAACAAGGAGTAGAATATGACACGGAAGTCGTGGATATCTCAATTCTTGAAGCAACAGTGTATTATGGATACCTGCAGACAAGTATCGTCAGTTATGATCAACGCAACGATCATAGATGCAAAACAATGGTAGATCAGGACCCTCAAGCGTAAATAGAGGGCCAGGGAAAATATCTCCAACGTGCGGACACTCGGTCTGGTGCACAGCAATACAATCATCACAATAGAGGTTGGCAAAAAGGGTATAAAATCTCACCTGTGAGCTCAGCCCATCAACCAAGAAGTTTGGGACAAGAAACACCCATGATGATTATCCAACCGACAGCAATTTTTATGCAGCTGCTGATGTAAGATATTCACACGTGCTTGGCAAGTTGGTCCGAATCGTGATTCGTCCTTACTTATGTAACTCATAATCACTCCGAGGACGTGAAAGAGGTCGGCGATTCCTTTCCATGCACAGCCGAGGTGTAGTGGCTCTCAGGTCTATATTTCAAGGGACGCTCAACTTGGTCGTCCTGATTCGCATTACCATTCAGCACACGGCAGCATGCAAAATTTAAATGTGATACACAAGGAACGGACTTAAACTCGTGATTTTAGCCGAGCACTGTCCACCCATCCTCCACTCCCCCAAGGTATCGTTCGTATGGCCATGAACAGCAGCCTTGATGAGCTGTCCTCCTACACCCCTGTCATTCCGTTCTGGCCACTGATGGGGAACACCTCATCTCGATGTCTTGGTACACGAGTGAATTCAACTGTGTGGTCCAAAATCAGATTGCTTTGGAATCCTGGGCACGAACATACAGGACCAGGGTGACAGTAACTCGGTTCCTTGGAGATATGGCAAGCGAGCAGCAGGACCCGGTCAACCGCTGGGAATGTGTATGGTGTATCGACGGGGGCGAAATCAAAAAAAGCTTATTTACAATACCTGTGGTCGGTACTATGATATATATACGCATATCAGATTTGCGTCCAATCATGCACGCCCATACCCAATGCATTTAATCTCTGCCGTGTCAGTCAGATAATGTAAATGTGCAGCACGTATGATTTAATAGTACAGTGTGAATCGTGAATGATGCGGTTGGGATATAGACTGCACAGTGCACATATCAAGACCTAGAATCTGTTGCGCTTTCTTTGTTGCTTTATCATTGCATCGACCGCCATGCCCCTGTTATAAATTTGTGAGTATTCAGTACAAAACCCAATAGGTTGAACGGCTTGAGGATGCGGAAAGATTGTAGCAGGCAAGAGTGGGGATGAGCCGAAAACGAAAAAAATGGAACTCACTTCCGCCCTTTCATTCTTGGCTCTTCATCTACGTCCATTGCATCTGCCAAATCGACGCCACCTCGCATGAGATTCCCACTAGCCGTCAACGGTCCTCGCTTTTTTGAGTCCTTGGATACATCTTTGAGAATAGCATTATATGCCCTATCGTGCTCCTCATTATCCATTGCAACTGCTGTGCTGTAAGAAGCGATCTGCGCAAGCTTGTTGTCTAACGCGGAAAGGACTGAAGCGGTTGTCGACGCCCTGGAAAAAGACAATGATTAATCCAGACAAAAGGAGGTGAAATGAAAGCTGAAACAAAACACACCATGCCTTCAGGGCTGCAAGCACTGCCTCTGCCTTTCCAGGCTCGAGGTCTCGTCCCATCGTGTACTCAATCTCGAGTTGCTGCTCCTTCTGGTCGAGCTTGCCGCGGAGTATGTCGAGATATATCGCATCAATTATGAGGTCCTCGAGGTCGCGGATCGTAGGCATTTGCAGCTCTTGTAAAAGGAGAGAGTATGGGAGAATCTGTAAGGGTAGTGTTGTAGTGTTAGTGACCAAGTGTTATGGTAGACCTGGACGTACGCGTCTGGTAGCGGCAAGCGATACGATAGACAGGTGCTTGAGCTTGGTTATCTGAGCTTGGTTTAGTTGAGGCAGCGAGTCCTTATTTGCTGTATGACAGTCAGCACGAATCATGATATGAGATGATGATCCACACACCAAGGTAATCCTTGTATGTCCGATACGAGAATACCTGCAGCAAGGAGAAGAAAGGAGCATGCTGCTCGTTGTTTACCAGCTGTTTTGCGGAATGCAGATAAAGAGCAGTAACCAGATATGCCGCATAGGACATACCTCCTGAATATTGGGGAGCTCAAGGAGCTCGGCAAAGACAAACACGCCTTGAGCTGAAGTAGCGTCCTGGATAAGTTTCGCTGCTGCTGCACCCTTGGCTGACTTTGAGATGAGAAGGAATGGCTCGAGCTTTGCAGCAAAGTTCGTTCCTAGCTCCATCTCCACGTTAAAGCTCAAGTGTCTCCTTCATCGATTTACGAATTTGGTGTCACTCGTGAGAAACAAAATGCTAAGCCAAGTTAATCATTGCAATTGGATGCTATCATAAGTACAACATGAACATAATATTTCCTAGATCTGAGCTGCTACTGATAGATACAAATATTGATGCAGAGAAAGCTAAAAGTACATGACTGAATTTCCAGACTTGATTGCTCCAAACTTGATTTATTTCTTGCTATGTTCAGTAGGAGGGGCCGACTGAGTGGGCTTCGAACCTTCAATAAGAATGGTTTTGGTCTCCTGCTCCGGAGGCGCTTTCGGGAAGCTGACCTCCAGGACACCCTTCTCCATATGCGCCTTAACACTTCCAGGCTTGGATTTGACAAGCATACTACATCAGCGACGAGCTCGTTCGTCATTGCGTGTGATCGTACCTCGGTCCCCTCAGGGAGCTGCAGGTTTCGAGCAAAGCGTCCGAAAGAGCGCTCGCGCACCACAAACCGACCTTCGTCAGTCTTGATTTTCTTCTCGCCCGAGATGGTCAGGCGGTCATTACGAACTTCAACGTTAACGTCCCGCTGATCCATGCCGGGGAGTTCGAACCTCGCCACGACATTCTCTGTTGTTTCAACGAGGTCCATCCTGTGTATTCAAAGATGTTAGAGCAGATTATTGTTCCCGTACAGGCAGCACGCACTTAGGGCGGATTGTTGTGGGACGAGACTCGTCGGAGTCGGGCCGGAAGCGCGAGGTAAAAGCTTCGTCAAAAAGACGATCAAATTCAGTGAATGGGTCGTAGAGAAACTGTGTGAGGGCCATATTTAGAAAGGACTTGGTGTGATGATGGAGTGCGGCAACAGCGATGGTTCGTTGGCTCTAGCCGCATCGAAGACCATATTATATGTCGCCCCTATTGACCTCCTGGGCGTTACTCCTGAATCAAGTCCTAGGTTTGCTATGATGCAATTGTTCGAGTACAGGGGCTACGCCGAACTTCCGACCCCTATGATACCAGACTCAGTAGTAGGAATCAAAACTTTTTAGCGGAAATTTGTCTGAGACTAAGGTCCAGGTTGACTTATGACAACCAACCTGAACATTGTACAGGCAAGGGCGACCGCGGGAGACACAGAAGAGAGTGTATAGCGTGGGGAGCAGTACGGTCACTGTTTTTGGTTAGCCTGGGGCAGGGCTAGGGTAAAGAGTGACAATGTTTACAGCAGGGTCAAGGCTGGCTAAGTCGGAGTGCTGTGGCCAGACTCGGAGGGTGCCGTTGCAATGTGACGGTGGAGAGTCGAGAGCTAGCTAGAAGGTACTTCTCAAAAAAATTGAAGCAAGCCTGGAGCCAGCCCAGATCCTAACCGAGGACGTTAACCACTAGACTGGTGATGATCCGTAAATACTTTGAACGATGACGGTCGTCAACATATATGTCCGGCTATTTCCGGAGGCTCGGTGTCAATAGTGACCTTACGTCATGTTGTGCTGCTTTCAAGCTCTCCGTTTTCACGACAGCATATGGCTACAACTACAACTCGCACTTTCCACGGCTTAGCGCTTAACGTTATAACGCTCAGTGTTTAGAATACACGCGTCCATGTATCAATATGGCCGCGAAAATTATGACGTTTTGCCTCACTACATTGGTCCTCAATTTCACCTTTGTCAAGAGCTAAGACACAGTGCTCTAGTCGAGACTCGAGGATGTCATACAAGAATATCCGCGGTGCTGCCGCCATAATCGTCATATTTCATCTCCGTCGGCCCCTGCCCTATTTTCTTATTCAATTGAATCCAGACTGATAAACGGGGACCTTCTACTACCACTAGCATTGGGAAAGAATGGTACGCAATGGATCAAGTTAGTATTGTCGTGCTCATTTGCATTACCCAGATTTGTAGTTCCTATCTCCACCATGTCTGTGTTTCGACAGAAAACAACCCAAGATACTCACTATAAAAGCCTAGCGTTTTCTGACCTTTCCTTTGTCAATTCCTCATCTCATTGTCGAATCATTCTTCTAGCGACCTACATCTTATACAATGACTTTCCCCTCCGATGGAGTGTATAATATCCGAAACGTTGGCAGAGACCTCATGCTCGATCTGACGAGCGACAGCACCGCTGAAGGCAACCAGATTCAAGGCTACGCCAAGAATGGCACTGTAGCTCAACAGGTATCTATACGCGTTCGCACCCACCTTGCGACCGGTTTTCTCACACATCACATCTGCTAGTGGGTGATCAAGAACAAAACGAGCCAGGGTCCGTCAACAAAACTGTCAGCATTCAGTCCAACAACAACGGCAACAATGGAAATGGATGCTTTGCGACTGCGAAACAGGTAAGCTGGATCAGCATTCATTCATTCATTTACTTTTTTGGTTGACGCGGAGGTGGACAGGATTCAGATGAACCAGTCGTTTATACCAGGCAGGCGTTTATTGTCGATCTTGTTGCACGCGTAGACAATACTTTTACGTGAGAATACGACGCAGTACTCAGCAATCTATCTTGCTTATTCAACCACTCGCTTGTACAGTATTAGCTACACGCTCGGGAACAAGAACCTGGTGCTATCCCTTCCAAGCGCACGTCACAGTGCAGTAAGTGGGTGAATCTTTTTTCAGAGCCATTTGCTCATAACGTCCACAAGGTGAAACTCGAGAATCATGTCAAGGGAACCGGTCACCAGCATTGGGAATTTACCCGGGTTTCCAATCTCCAACCAATCGGCTAGTTGTCGCCACTAAGTACCACCTTGCAGAGGTGTTCAAGGTTGAGTCGTCGAAAGTGTTCCCGCATATATGTACTACGTCTTTTTGTGTCTGCTTTCATTGTGTATGTGTACGTTGATGAATATGCTTGGTGCAACTCTCTTACTAAGTTAAGGAAATGAGCAGGTAGAAGGTGACCATCGATGAATCGTTCGTGGAGGGCGTGCAGATCTCAAACAAGCAATGCGCAGCATATATGCACCATCCATTGTTGTTTTACCCATTTACGCACGCTAGTATGACTTCAGACAGTCAGTCATTACCACGGTCATTAGTAGTCACTGCCCGAAGGCAAAGAGAAAAATGATGTTGAATATAACGCTATGTGCAGATGTCTGGATCGAATGAATAAGTTGACTGACTTGGTCTAGCGTGATGGGGTTCTTATTGTCAACTCGAGCTGTGCATATAGGCTGCCATCAGAGTCCACAAATATGGTGTGGGTATAGCAAGGCAGTTAGTTCAAGGTAGAGAGTTAAAATACACGTCGAAGGACGAAAACAGCTGTGCGAGCACATCCTGTGAAACTGATCGAACTGAGGACGCTGGAGTGAGTCAACTTACTATTTGTCCATCACCCAATCATGCACCATTTTCAAACTACTTTGGAGATCTTGCCGGGCCCGACTAAGTGTAAAATCTATGTATTAACCAGCAAGTAAATAATAGTGGCACAAAAATAATAGAAACCTACATACGCGTGTGCTTGGAATGAGTCGAAACAATAAACCTACTTATCAGTTACTAGCTTGCACGGTGAAGAATTCATTTCTATGCGTAGAGGACATAGTCAGGTGGCCCTCTGTAGGTTTCTATCAGAAGGACCACATTTGCATGAACCGGAAGGCTATTCTGGGCAAAAAATTCGTGTCAGCATGAGGGATAGGCCGTTTCAAAATCACGGATTGCATACCCCTAGCAACAAAATTGTGTGCCAGTGCTTTTTAATGCGCAGGCGTCTTTGGGGACATATTGAGGTCGAGACAAGCAACGAAGTGGTGGTCGCCAGTCCATCCCCTTCCTGCACTTCAATCTCATCTCGCGTATAGTCCAGCAGGTGTCTCGAAGACATATCCTCGGGTGATGCTCTCTCGGGACGACATCCTTTGGTTCCAAAATTCAACTGCAAAAACAATGCATGGTCATGCATGCAGGATGCAAGATGGAAAAGTTAACAACCGCATATTAGGAAAAGCATTCTTCAAACGCCCAAAGGGCATCTCAGTGGTTACCCTATACAGCGCTATGTGTTCCTCGATATCGGGTTTTTGCAGGGGTTGGAGAACTCTACTGTTGGGAAAGCAGCGCAGGAGTTAGCAATGGGTGTGACAGAAGAAGGGGCATAATTGCGAGGAGACAATATTAATGTCACGGATGCGAAATAGAACCGTGGCGCGAAGTTTCTGCTTGGATTGTGAAAAGGAACTGATCGTTTGCATTAGACTGAGTTGCTGATAACGCAGACATAAAAATTGCGTACGAAGGAGGCGAATTAGTAACGGATGTGCTATCATCGAAGACTCTAGACTTGGTATAAGGGTGAAACAAAGAAGAGGCACCGTCAAACTGCTAACAGGATATAGCAGCCCGCCAAGCACGACAATGATGCGAGCGATCGGTTGGGGAGCAAGCGACGAAACAATAAACATGGTAAAGATGGCATGAGCTGGTTGGTGGTGTCTGCACGAAGTTGATGAGAAGGTTGCGTACATGGTCGACCGGTCTCGGAGATGCAGTGTAATCAAGCGGAAGAGGCGGTGAATCAATGTTCTTTCCCAAAGACGATTAGCTAGCCAATATCGTCGAGTCCTCGTACTCTGCTTATCGAACTGATATAGTTGGACCCAGCAGACCTCACAGTTGGCATAAATTTTTATCGAAGGCGGACGTAGACGATTAAGATCGCGAATAATGGTATGTACACAAGAACAGCGTTAATGAATTATGATCGAGAGATGTTTTGATATTGCAGACTTGAGCTTTCGTACTCTATCAAAAATAGCCGACTGCGGTCGTTCATCATAAACCTTCGCCAGACATCAGCAGATAAGTATAACAGAAGGGTGAAACAACATACATTAGAAGCTCATTGACATAATCCCTCACTAGCCCGACGCTCTCCGCGTCCATCGTAGAACTGGAGACCATCTGTGGTAGACTCACTAAACCGAGCAACTCATCAGTGGACGCTAAGACTTCATGTGAATCAGATCGCACCAAGCATCCTAAGCAAGTGTTCTGCTCCGTATATGGCGCTCATATCCTTCTCCTGGCCAACCTGCACCTTGGGACCCGTGACATACTGCTTGCGAATCTCAGCATATTGTGGACGTTCAAAGCGGTAGAGAAGGTTTGCGCCGAGCGAGCGATCAAAGTAGACTTGCAACCCTGAAATTATTGTTGGGAGGACGAGTTCAGGCTCGCGAAGGCTATAAGACAGAATGGCGCTTGAGTTAGCAGGATATTGAGTATTCTCAATGGAGGAGCTGACGTTGTGTTTTTCCCGAGCCCTATCACATGATCTTTGAACTGCTGGAGGATCTCGACAACTGTTGGACGTCGTGGTACAGATACCAGCTTTCGGGTTATCAATATCTAACTAAGGCGCCAAAGCAATACGATCCTACCTGACTGTTCTTTGTAATCGCCTCCCAATCATCCACAAGCAGTACTTTCAGCACCTCTGGGACATTGAGTTTCATTTCCGGCTTCTTGCTGCTATCGTCCTTTTATAAAAATGTCATCAGTACCACTGCAGAGAACACACCACGAGAATTGTCCAAAAACAAACACACCTCCTCTCTCCCTCTCTTCGTTCCTCTACCATCCTTGCGCCCAAGCCCGCCACCGCGCGAGGAGCTACTGTCCTTCATCATACCCCCACTATGGGCCTTCCCTTTTGAGGATGACCCCGAGGTAGATGCAGCTGCGCTGGCCTGTGCCATCAGTGCTTTCTGCAGTTGCACATTCGTGTCATTGAACTTGAGCAGCCGTGTGATAGGCACCCATTCATCCCATCTAGCCAGTAGTGAGTAAAAAATAATTCAAACTCAAATACAAAGGACAACGCACGTCTGCTTCCACCCCTTATAGTGCACGAAGAAATGGGGACCAACTGTGGAGAGTTTAGTGTTGGTTTCGTCCCACGTCTCTGCTTTTAGTATCTTAGCCTCGTAGACGAGGGGCCCATGATAGCATAAGATGCGCTCGCTGACTGTGAACGACAAAGACATTCGCTGCGCAGGACTTTCGTATGTTCAGGGTTTGTTGGTTTGAAAGGTCAGATGTTTATGTAATATGTTCCTGGCCCTATAGGTGCCTATCCTTAGAATTTGCACATTTTTTGACACAAGTAATCAAAGTAGCGAATGGTAGGGTAATCCAACAGTATGGCATCGCACGAACGACAGCAAGCAGCAAAGAGACACCCATAGAAACCAAATAATGTAAGAAATAAAAAGGACTTCAAGAACAAAACCCCATCTCTGAATCACCCACGCAACTCCACGCTGCAAAAGCATTGCAGCCTTCCGCTGTGCTTCTGACTTGGAGCAGAGATGAACGTGCGCAACATCAGCATGAAAGATTCTATGAGGAAATTGTTCAGCACAGGACATCCTGATAACGGCTAGGTCGTATTGAAACCAACCTAAGCTCGCTGAACAGTCGCTGTCGGCCACTTAGAAAAACCTGGCCAGTATTTGGCCGGCGTCATAATAAGTGCCTCACAAACGAGGACAACGTAACAGCGGCTGCATGTGATCGAAGGGTTTCGTCATGCTAATTCTTGAGCCGGCACGTGTTCTGCTCGAAGGTCTGATCAACAAACAAATGAACATGTTGATTGACCACTCGGGTTTCATAAAGCGAAAATGTACTCACGGCTAGGATAGAACCTCCCCCTCCTTGTTTCCCGTCATCGTCGCGCATTACACGCTTCACAGAATCTCTTCGTCGTCCGCCTCGAGGGTAGGGTCCAATCGTAAACCTCATTATATTCTATTTTCATTGTTTTTGCCAGCCCCTTGAACAAATCTCGGAGTCCCACGTAGTCTGGGAGGTCTTCAAACTCGAGACCTCTTGCATAGTTGAAAAAAATTTCGAACTCCACAGGAAGACCCACAGTGAGAAGCGATGCAGCCTCGAGTTTTTTGTCTCGTATAGCATCCCACGTCTCAGCAACTGTAGCGCCTTTAATTTTCCGCCACGGTAAGGTGCCCCGGAGAAAGTAAACCAGCATGTAAGCAAGAGATTCTAAATCATCACGCCGAGAGCACTCTTTACCAAACCATTAGGTTAATCATGGCCACTTGGACAGCCGACTATTATAACTCACCGATGCCGAGATGGGCGTTGATAGATGCAAAGAGGGATGTACCCACGCCATGGTGATTGTCCTGTCGATATGGAATATGGGCGCTTGTCTTTGGGTCTCGAAATTTTTTGGCGAGCCCAAAATCGATCACATTGACCAAATGTTCTGCACGGTCTGTCCCCATTACGAAGTTGGCAGGTTTGACATCACGGTGGACAAAATCGCGCGAGTGGATAAACTCTAGGCGCGATAGCTGGGTTGTTGGGAAGGCGTCAGCAATGCTGAGGGAAGAAGGCAGAAAAAGGAAAGTCCAACACAGCTTGGGGTCATAGAAGATGCTCTAGGCCACAACGTGTAGATGCAGGACGCGCAACGGTGGATAGGGCATACACCTTGCCTGAGGAAATACCGCAGGTAAGAAGACTCACTAACTGATCCGCAAGCTGAAGTACGGTTTTCATTGTGAAGTGACGACTGCACATCTTGAAGAGGTCTTCAAGGGATGGACCCAACAAATCGATCACCATGACATTGTAATCGCCGTGCTTTCCTGACCACATGATCCATGGCACCCCAGGACCACCCATGAGGGTCTTGTAGACCTTGGACTCCTGCTTGAGAGGACTGTTGCGTGCTATGGCTGGTTCTAATTTGATTGCAACTTCTTTCCCTGCGACTGTATGAACTCCAAGGAACACTGTGCCTATTTGAACATGATATGGAATCAGGGGGACCATCGGTAGATGAGCAGATAGAGCGAAAGTTACCGCATCCTCCAATGGCGATTTCCTCTTCAAGTCTGTACTTTCCACCTAACGTGAAATCCATGATAACTTCCTGCAATATAGATGCTAGGCTCAGCGACGTAAAGAACGATGAGTAAGATAGATGGCACCTCAAGATGATAGTTGTCCTCAAGTTACCCTATAAATACGAATGTGGGCTGAGACCCGGAAGTGGCGTATTACTATTCAGTTCAAAGGTTCAGTTTGTGGATGCTTATGTCAGTCGGCATTTCGGCAATGACCTCCACAGTCCTTCCTGAATTGGAAATCACGAGACCGCGTCGCGACGCGTCACGCTCTGTGTTCCAATACTCTCCTCTTCAGACTAAAATCTGCAGAGTACCTACATGAGGGCACTACTCTGAGACATCATATGATCCTGCATGAATACACGGCAGTCACTTAATCACCGCCTTCTTTCTATGTGAGAATGCACTACTAGTACGTGCGCCTTCTTTTGCTGATGCGTGGTATTATAGTGACGCCATTTTAATCGTCAGAAGAAAGAAGGCCGGCTAAATAATTAAGAGCCTGACTCCACACTCCCGCTCCTGCAGATTATAGTAAGGCTGTACTATAGCCTTAACTTTCCCCACTACCGTGACAGCACCTCCGTTCGATACCCTGCTTTTTCCTCGATCGGCCAGTGAACTCCAGCATGACGTACATCCGAGTGGTGGGACTCCACTGTTCCAAAAATCTCTCGAGTCATTTACAAAACGTTTTCCTTGCCGGTTGACTCCATAATCTTCCCTTGCATTTCCCTACTAGATTTCCACTCCTAGTGCGCATTGGTGCAGGCCACAAGTCTGGGCTACATTCCGGTAGGAGAACATCATCCTATAACCACACTTTCAACTTGCAATTTTTAGTCTCCATCTCACTAACACCACTTACTCAGTCCCGTCACTTTCAAAGCCTGCCTAACTTACCATCATGCTAGTCACCTTCTAAGTGTTGTGTTTGGAACGCCTCTGTCATTTGGCTTGAAATATTTCATTCCTTCTGCGTGCCTGAAATTGTCTTAATGGTAGTTGCCCTCCCATGCACATTTGTTCTTATGACAATTCGCAATACAGCACATTTCAAAGATCATGGAACATGCCCTTCTTCGATGTCCTTAAATCTCCCAGGTGCCACCACGACTTGGAGCACTACCGCGTGCACTTTCTAATCCCGAAACCTAAATCAAGTCCCAAATGTTCATGTCATTTTAAAGACATCTTGACCGCATCCGCGTAATCGCTTTCCGAGTCCTGCTACGTCCTGAAGGCAATCTCTACCACCAGCCAGCTACATTAAGAGATCGACCCCAAATTTCTCGAACTCGCTATCATGTCCACAACCTGAGATCAAGCAGCAGATGCTCGACTCCTGCACTATCGCTAGTGCTAGTGCCTGCAGATCTGTTCTTGGGTCTGTCACTGTCAGTATTTCGAACCAACAAGCCGTTTTATGTTTGGTGTGTAATTCCTAGACGTTAGCACCCTGGATTCTTTTAAATCCCCCCGACTCTACAGAGGCGGGCGGTGAACTCTAGCATGACGTACATCTGAGCAGTGGGACTCCGCTGCTCTAAAAATATATCTGTTAGTCCTTCGACTCACTCAGACACAAGAATCATCGTCTGTTTGGCGGAAGCGAGTATTAATCTCGCGGTGATGCGTGACCTTCGGGCCGTTCTCTCGACATACGATACCGCTTCCCTGCAAGCGTACTCAACATATTCTACATGCGTATCCTTGAATACAGGACGAACTGGGGGTGGTACGGCGATCCGGCACCGTGATCGCCGAGAAGGAGAATGACCCCGCAAAATACCATCAAATTGTTGAAATGGAGGGATAGGGGTTTATGGGAGTTAGGTTTTATAGACGATGACCCAACTCGTTACAAGTCTAATGATAACAACTCAAGATCGGGCAGGAATATGCCTATCGATTCAGCTGGTCATAAAAAAACCTGCAGGTGGGCCCGGGGGAGCTGCGAGGCTATCAAAAGAATCAACAAAAACATTTGCTAGCACTGCATGTATGATGTAACTCAACCAGTATACTGATCGCATGTATTGCTCCTGAGCAAGTGTTCCAGAAAGTGACATTATTAGTGAGGAGCTATCTGTGAGCATACACGGGTATGGCACTCAGTTGCAATGCTGAGATCTGAGACGCTAGAAGGCATAACATCATTGTATCAAATCGATAACGGGCGGTGCCTCTGGCAAAAGAAATCCACGGTTACCGCAGGAAAATGCTGGGGCGCGTGTCCTTTGAATAGCGTAGTCCAAAGTCATTCCGTTTAACTTATGATTGCGAACAGAATTACATGAACGGTTTCGCATGAGATAAGGAGAGAGTTATGCAAGGTGTATTGGCTACTTCTCGAATTGCTCCCTCACGAATTGCTTGATAAGAGTTGTGATTTCCCGTTTCACGGAGAGAGGCACACTTGCTAGGGGATGATGGAAGTGGTCAGTGACACTGGTAGATGATCGAGTGGAAATTAGTACTTTGCGCATGCGATAACAATTCCTGCAGGATCGTCTGAAGGGAAAGCGGGTCCATACTTCGACTGTTTTCTATTGGATGTGGGGATTAGGCATCAAGTAACAGCAGGATAGGCATACATACCTTTGGCACGGTGCAGAAGGTCATCCGCCCATCCGCTTTCAGAGAGCTTAGAGGACAGGAGATGCAATATTCTAGGTTGTGATTTTTTTTTCAGTAGCTGTGAGAGATATCGAATAAACACCCACCGATCCCACTCTCCATTCTCGATCATTCGACGGTGAACTTCTACATGAAGGACTTCAACTTCGGAGGTCAATTTGGACATGACAGTTCCTCAAAGCCTGATGTGTCAATAGAGTACGGTATCCACCATCAGCACCAAACCCAAATAAGGGTTTTAACGGTCACTAAAGAATTGCGAGACCCGCTTGAAGATTGTAGATTACTGCAGGATGCAAAGTCCTTGGCTACGATTGGAGGATATATAAACCAACAATTCAACACAAAGTTAAGAGTCACGTGTGCGAACGCGTGAAGTGCCGTGTTGTTGTGTTCTCGCGTCTTATGTAAAGTTGAAAATTTTCCAAATCCACTTCTTGCCCACTTCTCGACATGGAAGTAATTGCTCATTGTTTCTCACTATGTAAGATATCAATACAATGAAAATCTATCATATCCTTCCGGGCCGCAAAATAGCATTTCCCAGACTTCGTGGAATACTTAGATCTGGCCGGGATGGATAGAGCCCAATATTGACTTGAACGAGCTGTGGCCAGCACTTCGCTGACACTGTTTACAGTGCATTAGCAAGCACTATGAGGTACAAAAATATTGCCCGCTCACTTGATACACTATCTGATCATAAGACCAACATAGAAATTTGAAAATACCGTCCCTGTCATCTTCTCCATCACTACAAATCTCGCGCATCAGGTTCACAGTGACCGTGATCTTCATGGGCCCAGGATCCCGGATGACTTCTGAAGATTCGTTGGCCTCATCTATATCATTGCAGCCTCGCTGTGATGAATAGGACCTGCCTCGCACACACCTTGACATGGGAGGTGATGATCGCCGGATGGAAGATCTTGAGGTGGATTCACGACGTCAGCCACAGGGCGAAGTCACCCACTATCCGAGACCAATCATCTTCTTCGATGCCATCAAGGACGCGCTTCGTCAAACTGTTTGAAGATTCTGGAATCATGAATGCAAGGTTCGCCTTACCTGCCGTCTTGCAGTCCGCTATATCGATATGGAAATCCATCTGGCCCTCGACACCTGGTGACTATTGTGACTGTTGCTCATCAAATTTCGGCTTGGATGAATGTCGACGCCTTACGTACAGTGGCACTTCCCAGGTCGCTTTATTTGCCTTGCGGATGTCAATAAAAGCTCATTTGCGCTTTGGACTGAATTCTCCACGTCCATATTCGCTGTATGCTTCGCTGTGCAAATGCTGGCGAGCATGATGCGCATAGAGAGCTTCGAGTTCTAGCACTATTGATTGCTGAGAAAGGCTTGGCGAAGCAAACATACACCAGAAGGCGGTGCGGCACTGAATATGTCTCATTCTGTCCTTGAGTGTCCAAAAATGTGCGTTGTGTGGACGTGGCCTCAAGGAACACTTTTATCTCGGTCATAGCTAATTGGAGATGACAGCTGAGAATCCATGACATATCCAGCACATGCACTGAAAGAAATTTAGCCTTTGACTCGGACGACCGGCTTAGTTTGGCATAATGATAATTGGTGAGGCAAGGTGAGGAGCCGTCGAAAGTACGATTTGCGGTACATCGCAAGCAAAGGACGCTGCTGCCTAAGTGGCATCAATGAAACCAGGGAAACAGACTGGAGGTTGGTAGGTATCAAATTGTCCGCTCATACCATCACTGAAGTCAACTTCTTGCTTAGTTTGAGCTCTTGCCACTTTGCGTTGTAGAGCTGGAAAAGGCAACGATATCCGCTTGAGCTTATTGCGACGCATTTCTTCTTGGCGCTGCCTCTCTCGTCGTTGAACTTCTTCACGAAGGTGTACACTTAGCCAGCTACTCAAGGCTGCATACAAAGGCCACGCGGATCTGTAGCAAGCAGATTCTCTACGTAGTATTGGTAATTATCAATGATATGTAAGTACGAGTTAATCGTACGTCGAGTGCTTGGAACGCAACCGTCCTAGGTAATATCAAGACTTGCAGCTATAAGTAAGAGAAATTTAACGCTGGCCATAGCAAACAAAAGATTCAGTAGGGACAAACAGCAAACATCCAAACAATTTCAAGAGTCGGGGAACAAAGAAACAATAGGCGCACCGTAGTACATTGTCCTGTCGAAACGCGTCGCTGGACGCCATATAGGCTTTCCAAAATCTCACAGCTAAACGAGATTGTACCAGCAGTACGTAGGATAAGAAAGATGGTTGATAGTAGAATGATTGATTAGCGAAATATTGATGGTGGGCTAAGAAGTCAGTTTCGGGGTTCTTCTACGCCAGCATAAGTCCAGCTACATAAATCCATGGCTCAAGTGAAAGACAAACAACTGGAGAGATGTATATATGAAACTGTTACAGAAGAATATCTGGTGAGGGTATGTGTCGAAGACCAAGACCATAGAACGATGGAATGAATATCAATTACTCACGGCTCCGCCAAGACAAAAGATGATTTCACACATCGGTGACATCGCGCAGTAGTAGTGACCAAAAAATGCATGCAGATTAGCTTGTCAGCAACAATACTGTAACTACAAGCCATAATAAAACACAGCACGTGTGTACGATGATGTCCACATAGCAATCGCGATATACATACAGTTAAAGTCCAGCGTGGTCCAAATTCCAGAACAAGAAGAGAATGGTGATAATTTTAGAGTCCGAGTTCTTCTAAGCAGCGGAATACATCGTCTTGTTCATAGAAATCGGCGTCCCCTGGAGCCTGGGATCCTTGGTGGCAGGTCGCAGCATGTTTCCACCTAGAAGCAGAAGTGAGTCCATCGTTCGCCATGCCTCGCATGTGCCCTACCAAAACAGTTCCTTAACCTAATGGCGATCATCGGAAATGTCACAAGAGATCGGACTGATTTCATACCTTCACCTCGCAATCTTTGATACTTTCGACGGGGACCCACTTCTTGCATTTATGACACCTTCCTTCAAGAATCTCCGATCGCTCCAGTTTGAGCGCGTGGCGACGATTACTTGTCCTGTACGACAGTGGAGGTGAGAACGGACGTCCGGTTGTCGCTGACACTCCTTGAGATGCGAGAAAAAAATCAGTGGGTGAGTAGTCATTCAAGTATCCCTTACCGTGCGCAAACTGCATATGATAGCTGAAAAAAACCGTTAAATGAAATCATCAAAAGATTGGAATTCTCTGCACAGAAATATTAGCATAAACGTATATACTGTGAGGGAAAAGTAAGTGACCACTTAAACGCAGAGAATTTTGTTGATAACCATAATTTCTGTCCCCGTCCACCGCGCAAAGGGCTTTCGATACAGATTGGACACAGTCCTATCTTGGACCTACCTTTACCTTTGACGAAGCGCGGAGTATACAGATCTCGTGGATCCCGTGGAGGGTTACAGATACCGCCAGGGTGTTCCGAGTGATTGAAAAGCGAAGCTCTGCACATGGTGAGCGCCAGGTAGCAAGCAAGAAATAACTTACTCTTCAGCATCAAGTTGCAGAAACGAGCTTATAGGATAACGCCGATAGAATAAAGGGAATTCGGGGTGACGAGAAACCTCTGAGGGAAGGCGACGCTGTGACGGTATACCGTGATAATCGAGCTCCCGAGTCTGAGAGGTAAGGTCTACAGCAGTGGGGCCGCCAGAGGTACGTGCGCGTTTTGTCTGGTATGAAGGCTGTTTCTCATCATGATCGTCCGAAAGAGGGTGCTTGGGACTCCGCATGAGAACCGCACGACTAGTAGTACGAAGCGAGCGTCGAGAAGTAGAATATAACCCGTGGTTGCCTTTTGAATGTGGCACAGTAGTCGAGTTCTGTCCAAAAATGGGCAAGCATAGTGAAGAAGCGCAAGACAAACCACCAGAAATATTATTGCTAAGGGGGCGCTCAGGAGACGAGAGAGGGGTGAGCGCAGAGAGAGAAGACACCGGAGACCAAGACCGTTCGCTAACATGCATGACTGGACTCGAAGTGAAACCTAGAGAAAAGGTAGGATGGCCGAAGGAATGTAACGAAGGAAGTTTCTCCATCAGCGACCACGGAGTTGGAACACCAGATCCTCCAGAAGACTGATTAGATGGCTGTCCGCTTTCATGTGAAGACGCAGTGGTATTGTCCTCAGACATCCTTCTAGCTATGGGAGACATATCTGGATCGGAGCTGTGCCACGATTGCGATAAGTTAAAATGTCGATCAAATGGCGTTCCTTCAGCATTAAGAGTTGACGGCGACAGGTCGCAGCCAGCTAGAGGAGAATCTTCGGAAGGGGACTCGGCGAAGAGGACAACTGTTGTTCTATCCAGGATTCGGTGTAAGGTGTAGAATACACACGAGACAGTTGCTGAAGGGCTGGCGAAGAAGCTGACATGTCATACCGGCGTAAAGGAGTAGATGGCATTGACATGGATCGAAAGAAATTTTCGACTTGAGGAAATTGAAAAATATCTTGTCCTGAACTAGGAGGGATAGAATCCAAGGTGGAGTGTCGCATCGCGGTGGATACGGGGGGAGCATCGGAGCATAAGGTCATAGCGTATGTGCATTTGTCGCACTGGAATTGGAATCGTGCTGGACTTGTAGGAGGATTACAAGAGGGCAACTCGAGGCAATCGGAGGAATGAGATCCATGGACTTCGCATAACATTTCTGAAATAAGATTCAAGTCAAATCCAAGTAAGTATGAATATTTGTCAGTGAATTCATTTTCAATGACAAAGCCATTGAATAGGTCAAATTAACGCATTATAATGGTACGCACCGGGTGGATAGGTTACAACAGCTTGGTCTCTGAATCTATAGATGGGAAAGACAAAGCGATATATGAATCTCAGTGGAAGTTAAAACCAAGTCAAAGCACCCTGAGCAATTTAGGCTCTAATACCTACAACGACTCGGAGTTCGCGGAGTCCATAATTTAATGCCGGCACACCGGCAAGGTCGCCACCCTAAGCACGCAAGCAATTGTAACTGATACTTACATGCTTTCCAACAATGATTCTCTTACTTCTTCTGTATAACTGTTTTCTCTTCCTATCACTTCTTCCTTCAGCAAGAAGCTCAGCGTTAACTACTGCCATTGCAGCAAATGAGCGTTTATGTTTCTATGTTGATGCAGACAAAGCAGGGGAAAAAATTGGGGTGAGCACGAATGATCATGTTTGTCGAGCTAGACTGACGTCCCGCTTGAAGTTTTACTTTGCAGTATGTCATGCGGCATTGTCCCAGCTCATATACTTATTGTCCCACGAACTAGGTTCAATCTGGAGGATCGTTCGACATAGACTTCGACGTTAAGGATCCCAATGAGAAGGTCATACTTGACGGTAAAAGCGAAAGGCAAGGTGACTACGTTTTGACTGCCAACACCGTTGGAGAGTACTCGTTCTGCTTTGAGAATGACATGTCAACTCTCACGGTGAAGCTGGTTGACTTCGACATCATGGTGGAGAGCGAGCCTCGCAGGGAAGCACCTGCCAAGCCGGGACAGGTGGCGGATCACACCAGTGCACTGGAGGAGAGCACATTCCGGTTGAACTCACTGCTTTTGAACATCAAACGTACTCAAAAATAGTACGTTTAACTATTGCCTCGAGTTATCATCATGCACACTGACCTCGTTCTTCAAGTTTCCATACACGAGAGAACAGAGGGTTCTCCTTGGTCAGGTCGACACAAAAGTTTGTGGATATTCTCACGTATATGACTAGGTGAACTCACAAGCAACGTAGCCGCCTGTTCTGGTACATGGTTCTGGAGAGTTTGGGAATTGTGGGCATGGCTGTGTAAGTGCAACCCAGGCGTAATCCGACCACAGCTGACTGTTGTTTAGCCTTCAGGTGTACATCCTTCAAACCTTCTTTACGAAAACAGGTCGTCGGTACAAAGTATAGTTTCGTGTGCCGACATCTGCCTTTATATACCTCTATCATTTTCCGCCGCAATTCCACACTGGCCCTCGAGCAGCATCACGTTTTGGTCTCCCTGACCTGGTAAATATGATTGCTATGACCAGTGCGCAGTGTTAACATCTAATCAAATCCTACTGAGCTCTCTGATCCAAAGGGTGTAAGTAAATACGTTCTTATGATCTGCATAGCAACGATGGATGCACGCAGTGATGTATGCGCTTTAGAGCTGGATGCTAGGACATGGTCGCGTTCTTACCCGTACGCGTGGATCCCCAGATCATTATACGCCGCAACCTGCTACCTACGCCCCTCATGTTTAGGGCAAGCGGAGTCCGCTTGAGGGACTTAGTCACGTTTTATGACAATCAGAGTCACAGGATGCGAAGCTCTGAGTAAGTCGTTTAAAGCATGCTGAAAGCTTGTTGGCTTGCTCACTTGTCTCGCAAGTCATCGATCAACATTAGCGTGAAATTCCAGCTTGTACTCACGTGACCGAGTCTCCAATCTCCTTGGTTTTAGATTTGAACGGAAGACCCTTGAACTACTTAGGAAACTAGCGGACAAGCTAGCTGCTAGCCGGAGTATATACCATCGCATTAACTTCTAGTGTCCCAACGTCTCCTTAGCTTTCCTTCCATCTATCTCATCTGTACCGATCATCATGGCTTCCGTTCTCACAAACGTTGTACAGGCTGCGCACTCTGCCACTGCCCTGATCGAGGCAGTAAGCCAATCCACCAGAAGCCCATCAAAGAAGAAGATCCTGAACATTCCATTCCGCTCGATCTCTCTGGAAAGAATATCATTGTACATGGCTCCACATTAACTTTGTGCCAGGCGCTCGTGTTATTGTACTAACAACTTGATGCCCCTGGGGCGTTCACGCTGCCGTGCAGCTCCAAGGTCCTACAGTACATCAGACTACAACGAGTTCGAAGCCAAGGGCGTCAGAGGGACCCATGTTGCTGCGAATGACGTCTTTGCAGTAAAATCATTGAGCACATACGGGCATGTCCTAGCGCATATACTCAGCCGTCCTATTCGCGGAGCTTGGAAAGAAAAATTTGCTCCACAAGGCACAGGTAGCTAGGAGTTTGATGCATCTCCATCGCATGATCATTGTTTCATCGCATTATGATGTGGCTCAGTCGTCCGCTTCATTGTGGATAAAAGGGAGTTTACCTCTAGCGTGGGACCCCTCTTGGATACATACTTCTAGCCTGTTAAGCACCTGAATCTAAGGTTAATTTTCTTTAGCGCTACGCCATTGTGACTCAAGACGGAAAGGCTGACTTCATCACAATGGAAGATCAGTCTGCAAATATCACTTCTACCGCTGAGAACCTCGACTCTAAGCTGTACCATGGAGATGCAGCGAAGTAAGTATTTTGAATCACTACAGGTATGATAGCTTGCAATCACGGTGACTCATTCACCACTTGATAGGTCGGAGACAAGCAAGTCCTGTTCAAACGGTGTCCCAGAAAAAATTACTGGCAGATCTGATACTCTCATGCCAACCAATACGTGTACACGGTGGATACGAATGACTCGGAGAATCCATTCGAGCCCTTGCGACACCTTGTTCTAAATATTCAATCATGTTACTAGTACTGGTAGCCACTCAACTCTCCACAGACGATGCTTCTGAACCATGTAGTCAACTGCGCCGGTCAGTGCCATGGTAGCTAGTGTTACCGTGACTCACGGGACGATTCTGTGTATAGCTTAAAGTTCAGAATGAAATGTGATATATTTAATCATCTACGCGCTATTTATAGATCAGGCCTGTCGCGAGGGCCTGACTGAAGTTTGAACCGCAAAGGCAAATTCGAAAGTTATAGGACGCAACTGCAACTGTACCGTATGAACAGCGGGATATTATAAGCATCAGTGCTTCAGGTTGGCACTCATAAATGATGCACATGTCGTGGAGGTACCAGGAACGACATCACGCACGTCGTACTAGGTATGTATATGAGCGCTCAGCTCACTCTCCGCCCTGCTCGCTCGCCTCTCGAGATATCACGAGACCTATAGAAGTACGAGTTAGTCACGTGGTCGTACTACGTACTGCCTATCCCTCCTTGTATATGAAGGACTGTCTGAGGGAGACTAGTATCTGCGGTGCATTTGGTCCATATGCTCGGGCTTGTCACGGTGTACCGCCCACCGGGCTGTGCAAGGTGCATGACGCTCAGTACTTGCGAGTCACCACTGCTCTATTCGAATCGAACCGGGTGTTCCGAAAGTTCTAAGAATTGCTCGCATCCTACCAGGAACTGCCAACGTTCTAGACAAGTCGTGAGCTCATTTGACCCGAAGTTATACTGCCTTAATGATCTACTTACGCAGTCTACGCCAATGAGAATCGCTCGATTATTACCTACAACCACCTCAGCCGATCAGAGGGGCGGTGAATTTTGCGCAAGGTCACTTGTCAAGACACCTGTGCTAGGCGCTACAACGGCATTGCTCCAAGGCTCCAGCCACAATTGGTCGGTGCATGGCATCAACTTTTTCGGAACGTCTCGCGTGGCAATTACCGAGATACTTATGAAACTTCTCGGTAAAATGTTCCTGTTTCTTTTCCTTTCCTTACCAAAGTTCTAATTAGAAGACGCGGGCGTCTCTTGATTAGTACCCTTGAGCGGAGCTGGAGCCCTCTCAGGCTGGTCCCTGGAGCTTGTTATCTCCTAAAAGTCATGGTCTTGCTGCTTCCTCAAGGCCTAGCTATATGTGTTTTCTTTTATGCACTTCTAGGCCTTGCGGAGGATAGCCGAAGTTTCTCCTGGGATCTAACCAATCACGTAAGTCGTGGTTGTTCTTTCTAGTATGTCAGTTTTTTATCACTTCGGTCAGGAATTTGAGCGAGTACGCAGTCTGACCGTCTGCGATGGCCTGCACATCTCGCTTTCTTCATCGTCTGGAAACCATTACAATATTGGACGTTCTCCATACACCCTTCTTGCCTTTGAAGCTGGTGGAGCACTGACTGCTACTCAAATTCACGAAGATGGTCTGTGGCAGGTGAAACACCCACCAGGTTCGTGCAACCGGTCCTATGTTGGAATAAATCACAGAGCGGCTTTTCACAGGATCTCAGCTGCTCCTCGCTCTCGTTGACTCCTTTGGAAATTCAGGTGGGGTGCTCCCCGCAGTCTTCATGGTTGCATGTAGGCCTTTTCTCCCTCAAGTCCACAGAAACACACTGAGATATCTTTGCAGCAGGATCCTCAGACTGTCTTCCCGCGCTTCCCGTATTTGCAGTTGCTCCGACGATTACAACAAATGTCACCCGTGTCGAGCCTTGTGATTCCTGGCAAATGTCCATCTCAGGCGGAGTCCCACCATACACCATCATGCTCGCATCTCCCGGGGCCACATCTCTGCAGGATATTGCTACGCCACAAGAGTCTAGCCTGGTTTCATTTATAAATAGCGACATCGCACTAAGAGGACCTACTATAGGTGCGTCGCAGTCCTCGGCAATCTAAGTTTGTTGACTGAGGGTAAGCCTTTGTTTTGTTCCTATTAAAGCTGCCGTGCGTGATTCGTGAGTGGCCTCCTCCACCTTCATTGGATGCTGCAAGAAAACCTATATTAATCTTGGCTCTTTCCATAGGTCCGGTGTATTTGGACGTACGACCGAATTTGTAGAAGTCATTGATGCTAGGGGAGTATCCTGTGAGGCTGTGAATCGGGGGAGACAGGCCACCCTTTCCGCACGCTCGAATGGCGGTGTAACGATAAACCATCAAGACACGGCCATCATTGCTGTGTGTGCATCACTTGGTGGGACTGTGATCCTCGCTGTTCTGTGCTATGCTGTGGTAAAGTTCCGACGCAGGCAGCGAGGGTTGATTGCAGGTCAAGATGCGCGGCCTCGGCCATTTGAGACCGCTGATCCTGCACCAAGCACTAACATATCTGTGCCGCGGGTGAATGTTTCGGTCCCTTTGTCCGTTATTGACATCTCTTGGCGGAATAATTGGATGGCGTCTCCAACGGAAGCATCCTCCACACACTCACCCCTCGGTTCAAAGCCTTCCCCTTCACGCACTCATATACGCCCGTTGCCGGTCCCAGCTGCTTCCCGTCAGCCATCTAATACATCTTTGCGTTCTCCTGAAGATCCCCCTCCACGACCACCACGCAATCCATCTAGCTCGCACGTTGCCCAATCTCCACAAGCTGGGCCCTCGCGAATTTCCCGCCAACAGCAGTCAATCTCGTCCATGCGCTCCGCTAATAACAGCCACCCTCCCACAAATTCACCGCTATCCCCGCAGCGCTCCGCACTCACACAAGAAGCAAAACAATCGACTCCCCGCTCTCACACCGAGAGGCACAAACGCACACTCCATCTTTCACGCTCGACAGGGGACATTCCGACTAGTGACAATATAGCACCACCTTCCCATCGACAGAACACAACCGTACCCCGCTCGACATCAGACACAAGCCACACGAACTACCTGCGACATTACTACTCTGCATTAAATGTCAGGCGTACAGATCGTGGGGTGCTTGATCCAGTCTACCAGCACCGTGATAAAGGGGATCCGCCGCCGCCATACTATAAGCACTGACCGGGACCACTTGACATGTAGCTTATGTATGAGCATACAATAGAAACACTTTGATTTCATCATTGGTGATGGGCGTCGTAAGTCCACATGTAAGTATAGAGTTCCGTGAAGGTAATTAACGTGATAACAAAACTGGCATCATTTTTTGTTTAAATTTTTCATTTTCGCTTTATGCGTTGGTGGTTACCTAACACTTTCGGTCTCTTCATTCCATGTATGCAAAAAGTTTATCAAAATTCAACGTCGTGCTCAACTAGTGTTGAGAAAATTCAGGCATATGCAGGGTACCTAAAAACATGTTTCCTATCAATAGAATAAAATATTATTGGATGTTGCAGTTGCGAGAGATGCGATCTATGAGATAGCGGCAATTTGCCACCTCTGTGCAACATAAATCACCCAGATCCCATAGATCCTGCAAAGGTACTTATAGAAATCTACCTGGAGCGCGATGATCACCTTGTATGGATGTCAGAAAACCACTGCGATAATGGTTAGAACCGATCACAAGCACAAAAACGTGACACCAGACAGGGCAGCACAACCAACTCCTTTTCGGCACACACGGCACCGAATCTAGAACCCTCAAGGCCTCACCCTACATGGCAGTATGAATGGCTATAACAACGGGAACGATTACGGTTTTTTCTGCGAACCGGAATTTCCAATTATATCATTCACCAGCTGTAAGGTGATTTCCAGTGTGGAAACTGAGTAAGCCTGTCTTTCCTTGCTGTCTTTGAGTCCGAGCGTTGATGTTGCTCGCTTAGCAGGTTGGGCGTGAAGGAGCGCTGTGACGTAGCATGGGTGTCAATGTGCATATGGAGTGCATTGAAATTCTGTAGCTGGCAATGATGAATCATTATGTCAGTTCGTGCGCTCGACTCGTGCTTGGCAAGCAAACCCCTCACAACTGGTTATCGAAATGTCATGGACGCGTACCCACCGACCTGCGAAGAAACTAAGTTAGGGTTCCCTACTCGAGTCGCATTCTTGGTGTACATTGTGAATGCATAATTCTGACTCTTGTAAAGTGAGTCTCATGCATGGTCCATGGGTCCAGCGTATTATTTTTACAGCCTTCTTCAATTGTTTGCTTTGTTCGCCGACGGTCTAACACTCGTTCACTTGAAAAGGCATGCAATCGTTCATCGATGCATCGTGCACCTGCTCTTTCACTCTCGGAACTGAGGTCACGCTGCGGCTAATGGCTCATGAATCATAACAGTGTCCGTCCTATCTATTGGGTATGGGAAGTCTATGGTAAGAGTACAGTAAGAAGCAAAACGGAATACAAGCGGGCACATATCTAGGATAAGTCATATCACATCACCCATCACCATCCTCATAACACCACCTCATCCTCGATTAACCCGGAAGCCCAAGCTTTATCCCACGAGCAAAAGAATTGTGTCAAGCGGGTCTTATCACGTGTAACCTCGAAGGACAGACCATCCGATTCTATCCTCTTCGTTCCAGGATCCGTCACAGGAAACGGCGGTGTCACCCACGGGAAGAACTCAGGGTCTTGCTTGTAAAGGGCAGCAGACACCGTGAGTCGCTCCACATGCAAGTCTAGTCCCTGTGTGACATATGACTGGAAATCGTAGGGGGCAGGCAGATGCGGGTAGACCACTGAAAAGGTTTGAAGGCTCTTCATATAAGCCCACGGAAGGTCGCGCATCCACATAGACACCGGGTTTTCTGGCGAGTCTACGCCACTGCTGATGTCGCGAAAATGGCATGAGTCCTCAGCCAAATCGATTAGATAAGTGAGATGCTGGATTGATGCAAAGAAAACAGATTCTTTGGAAATGTTCCGGAATATGTTCAGGACATAGTTGATGCTTTGTTGTATTATCGCCAAACTTTTGGTTTTCCCAGAAAAAGTGGATTGTCCGCTGATATTGTGATCGGTGCGGGAAGCGCAAGCGTTCTCCGCGCCTTCAAGCTCAAGGATAAACTTTAAATGGCGGCGGTCAACCACAAGTGCTGGCGCAGCAAGGATCACAGGAAGAAGCACGCTCATGTTGTGCTTGAGCTCAATATCTTTGTAGTAAGATTCGGCCATCACGTCCATCCACGAGTAGGACTGGGCTTGTGCATTGAGGGAATAGTCAAATGCCTCACAAATCCACATCCTCTGTACAGCGGGGGTATAGTCGAAGAAAAGATCGCTTTGCTCCTCAGCGTACGCTTTCTGCATAAGCAGAGCATTTGCGAACTTCTTCACGCTGTGACGTCGGCGGAGCAAGATCGTGTGCAGGAAATCGGGGAGGATGGTACGTCTGACAAGTCGAGAGACGAGACATAAGGATAGGGCGGTTGAGTAAGGATTTTTATTGTTATATTTTTCCCTTTGGGAAAACGTCGGCTGGGCTGCGTCTTTGAAGATGATCAAGAGAAGCTCGATAGGAAGGTCACTGAGTGGAGAGTGAGAGCGGATAGCAGGCTTCATGATGGAAGAGTAAGATACTTAGCTAGGTAGCAAGGGCTCTGCCTTTAATACTTTCCGCGCGTCACATCCACAGCAAGAGATGCACATTGTATCTGGGACCACAAGTTGTGACCATAAGGATAAAAAAAGTTGTGACCGGTGGACCATAACACAGTTATTGTTTCTTCTAGGTCGTACAATGTACTCTTGTCCTGCAAAAATTTCTATTCGTGATTCCCAAAGACCATCATAGTAATTATGCGATTGTGGCACGAACCGTAGAATCTACCTTCCGACCGGAGTCGATAACACGCATACAGACTCGTTGAAGTTTCGTCATGGCACAACTCTTATAGTGCATGGCTGGCCACTGGGTTAAGTTGTTCCTGGGAAAGTGAATTGCATCGGTTTGTCATTGGACATAAAGTAGAGAAATACTTTGCCATGCGTGTGCATAACGGTTCCTTTAGGGTTGACCAGCAACTTGAGCCCGATACTTACCTAGGCAACGAGCGTAGTTGGGGAAGTACACTTGTTCTCGGACTGGAATGTTCGGGAGTACCCTATGGTGAGTACTGTCCTCTGGCAATTCATCCGTTTTTTTTGGTAGGATGTCAGCGATGCACTCTGGAAAGTGGATGGTATCAGACGTAACAGGACCGCTGAAAAACCTTCAAACATCCAGTTTACGCGACAAGGGAGAGGCAACAGCGTAACCCTAGGTTAGCGCTGCAGGATATTACTAGACTTTGCATGTCTCATAGATTTAGAACATGATGAATTAGACTTCAGAATACATGCATACAAGCTACTGTGTCTGGGCACCGTAACCCCGGATGTTTTCTGCGAATGACCATGCAGTATCGAGTTGCATCGAATCACTGATAGATACGCCTGCACTAGAGATTGCAGCAATTTGAAACTAAAGGAGAAGTCAGTTGATCAATTAGGTGAACATAATAGTCACTGCGAGGATGTACCTTATTCAAACTTCGGGCATCTCTGTAGAATAGCACGCGCAGGCTATCCTCTAGGATCTTTCGTGCTTCCTCTTCAGTAATGACGTCCTCCCTCCCTTCGACGGCCTTACGCAACAGTGGTTGGGCAATGAAAGCGCCGTACCCAGTAGCAAGTGTCGAAGCAGAATAGGTCGTACCCAATAGGTCAACGTACGACAAAAACCTTGAATAATAGTTGAATCCTGCTCGAGAATGACGTAGCACATCCTTACCTCTTGCCGTCCTTGAATCCACCAATAAGCAGAGAATTCCAGAGCGGATTCATCTTGGACCGGCGCGCATACATGAGCTGCGACATGTATTCATGGATCTCGACAGGACCAAGCTCATGTCCATCCTGTGCAGATATCTCATCGATGGATAGTTCTTCAAGGATATACTGAATATACTGGAAGTCCGACATATCGCCTCCAGCACCAATCACAGTATAGTTGCCGACTTGGTGCAGACGCTGTACATCCTTGAATCGAGCGAGGGACCCGTATGAAGCTATTGGAGAACACATAAACCGATGAATGGGATGACTTCGAAGTGAAATTACCGAGGTTGTCAGCGGCCATCATGACACCATCCTTGTACTTGATCGCCAGCACACTCGTTCCAGTTACAATTGGTTGTCTACATATCAAGTCGAGTCTCGTTGATGGAAAGGAAGAGGATTAAGTGAACAGACTTACTGCGTTCGCTGTACGCCATCAGCGAAAGAATCCTTTGGACCATTATATGGTCGCTGGTGAATGGGGTAGGTAGCATATGCATCAAAAGCGTCGTTTCTCTGCAAAATCTGAATTAGTGCTGTACTCTATCTCCAGTTCACGATACTTACCGGACGACCCCAGTTAGTTGGAAAGTGGTCCATGGTAGAGTTGGTAGAACAGGTTAATCGACGCGCAAGCCAGACGCGACATCATTATGTCAGCAGTTCTGCATGTGTCCTGGCAGCCTGAGCGCTACATACTCGTAACGGTTGCTGCGTAAGCCACGCGTCTACCTAACATACGAACAGACTCGAACGTTAATTCTTGGAGCCAAGTTGGTAGGCTCGTGGTGAATCGACCGTCACAGAGCCCACTGAAATTTGAGTGATGCCAATGTATGGTTATGATGATCTCTTTGCTAGAGCTCATGATCAGTCAGGCACATATCTTTTACTAAATTCTCATTGCTACTTCCCTGACTGACAAATTATACACTCTTAGGTCCTTGGGGAATAAAAAAAACATTAATTCGGCCCAACAAAGTTCATGTGACAAGTTGCTATAGGGTATAGGCGGCATGGAACTCGATAATCTATCTCTTTATGATGAAGATGTGGAAGGCAGCTGATGAACTTCGAACTCATATTCCGTACCGCTCTCGACATGTTACAAACACTGGCTTTTATGCGTAGGATGTCTTAGTATTTGCTGGTGCCAGCAGTTGTGATCCGGATTACTTATTTGTCAATGATAGACTTATCTGCTACTAGCATGACACCGAGCTCAAAGCACAAATCGTTGGTTCATGTCGCGCAAGCATATATGTGTTAATTGCACGACAACTTTGGCACCGCCGTCCTGAAGACCCATCGTTGTCGGCGGTCGTGCGACAAGGTGCGTCATACGCTAGTACTTTTTGGTTTGATATTTCGACAACCTTCGAATTGCTAGAATCCCATCTTTTACGTCTCGGCTCTAAGACTCATCACGTACTTATTGAGTAGTACGAATCCTTTGATCAAGCCAGCTATCGTCCATATAGTGCAAAAACTGGCCCTGCCCATCGCCTCACAGTACCTCGATGGGTGTCTTGCACGAAAGTTGAGGCTCACGTCAGGTCCGACTCATCGGGCGCTTAACCACCACCTCCACGACATTTAACCGATCGGTCAAGCAAGTTACGGACATGCGTTTGACATACGTGATTCGGAATCCGCGCTGATCATACTAGTTCTTGTTTTCTATAGGGTTGTGTCACCAACAACCACCGTACCGAACATTATGCAAGCATATAAAAACTTTACCATCATCTGGTGCACACCCCAGTTGAACTTCGTTCGTCTTTGTTACAACCCCATATCACGACCCACCCACACTCGTTTATCATGTTCAACAAGTCCACTCTTTTGATCATCATCGGTGCTGCCTTCGCAGTTGCTATTCCCACCGGGTCCATCCCCAAGGGTCCTAGTACCCTAGATAACGTCCGCGTTCTCGACAACAGTGTCAGCATCCCCGGCGTCTCTGACGTCAAAACACCATCCACAAACTACGTTGGCATCGCTGATGTAGACAAGGAGGTATCCAATCTTTCCCTCCAGCTTCCCCAAGTAGAGAAGGAGAAGGCGCCCACAGTTCCTAAGGACACTAGCAGCGCCCCTGTCCCTCTGGATGAGTCTCTTACCACAGACGAACTCCCCAAGGTTGATGCATCCACTATCCAATCACCATCGCTGCCGAGTCAGGGCAACGACAAGTCGGAGAAGACACCTGATGCCTCCACACTCACGCCCCCCAGTGGTTCAGCGTCCATTGCCTGGTATGCTCGGACTCTGCCCAACAACACAACGCCCCAAAACCCCGATGCATCTCACATGCAGTCTGCGGTCGGGGAAGTTAGCAAGGTAGTCATGATTAAAGGTAATTTGCCGCGAGAACGTCACATTCCAGGCGTTCACATGCTTTCCTTGCCCTCCACACCCGAGCTCACTCAGTCTTCACCCCCCAAAGAATCGAGTTCGCCTGCAACCGATGCCGCCAAGGCTCAGAAGAGGGCCTCGTCTCCCAACGTCAAGCCATCATCGCTGGCGCGCCGCGCCGAGTCGTGTAACTCTGACTACACCTTGACCTACTGCAAGATGGTCTTGCAGTCGGATGACAGTCGCACTCCGAAGCTGCTCCAGTACCTAAGTGTGGACACCTCTGCCACTGGCCCAGTGGGCTTGTCCTGCTCGGATACACAGACGACTGACTAGTGAGTTTCTCATCTTATCTTCTTTTACGGTCGGTTAATATCGTTCGTTAGCGTCTACCCTCTTTGCACCAAAATGATGACGGAAGTGACGGATCTGGGGACTGTGGCCCTTGACACTGTTGAGGCCGTTTACACCGCTGTTTCCAGTGTCGTTACCGTTGCCTAAGCCGCACATGTATACTTTTTGTCCTTTGATTTGAACCTGAAGTCGATACAAGTGGAACCGTTTTTGGGCGTAGCATAGTGTTTGAATGTTTCTTACGAGTAGTACATATTGTTTACACTGATTTACTACCTCGATTATCGATTATATACCCATACTTATGTAATGTTTGCTCATACATGTAATCCAAATCTATCATCAGCTTCATCCAACCGGCCCTAAACCGACCGTATATGTAAATTTGACATCCAGTCTTCAACTTTTTCAACTCATTCCGGACTCGCACTATTGTCCCCCTGCGATGCGACCTTAAAGGTTCTGGTTGCAGGAGTCTACCGCAGGTCCCAGACTGTCGAGCAGCTCAGCTGGAGTGCACCTTCGTACGTGGTACAGTCGCGAGACCTTGAGGATGCTTTCCTTACCAGAGCTGCTACACTTACTTTGATACTTGCAATTAGTTCAAATTTGGGCGTGTTACGGAGGTCATCGATTCATCGCTGGTATGTATAGCGGTATATTACGATTGTATATCAGCGACTATGTTTCTCGTATCGATTCAGGGTTCGAGGTAATAATGACATTATGACTTTAATCATTGATCGTACCAATGTTATCCGCGGATGAATTCATTCCAAGAGAAAGAACAAAATCGAAGGCATGTCTAATACGCATCAATGATGTACTTGGTATAGCTCGAATCTAATACTAACGGTAGTGCCACATGTCACGAGATGGAAAAGACGGCGAGCAGGGAGCTCGGAGTAGGAAATGTGAAATGGCCACCTCTATTATATTCTGATCATCGACGAAAGACTGCGCCCAAATCTCAAGGTACGTCTATAGACATGGGTTGTAGTAGTCAACAACACATATCATAGACGTACCTTGGATCCGCCAGGTGAGCTCGAAAAAATGTATGTCAACACAAAAGCAAGAAGATGAGATGAAAAGAAGAAGATGCGGAGAACTGAAATGGGAGTGGGAACGATGACCAAAATAAGTGAGCGTGCAGAGTGCGTGCAGTAATGACGAACGTAGTGGCCGGTGAGTATCGAAAGACGGAACTGCGCGTAAGTGGAAGCGACTGAGGCATGGTCCTTCGAGCATGGAACTGCAGAAGAGTACTTGATCGAGGTGCGAAGCGAACAAATCGATTAGGCGAAAGGACGAAGGGGCACGCGAGCAAGACGAAGACAAGGAACAGACAAGCAGGCAAAAACTTATTCACCTTGCAACCCCAGCAACTAACCACTCCATCACGAACGACAGTCTCAGGCTCACACCTGCTGCACAACACCCAAATGCACGCTGTACCATGCATCAGGCGCACTCCTGCGGCCACCGCACACGTTCACCATTCAGCCAAAGGAAAGAACTCACCGACCATAGCGAAATAGTGGTGAACCACAACAAAGAAGATAAAGCATCTTTATTTACTAACCGGCATCTAAGGGAACGTCAGCGGGCAATATCCACCTTGGGGGTATACCGCATAGCCAGGCTCCTTGAGAGTGAATGATAAAGGCTCGATGACGCTGCGAAGAGCCAGTAATTTGGCGGGCGGGTAGTCAATAGAGAAGCTAATAGATGCACCGAAAGGTCCAGGGATCGAGTCGGACTGACATTTATCCAATGGCAACCTTGTCGCGATGATGTGAAGGGGAAATGATCATATAGTGAAAAAGGGAAACGGTAACTAGTAAAAATGTGGTGGAATAGAGAAGAGAGCGAGGTGACGGGAAAGTAGAGAAGACGGAATACTTATACACTCGCACCCAAGAGGCTGACGCGGATGGCAATGCTTACAACGCGCATCCAAATGACGCGATGACATCTACCAGCCAGCCGCATTCCGATCAAATCCAGCGGTGAGCAACAGATTTGGTACTCCCGCGCACCCCAAATTCGAGCCCAACTTGGTCATGGGGGCTCGGGAGGCAGTGACTCTATCTGACTGCATTTATTGAAAATGCTCAGTCCGTGCTATGGAGCCTTGGAGGTACAGCTCCAGGTCATTCGAATCCATGTCAAGACCGCTGTGACACGTGACAAACTTGATATCTTAGTTGTGAGCCTGCGGCCCACTCACAAAAGACTCTTCCTAGGATGACCAAGGGTTTGTCTTGATCGAGGCTCGAAGAATTAATGATCTAAATCGAAGATTTAACAGGTGGCTGGTATATTGAGGCCTTGAGGCATGATATCAAGTGAAATGCGTTCGATAGTAGCATAATTTTATCCTATGTTCAAGTGACCCGGATGTTTGAGAGGTACGCATCATTACTTGACGAGGCAAATTTTAAACTCCGCGCTTTGCCTGTCAAATTTCTCCGAGATCGACCAGTCTGACTTTAACAGTAAAGACTGGTTACGAGTCTAACTTCTGCTTGTATCACGACTGTTCACCATAAGTACGTGTTATTGAAGATTTCTCCTGCTTATTGGTAAATATTTAGTGATATCTAGTGTCTAGCTCGGCGAGAGTGTAAAACCAACACTGAGGCTAGGCTAGCGCTGAGCGCTGAGACCTGAGCCTGAGGCCTGGAAGTGTAACTACAAGATACCTGCAATAAGTATCGTGAGGTCGCAAGACGCCGATCAAGAATTTGAACGTTGTGACGCACATGTCAAGAAGACGAGAAGGCAATGCATATGCATGGTGCGCAAGAAGTCACCACACATATACGGCAATAGCCTTCTGTAGGCGCTCACTTGTTCCTGTCAGTGCGGTCTCATTATTTCATCTTTGCACTCTGGTGACCTAGGATGCGAGGAGCAGCGACAATTAATATCTGGACAGCCTTCGTTTCAGATTGTTCGAATACGACCTTGGCGATGGTGGCCAGTCAATACTTGAAGTTTAGTAGGCTCTCGTCTTTCGAATCAAAGTTGCCACATCCACTTTTGGTTAGGGCTATAATTTGCTGTCATTATCTTAGTTGAGACTCGTGATTCAAGTGTTTATCTATATTAACTGATACGTTTGACCGTCAGTTCGGCCGACACACTAAAAAGGATGCATATCTCCTGATTGCTAGGTGAATTGTCATTCGCCGTCTAGTGCGGGCAGTGCTACAGCATAGAACGTGGTTTTAAAGTGGTCTCATCACAAGCAGGTACTAATAGTGGAGATGGGCCGTCTCCTTCGTTCCAAGCGTTCGTCCGTTCCTACTTCATTTCACCGTGTACATCAGTGTCACATTCGATTCTATTGTTACTTCAGGCTATTCGTACACAATGTCGCATGCAGACACGCGGAACAAGTTTCTCGCAGTCTTTGAGGGCATCCGGGAAGAACTGATTGCGCATATGAAGTCCGAGAATATGCCTGAAGATGCCATTGCGTGGTTCAATGAGGTGACTAGTTATATGCTTTCCACTGAATCTCGATATTCACGTCTTTGTCGGGACTGCCATCAATGACGGTCACTGGTTACACCACTCGTGACATTCGACTCCTATCTTATTAGAACTTAATCTACAATGTCCCTGGAGGTAAACTCAATCGTGGCATATCCGTCGTTGACAGCGTCACAATTCTCTTAAACCGCCTTCCAACCGACGACGAGTACTTCAAAGCCGCCCTCCTCGGATGGTGTATCGAACTTGTACGTTCTCCGTTCTTCATTTCGAACTATTCTTAGTCACCCCTGATAGCTTCAAGCATTCTTCCTCGTTTCCGATGACATCATGGACCGTTCCATTTCGCGCCGTGGCCAGCCGTGCTGGTACCGCGTCTCTGATGTCAAAGGGCTTGGAAAGGTACACAATATTGCTATCAACGACTCATGCATGCTTGAGGGCGCTATCTACCACATCCTCAAGAACCACTTCAGACGTGAGACCTATTACGTTGATTTATTGGAGTTGTTCCAGGAGGTTGCATACTACACCCTTTCATTGCATCTCACTTACGCTCGCCCAGGTAACTTACAAGACCGAGATGGGTCAACTCGTTGACCAAATCACTGCCCCCGAGGACAACCTCAACATAGACAAATATACCCTCTCAAAACATACTTTCATTGTGCAATACAAAACAGCCTACTACTCTTTCTACCTGAGTGTTGCGCTTGCCATGCGCATGTGTGGTGTCCCGGACGCATACGAGCTCAACGGAAAGACCGTCGAGCCATACAAAGAAGCCGACCGGATTCTCATTCCCATGGGCGAGTTCTTCCAGGTTCAAGACGACTACCTGGACTACCACGGCACTGAGGCGCAGATCGGGAAGATTGGTACGGACATCATTGACGGCAAGTGCTCCTGGTGCGTATGTACGGCACTCACGCACGGCACCGACATGCAAAAACAATTCATGTTCGAGAACTACGGCAAGAAGGGTCCAGAACAGACTACGAGGGAGCAAGCTGTGAAAGACATGTACAATGACGAGGAGGGGTTGAACATTCCCAAGCGCTATGAAGAGTATTCGAAGAATGCAATAGCGGAGATTAATGCGATGATAGAGCTGCTACCAGAGCCTGGTGCGCAGGACGAGTTGAGGGATGATAGGTTAAGGCAGGACGTGTTCCGGGCTTTCCTAAGCAAGATTACTGATCGTACGGCGTAGGACTAGATGAGTCTCAGAGGTGTAAGAAGAGACCTTTAATTGGCAATTGCGAGGTTCTGTCGAATTATGTAATGTTAGTCTGATTCACCGGACTACCTGTCTCAGGTCTGTACATCACTTTGACAGTTTGACTAGCTCAAGTTTCTTGCGCACTGATCTTCGACTCTGCGGCTGAAAGCTGTTAAATGATATGGCCTAACCCGATTATGATATCGATTCATCATCAATCCTAAGTATGGACTATGGAGGCAATATCGAAATTCGGATCCGGACAAGCCTCCTTCCAACCGCATGAAGTCACTATAACGTTACCCCGGCGGATCACCAATTGCGTTGAGACGTTGATACTGAGTGTTACTGACCACTTGCGATGTCCAACTCAAAGGAAGCAGATCCGCATCCGTCTCGATGGCGCAGGTTTTTCCAGTACATTGAGGTACCCACGGATCCTGGAGTGCCCAATACATCATGGCTCAACCGCGACCTCATCCCCATGCCCAAAGAGCGCCGCACCTATAAGATATGGTCCTACTTCATCTACTGGTGCATCAGTGGTCTCTGCATTTCAGGGTATACTACCGGCAGCACATTACTCGCGTACGGCCTAGATGCGACACAGGCCATTGTGTCTCTCGTCATCGGCGGTCTTATCGTTGGAGTGCTTTGTGTCACCTGCGGGTGGATGGGAGAGAGGTGGGGATGCTGTGGTCACGGGATGGGTTCCATCGAAATGCTGACAGCTTATATGAAGACACCACATAGGTTTTACTGTAGCGTGCAGGTTCAGCTGGGGCATGCGGCGAGTATGCAACAATTGACGGCGGCAATATCATGTTGATTCCTCTAGCAGAGGCGCCTATTTTCCTGTTATCATTCGTGCTTTTGTGTGAGTGATGCGCTAAATATATTGGGGTACACTGCTTGATTTCACAATTCAAGGATCATCTTGTAAGTTCTGAGTTTCTTTTTCAAGTGCTGAAAGCTGATATGCGCATTTAGCTGGGATGGCCTCCAGGCCTACTGGGGTGGACAAGGTGACTTGTTTTCTACGCCTGTTCTCTGTTATGTTGCTGATGAACTTTCGTGCAGCTGTTGCGGTACGTCTCCAAGTCCTCGTGCATCTTACTTCATTCCACGCATCTGAATAGGTTACAATCGGCGCCATCATTCCCGGTGCGCAACCTTTCTTTGAGATTGTTCAATGCTTATTTTATCTTGTTTAGGATTTGCCCACATGTGAGCACACCCAGCTTGTTAAGTTTTCCAGCCACTTACACACAATGATTTAGGAAACAGACGTTAGCAGGTGGAATCTTGCTGACCAAGGACTTCATAGGCATAATGTTCGATACATCCTCTTTCCACGAATTCATTCAAATTGACTGTTGTATGCAGCATCTACTACGTGTTCTTCATCGCAATCATGCGCATCCCTCCTGAACGACTCCAGAAACCCTTCATCGTCTCGTCTGTCATGTTTAGCGCCACGTAAGCATCGTCACCATTTTAACTTCACGCATGCGCTGCACTTACTCTACAATCCAGCCTGATCGGACTTCTTGCTTGGGCGGTCTCGAACACACATTCTGGCGGTCCCTTGTTTCAGGAGCAAGCGAGTCCCGTTCATGGTGGAACAGGATGGTGAGATCAAGACTTGAGATAAAATCAGATATCTTGTTAAATAAAACGATAGGGCCATGTTATTCGGTATCACTGCGATTCTTGGCGCGTGGTGCGAGACTGTCCTTTTGTCGCTTGCACGCTCACCTGATATATGTTATGGCTATGGTGAATAGGGGTGGTGGAACCGTTGGTCAGAGCGATTGGACGCGCTATGCTAACCGGCCATGTCTGCCCAACGTCACCACATTCTTGTTTGTCAGACTAACACATCCATTCAGATGCGCCTACGCTATCTCAGTTAATCGCTGCGTACGTCTACAACCTATATTCACCATGGTTTACCTGACTGATTACTCCCAGTCCATTTTGCATCATTGTATGTGCCACGATTGGTATCATCGTCACGTCATGCGCACAAGAAATTGTAGGGAGTTTGATTTGGGAGCCTTTCCTGCTTCTCGCAACTCTGCAGAATTACTAGTAAGTTGGGGGGAGGGGGAGTTCGTCCGCTGGGTATAGCTTAACTCCTTTTTTTCAGTAATGACTCCCCGAGAGGTAAGGACAATCTCACGGTAAGTGTGGGTGCTCACTTCTCCATCGGACAGTTCGCGCTGCGATGTATGTAACACGTCAATCGCTCTAGCTTCTTCTCTGACTGCGCTTCAGTTTCTTTGCCGGACTCGGCTGTGTATGCGCCCAGCTCGGCATTAGCATTGTTCTCAACTCTGTGAGTGCCGGAATGGATCTTTCGTACGTCCTTACTCTCGTGTTCCAACATCTACCTAACACACGAGCAGGGGTGTCGTACCGTCCGTATTTTATGTTTATTGTGCCCCAAATGCACGAATCAACGAATGTTCTTCCGCAGACGCTATATCAACATCAGGAGGGGTGCTTACCTGCTCGCCTTCCTGGGGCTAGCTTCAAACCCTTGGCAATACCTGTCTAATGCTTCAATTTTCTTGACCGTACTATCTGGCTTCGGAATATTCTGTACGTGTTAAAGAAGTCTGATTCATCACGATAAACTGATCCTCCCCAGTCGCTCCCTTTTCTGGGATTCTTCTCGCAGACTACTTCGTGGTAAGGAGATGTATGATCAAGCTCGAGGACTGCTACATCGGAGACAAGCGCTCTATTTACTGGTACGCAAACATCATAAGTCATATTCTTCCTCTCACTTCTGTCAAGGTACCACAATGGCGTGAACTGGCGCGCCCCACTCGCCTGGGTGCTTGGGGTCTTCCCAACCATGCCTGGGTTAATCATGACAACCCGCGACGCGACTGCGTGGAATGTGTGGGTGCGCATTTTCCACATCGCGTTCTTCGTCGGTAGGTTTACTGCTATAAAATAGTGTTTTAAATATTCGTTAAAATTCAGCAACTCTGCAGGCCTTTTGATATCATTCGTCGCGTTCTCGGTGATTTGTTGGGTCTCACCCCCGGGAAATGTGGGTATTGGAGTGCTGTATCATGAGGAAAATAGTTTCGAAGTGGAGGGTGAACTGGAAGCCGAGGAGAAGGAAAAGGGACCAGTGTAAAATTGGCATAGATGGTGGTTTGATCTGCAAGACCTCCTATGCTATCATGTTCATGTTGATCCGCGACAAGGTTATGGAATGAGGACTACTGTGGGGCTGCAGCCCAAGTTCACAAGTCCTCTAGAGTATTGGGCATCACGATGTCAAGGAGTCCTACAAACGACGCAGTAATCTGTTGACGTTAAGATGTCTGAACACGCATTAGTATTCAAAGAGTATTAGAGAACGAGCATCGAACCGACGATTTCGCAAATTTGTCCTTACACCTTCACGGTTATGTGGGAATGGAACTGTAAACACATCACTAGTGAGGTTTACATAGCAGGTCGAGCGAGGCTTGGATGCGTGACCAATGACTGGATCTTACACCTTGCCACGTTCCAAATTTTGGGAATCTCACCGTCAAATGCAAGTGTGGGACATGTGTGACTCCCTTGGGTTATACATTGTATGCACAAAGCGAAGAAATAAATTGATTGTCTAGTGGGTGGCATTCTATAAATCATTCGCTTGCAACCGTGTCACGGCACGAAAATTTTACAAACACAGCAGGTATATCTTTAGAACTAACGAGTGCAATTCCCTGCTGCTCCGATCATCTCCACAGTGCTGGCCTACGTCGATGATGAGTACATGGCAGCAACACTAATGGAAATAGAAATACGCACATCCTGGCAGCAGAGTACGGTCATTGAATTACCACATGCATTCACAGTGGGAACCGTCGTGCACCCCGTACCTGAACTCTATACAACGTCGAGCGCAGGTCAAGTTAGTTCGCGTGCTCCTTGGAGCTAGAATCAAAAACGCACATAATCATCGCTGACAGCAGCACAACACGTCGGGAACCCCGATGCGCAGCCTCCTACATTCTGGCCAACGACTACAACGTTGGGTTCGGGAGCAGGTGTCGCGATCATGGAGACAGATGCACAAAGCAACACCAATAGATGGGTGAACATGGCGTGATGTATAGGAAACTCGGGGGAATAAAATTTAAGGACATATTTTCAGGATGGCTGGTAGAAATATGGTGGCAGAGGCTTGCGTTCGCTGAAAACCGTGACCGAGCCATAGCCGAGATGTCATTTAATCAGTCGAACTTCTCGCCGAAGAGTTCAATTGTGAGATCTTACATCACCCATGGATTCGAGGTAACCAACGGTTACCAACCCAAGAGTCTCCAACCAACCTATGGAAGAACTTTGGCTTTTGCACTCAGCATGCAGCGAGTTGTTGTAGTTTGAAAACAAGAGTTAAAGAAAACCGAGCAGTAAAAACATAGTAGAATGCTAGTGCATTAAGAGGGAATCGAACCCCCGGCGGGTCGATGGCAACGACCCAGGTTACCACTACCCCATTAATGCCTGTGCTAGCCGAAGTATCGTCGGGGACCATGACGGCATCAGCGACACTGTGGGAAGTATGCCGACCATGAGCGAGCGCTTAACATCTTTCGCCGACAATGTCATATGCGTACGGGCCCTACGGCCGCTCACCGTCTCCTGTATTTACACAGAGTTCTGTGTCACTAGATGACTCCTCAGCGGATGAAACACCTGATGTCCAACCAAGCGCGAGCCGAACAGGCTCGCCGGGGCCTCTAAATGCTGAGCATGGGGAGGCAGCAGGGTCAGACACGATGACATGCCTGTGGGATGACTGTGGCGTTGTATTTAGCCACCTCCCCAGTCTCATAGAACACATTCACACCAGTATGTTCATGTCCTGATGTCGTCGAAACTGAACATCACGTATATGTGTGTGTTACAGCGCACATCGGTGTGCACAAGTCGAACTACACTTGCGAGTGGGCAACATGCAACCGTCGTGGGCTCGCACAGACTTCGCGGTTCGCCCTCATATCCCATATCCGCTCGCATACTGGCGAGAAACCCTTCATTTGTTCCCGGCCAGGTGAGTGGTGTGACATTCATTTATTCTCGATCCCATTCAAAGTAAAAACCAAACATCACCAATCTCCTTGTATTCTGTTTTACTTTTACTTTAATATTAATAATAACAATGATTCAACTCCATGCACCCATTGTTATCCACAATGTAACAATCGTTATCCACAACAGTTTACCCTAATTTCACTTCTCTTTTACATACCCACTCAAATATCCTCAGAATGCGACAAGTCCTTCACCCGCTCCGACGCACTGGCAAAACACATGCGACTACAACATAACATGCCCCCTCCACCCTCCGGTAGGGGCGCCTCAGGAGCACGCAAACGCAAGCGGTCTCTCTCTCCATCCCATCCTCAAACCAACGTACCTACCCCCGAGCAATCCGCATTCAGCACCTTCAAGCTCGAGCCACAGACGCCTTCTGAGCTTGAGAACGGGATTGGAGGTGGAGATTACTTTTCGGCGCTCACGCGTGAGGAAGAGGAAGATGACGACGATGGAGAGGACGATGGACTTCCACCGCATCTGCAGCGGCTCGTAGACCCTAGAACTGGCTTGATTATGGGCCGCACTCCTGCACTCGTTATGTATGTAATCCAGAAAGCGAAAATGCGCTACGCGCTTGAAACCCATGCAGCGCTCATCGAGGAACTCAGGTGCGCTGAATTGATCTAGATAGTCCTCGCGGCATTGATATCATCTCCTTTAGGGTCACGAGGGCACAGGCGAAAGACGAAAAGTTGAAGAAAGAAACAATGCTGGATGAATTGATCAAAAGTGTCTTTGGGTGCGTTTGTCCATGTCCGTACTCTGCTTGATCTTCATTAAATGGGTCTTGCTGCTATCCAGAGAGGAAGCAACAGCAGCTGTCACACAAGTCCCTCCCCCACAGCGAGGTCACCGAATCTTACCACCACAAGCACACCATGTGCCAGCTGCGTATCCACCGCAACATGTGCAATCAGGCTTGCCCTAAATCTCTTGTATCAATATTCTGCTATCGTAATGGTGATTTTGACATTGCCCATGCGTGTCATGCAAGTTCGTGCAGCCTGTGACTAGGATATTAATTATACCTATCCTGCTAAATCCTGCCTAGTAGAAGCCTCTGTCGTCCTTATCGCGCATGTCCCTCATAAGCCACAGTTTTTTTATCGATGTCGTCGAATGGTCTGCTGTGTTTAACGAATCATCCATGTGATGACTTGAAGTCACGTCTTCACTAGGGTCTAGTGCTATGATCCATGATAAGATTTCCTATAGTCTAACACAAAGCAGCGGATATAAACCAAGTAACAATTACAGTGATTGATTTTTACAACTACTCCCCTATGCCTTGCGGTCAGTGATCTTGCTCAAGAAGGCGCGGAATGCATCTCGTCTCAACCTATTGCCCTTGCCCACCTCGTGTGCCCCAGGTTCAGGCACCTGATCAATCATCGCATTGATATCTGCGACAGCCTTCTTCTGATACTCCTCATAGCGCCTGGGAATGTTCAGCCCCTGCTCGTCGTTATACATGTCCTTCACAGCTTGCTCCCGCACGGCCTGATCTGCGCCCTTCTTCCCGTAGTTCTCATACAGGAGCTGTTTCTGCGCTTCGGTGCCGTGCGTGAGTGCTGTGCACACACACCAAGAACATTTTCCATCAACGATGTCCGTGCCAATTTTGCCGATTTCTGCCTCGGTGCCGTGGTAGTCTAGGTAGTCGTCTTGCACTTGGAAAAACTCGCCCATAGGAATGAGGATCCGGTCTGCTTCTTTATACGCCTCGATGGTCTTTCCGTTGATCTCGTATACATCTGGGACACCACACATGCGCATGGCGAGCGCGACACTGAGGTAGAAAGAGTAGAATGCGGTCTTATACCGTACAATGAAAGTATGTTTGTCGAGGTTGTATTTGCGAATGTCGATGTTTTCTTCCGGGGCAGTGATCAAATCGACGAGCTGGCCCATCTCAGTTTTGTACGTGACCTGCAGCATGTCCACGTCAGAAGATGAGAACGCAGCATAAGGGACTGCAAGAAGCATACCTCCTGGAACAGCTCCAACAGATCTACGTAGTAGCTCTCTCGCCTGAAGTGAGTCTTCAGGAGGTGGTAAATTGCACCCTCGAGCATGAAGGAGTCGTTGATTGCGATGTTGTGGACCTTTCCGAGGCCCTTGACATCATGGACGCGGTACCAACAAGGTTGACCGCGTCGTGAGATGGAAGCATCCATCATGTCATCAGATACAAGGAAAAAGGCTTGTAGCTATAATTATAAGAGGATGCTATTGGCTGAGCATGCGGGAGAAGCCGATAAAGGACTGAAACGCACGAGTTCGATACACCATCCAAGCAGGGCTGCTTTGAAGTACTCGTCATCAGTTAGAGGTCGGTTGAGAAGTATTGCAACAGTATCGACGACAGATATGCCGCGATTGAGTTTGCCTCCGGGAACATTGTAAACAAGGTTCTAGCCAATGAAAGGAGGCAGGTTGCAAAAAGATGGTCATATCAATCACTGTCTGTGGAATACACGAAAGATCACCTACCTCGTTGAACCACGTCACGGCGTCCTCGGGCATATTTTCTGACTTCATATGGTTAATAAGTTCCTCGCGGATGCGCTCGAATACGGCGAGGAACTTGTCACGCTTGTCTGCTTTCGATATTGCCATGTGTGCAGGTGTCGAATATGATAAGATTGGGCTTGGTATTGACGGACTTTTGGAGGCTAGGGAGACGTGGTCTAGGGTATGGTACTTGTGGTTGACGATGAAAGCTAGAAACAAGACGAGGAGAGGTAGAATATGATAGATGCCTGCACGTTGGTTAAGTATAGTAAAAAACATTAATAGTTAAGTTAGGAGTGGCCTTATAATAATGAGACCACTTTTGAATTTTGAAATTGATAACTTAAATTAACTTGCTTCTTCTAACAAGGTTCCAAACGCTTCGCCCACCCGTCGCTCAGCTGTCCGACGCGAAGACGAGTAAAGTTAGGCGGTCTAGTTTGGTACAAGTACGCGTCTGAGCCCAAGTTAAGTACACAGTACTAGTACAGTTCGGAAACGGCTATGCGCAGCCAGTTCGGCTCCAGGCTGATCAAGGTTTGAGTAAAAACTATCGTGTCCGTTCCACCGCGGAACTAATCCGAAGGGGTGAGCTCCAAGATCTGATAACACAGTTTGAATATGAAAATCGACGTCCCTAAAGTAAGATGGTGTATGCTGGAGGACGCCCCCCCTGCGTTACTGTTCCAATCAATATGATGGATTCGGGACGAAGCAACATTGACGTTATCATGAGGAATATATCGCACAGTTTCGCCAGATCTGCCGGTTACAACCGGAAAATCTGACTACACCATTCCTATGCAGGCCATATTGAGGGAAGACAGTTAAACAAATACCGGCCTGGTTTCCTCTGGAAATGCATGCACAACGCGTATAAAATAGGTGAACACTGCTCGAGTACAATACCGAATTATAGAAGCTGTTGCGGCGAACGCCGAAGAAGAACATATATTAATAGACTGCGAACTCTCACTCCACGTGATGTAATCTGGAGCCTACTACTTCAATAAGATGATAGGTACCATACTTGATGCCGGTCTATAATAACCCTGGCCAAAGGGAATGTAAAAGCAGACACGAATATACACGTGCGGAGAGCAGTATGAAATTCGAAAGCATTAAGAGGTCTCGTATCACATATGTGTTCTACAGAAAATTACATATGTTGTAAAGGCACATCAACACTCGATACTTGGGTCCGAATTTTAAAACGATAGTGCATCACAAGCTCACCAGCCTGACGCCAGAAATAATGTCGTACAGCAGCCAAAGTCATATCCAACGGCAGAACAGAATCATTGCAGAGAATTTCGTACAGGTCTTCGCCTCGAGCACGATCATGCGAGTTTTGATTATCGTCATGCGGTGGATGATGGGTCGATGTAGGACTGCCAGATATTTTGTCCAACTTTTCCTGAACCTGTATGTGATATTAACTATTGCATCGCCCACACAGGGGATCAACTTACATGATGAGTCAGCTTGCGAACTCTCAGGAACCTGCTCGACGTTAATTTGGACTGTGACCTTTTAGAAACACATTTAGAATACACGGCGCGTGATGAATTAAATTGACTAACGTGTTGAGCAACTCCGGGAGTGGCTCATGTCCCTGTTCTGTGCCTGGCCAGGGTAGTAATACAAAAGAGACCTTTGCAGGAGGCGGGCTCGTAATTTTGTTGAATAGCAGGTATTCAGCAAGCCACAGAGGTATCGTCGACTCCAACTTGTACACGTCAGCCCATGTAGTCGACACGCTGCCCCTATAAACCGTTCTCCACCCGGGATATACTTCGTCAGATATCAATATTGTCATTGCCGGAGGCAACATCAAAGTGGGAGCATCATTGGACGCAGGAGGTGAGATAGGGTGTGCAAGGAGTGCCTGTACAGGGGATTTTTCAACGGTGTCTGCAGGCGCCTGGACAAAGCAACAGTCAGACAAACACAAATTTTCGTGTTCACTAAAATCACCTCTGGAGCGGTTGGCATATCGGCCAGATTGCCAGCAGGGCTAGATATAGGTGAACCCGGTAATGCGTCAATGGTCATTTTTCTCACAGTGCCTTTACCAAGGCTCTTCAGACGCCCCATGAACCCGCTGCCGCCAGTAGGGGTGCTTGATGTCGGTGTTGCCAAGACACTCGGAGGACCACTCCACGCAGAAAAATCACCGGCATCTGACAGCGCGGTGCTTCCCGTAGACGGGCGCCGTGTATGAGGATGGGGCGAGAAATAGTCCAAGTCCCGAGACGCGCTGGGGAGCGGTGTCACTGGATCAAGGCCTTGCGTGCGTATTGGTCGAGGGACAGAAGTGGTATCGTTCGGAGGCAATTGAGGGATAATGGATAACGGTGGAGGAGATTTCAGCGCAACGAGCGGTATCATCGGGGTAAGAAGAGGGCTGGGTCGAGTCAAAGAGGGAAGTGAAGGAAGGACAGCGGGCAAACAAGTGGTTGATGTCACAACTGCACTACTAACAAGAACTCGCGACGGCCTCGTTGAAGACTCGAAGGAATGCCGCAGTGTGGAACTTGATGAGTTCCCATTCGGTTCCAGTGATGGAGCCACAGTGCGCTGTATAGTTGAGTTACCAGTCTCGGAACCGTCGCGTTTACGACGAATGCGTTGCTCCTCGCGGATAAAGCCGAGAAACAGATTTCGTAGGACCCACCGGCCAATGTTAACTGAAGCGTGTGTTCGGATTAGATGACAATTAACACAAAGAAGGATATACTTACACCGGAGTTCATCGCCAAAATGCCTGTCATGATCGAAGCCAGCCTCGTCTGCGTATATTTCAGACTCGAAACAGCGCTCGTTGATATGCACAGTGAGAACACCGGTTTTCGTGTCCACAGACGACCAAGGCGAACTGACGGCATCACCCTCAATGCGCTCTCGGACTGCCTCAAGCGCCTCACGAGGACTCCATTCTTTGTCATCCCCTGTCACACTCCCGTTGTCATGACGACGCCCACTGCTGGAAGTACTGCCGGATCTACTCGCAGCGCGCACCTCATCACGGGCAAATTGACCTCTGCAGATTCCTCGCACGATATCCCACACAGCGACTTCGCCTGTCGTATCTACCGTTAACGCATGCATCCGATCGTTCAACAAGATAGCTCGCACGAGGCCAGGAGAGCCTGCTATCACCGCATCTGGGTTTGCGTTTAAAGGCTCGGCATCAGCAGCGAACTCCCGAGCTTCATAAGCCGTTCGAGGGTCATTCACTGCATCAATATCAGTGGGCGCCATCGAGACCTCACTTCTCTTGCTCCGGAGAGTGTTGGGGGGCATGAGGGTGGAAGAGTGATGAAGAGTAGCATGGAGTGGCAAACGTCCTCCCGGAACGGAGGCGATGGACGCAGCAGAGTATAATGTTGCAACCTCGGGATCGCGTCCACGTAGAGCGAACGAAGAAGGGGAGAAAGGATTATCAGGAGAGGTGAGTCGTACAAAAGATGTGAGCGGGACACCGGGGTAGGCTGCTGTCGCGTCATCCCTACGAACTAGTCGATAGCTCAGTATTGAAAATTTAACTTAAAATTGGAAGTGCACCTTGATGTATTGACGGTGGTGCAGACCACTGTATAGAGTCAGGTCCAAGGGAAACTTGTCTCCTCGAGATCGTAGTGAAGGATCTATCAGCAATGATTTCTCTCTCTTCCTCTAAGACTTGTTTCGGTATGGGTTTCGGAAGCCTCCAGCGACTGATGCTCGATTTACCGGAGGCGGTCCAAAGAAGACCGTCATCTGCGGTTACGATTTTATTGATACCTTCCCCGACTTCAACAGAAGATTCCCCCGCAATAGTGATGCAGGCGCCATCCGAAATGTCTGCGCATCCCTCCACATCGACTTTACACACCATACCCGACTTGTCGCCAGAGTAGAATACCTCGAGTGAGGGATGCGTCGAATGTAGAGACCAAACAGAATCTGTGTGGTATGCAAACGTATGTAAGCATCGCTGAGATGACAATGACCATAGCTTGATGGATGCTAGTGATGTAAATATTCAGAAAAATATTCGGAGGACTATGATGTGTTACACACCGTCTGCAGAACCTGTGAGAAGCTGGCCAAACTCGTTAGAACAGATTGTTGTTAAAATGTTCATAACTCACATATCGCGCATCCTCTGACATAAGAATGGCTCTGATATTGTCCGTGTGGCCGACCAACTTCCCTGTCCTCTTTCCCGAGCGTGGGTCCCACATCCTGACGACACGTTCTGGAGATCCACTTGCAATGGCGTGTCCGTACGGGTCGGAGGCTATTGCATATACAGAGGCTTTAGGCGCGGTAGCATCAGGTGGGTTGAGGGTAAGGAATGGTTCGGGGGATATCGATGCTCGGGTGAGATCCCAGAGTTTGATGGTCCGGTCGAATGAGCCAGAAGCTATCCAGTTCTGTCCACGACTAAACACATGTCAGCATGAACCATCATATTCGAGGAATGCATACCAAAGAGCGAGACAGCGTGCATAATCGGCGTGAGACCCTATTGCAGACGGGTCACTGGGAGAAATGGCATGAGGATGCCAGGCCTTGATGGTTCCATCGGATGATGCAGAAACAACTGCTTATGGTTAGCCCGTCAATGTACCACTGCATTCCATGCACTTACCTGTCTGATTATAATTACAGAGCAAGAGATCATTTACCCAGTCTGTGTGGGTCTGTGCGCACTGACGGAAGCTAGAAGGCTACAAAATATGATTCCAGTTACACGTAACATAATAAATATTGTATCTCACCGATCCTGATATCAACGCATCGGTGTCCAACTGCCACTGAAGTTCGTACGGTAACTGGTCCGTTGTGCTGCCTCTTCGCTTTCGTCCTCCACTCTCCTTTACATCTCCTAGCACATCACCATCTCGTCGTTCATCTTCCTCAGCCTCTTCAGCGAGTGTTTCATCTCCCATTCCTGTCAACATTTCCCATCTGTCTAACGGGTCTCTGCGGTACCTGCCATCATGTCTCCGCCTGAACGGAAGTCCCAAATCCCATGATATGATTAGTCCATCCCTTCCGCCAGTATAAAGAATGCCTTCCGGTGTGTTCCGACCTTCGAGGCGCGTGGTTGTGTCGAGCGCAAGGGACATGGCGCCCAGTCGATGCCTTGGATGAGAGTTTTCCGATGTGTTCTTGGAGTCGGCCAGTGGTGTTTGAGAGGGTATGATGAGTGGGCGTATTGAACCATTACGAGGGACTCCAAATAGTGGTAGCCTGAGCCGTGGAACATCGTCCGTGGGTGGAGGTATCACATATGATACCCTACGCCTGGGAGGTGCCATGTGAAGGGAAATACAAATTTACATACAGGTATACAAGTAGTATGGTATACAGCTGTCTCTGAAGGACGCGTTACGTCGACCAACTGTGATTGAACGTTGTCGTCGATGATGAGGAGAATCAGATGACGGGCAAATATCGCTGAATGTATTTGGTGCCTGATCAACTTGGATATGCCACACGGTGTTGCAGCTGTGCGCATGGAATGTAATCTAATCTTATCCACGTTGACCTCATTTGGCACCATCGTATACTAAATTTGTACACGACCGTTGTTAACGAGAGCAATACTTGACACTTTTCTCTTGAAAGATTGCCTTGAACGTCGAATAAGAGCTCGGAGCACACCCTCAGGCTCATCACAAAGCCTAAGCACAGACGACGATGTTTCTGAGCTACATGAATTCACTTCATTAAGAATGCTCAAAGTCGGGGGCATGTTGCCCACGCCCACCGCCCATGCCTACGACCCCTCCGCGTGTAACACCGTCCCATTACACGAGTGCACCCACGAAAGCTGCCTTGCCAGATCTGACCCGGATACAATTCTATTCGGTACCCACCAATGACACGCCGCTCAATACACTTCGGTGCACAGTCAATAACACGCTTGCGGCCTATAATCTGACCACTGATCTAGATTCGTCTCAGATACTCGTCTGCGACATGCTGCGCGGCTTTATTGAAGTTCGTGCACCCCTCCGGAAACTCGCACAAAGGAGTGTGAGATTTGTGAACGGGAGGTGCGGTTGACATGCCACCACCTCATCCCTTGATCCACAAATGTCAAGCACGGTGCTCAAGATGAAAATGCACCCAGAATCAATGATAACCTCCGTCGCATGGTCATGCAGGTTTGTTCGTTGAATTCCTACGGTACCGCAACGGTCTAGTCTCACTTTGTAGACTGTGCCATAGTAATGTGCATCATACAGTAATGACGAACTTGCTAGCGCAAGCCAGACCCGGGAGAAAGACTGGGAGCATGAATTATATAGCATGAAATTCCCAAGTCACGAACTCACAAGAGGATTGACAAGACTGCAGATGCTCATTGTCAAAACTACCATCCGCTCCTACTGACTATTCTGTTACTTGCAAGTCTGCGATGTATAATTATGGCGGGCAGTCCCCTGCACCATGTGTGCAAATTCGACGTGTTCACGTCATCCTCATAAGACTAGGGTGAGACAAGGGGAAAAGGTGAAAACGAGATGACTCGCCAAGGCCTCTAATTCCGTATATCCTAACGCGAGTCCGGGCTCCGCACGCGCCTCGAAGACGCGTCCCTGATTATGGTAGACAATTCAACCGAAATTGACACTATATTCAACAACTTGAAGAACCAAGGATATGTACAGTCGAAGGTCTCCGAAAATGACAGTCTTCCGATTTGCTGCACATGCTCCACGTATATCTGGTCGAATAGAAGACACTCCAGGTTCAAAGTCTTTCAGAAGAAGTAAAGTAAAATTAACAATGAGTATACAGATTTAGGACAATCTCGGAGCTGAGACAATAATACTTACTTTCGTAGACTTGGCAGATGCTTAGATATCTATCGCTCTCCAGGGTTTTTCGGGCGAGTGCCTCGGTGATATGATGCCTCGTGGTCTCCGAGGTGCATTTTTGAGGCTGATGTGATTTTGAGGCCGTGTCGACGACCCATGATGCATGAGTCATGACATTGTAGTCTTGGTTTAGTTTTGGTTGCCGGTGAGTATGTCTGAGGATTCCGAGCTTTCGGCATCCAAGACAATCAAACTGTACTTTTCAAAGAAAAAGTCATCATTGTATGAAGCAGCAGGTTTGGAAACAATCAGGCCTAGGCCTAGGAGTACTTGGCGTTAGTGAAAATGAAAAACATCGAACAATTAGATCGAACTGCTGCACTGAGTTGAAATATAAAAACATTCGGATACGGGGAATCGAACCCCGAGCTACCGCGAACCTGAAATTATGAGAGGCGGTAATGTTAACCATTACACCATATCCGATTGAATGATAAGACCCTGGTTAATCCATCAGTCCTGTATGCAAGTACACGGACAAGCTTCCAATTAATATTAGTAAAAGGCTCGCAATTCATGATGCCTACTCGCATGTGGACGACAACAGCACCTATCCTGCGGGCGTCGCGTAGTGCTCGGTACCTGCCAGTCCTTGCTAGAAATTATCCACCAGTTCGACTACCGACATCCAACCTTCGTTCAGTTCCCCTCCGCCAACTCTCGACATCATCTCCCCGACATGCTCAGTATACACGCTTTTCGTCCGAAAATCAACGCCACCCGTCAGGAGATGTGATAGATAATCGCATGAAGATTGTTATTGCAGTTGCTGCACTCGGAGGAACATATTATGTCGTGCAGTACGTGTTCAGCACATTACTTGTGATGTTATGCCTCACTTTACCCCTCAAGTTTAGAACAAGTCCCTGGAACAGGTAGGTGGCGATTTATGGATATAAGTCCCAAGTACGAGAAAAATGTGAAAGCAAGCTTAACCTGAAGGAACAAACTCTCATTTTTGCCCCCTTGCAGCTTGCACAGGCGGCGTATAACGAGCTCTTGGCTGAATTCCGAGGCAAGATACTACCTTCTGATCATCCTGTAACACGACACGTCCAACGAGTTGTCAATCGTATCCTTGAATCATCGGACCTTGGCCACTTGAGCTCTAGTGAGCCTAGCCGGTCACTAGTGGGAACACCAGATGACTTCTGGAGCGAAGACCCGTTCACCACCGGAAGACCTGCGGAGTCGTCTACCCCCGAAAGCGGAGGTAAAGAATGGAATCTGCTTGTTGTGAATGATCCATCCATTGTAAACGCCATGGCCACCTTCGGTTCGCTCTCGAACTGCCTCTGCAAGTGAACCTTCACATATATGTGGTCACAGGAAATATCGTGGTGTTCACCGGAATTTTACCTATATGCAAGGATGAACAGGGTTTAGCTGGTGTTCTTGGACATGGTATGCAATTCCGCAAAGGATAGTCTGCGCAACTCAAATAATTTGGCAGAGATCGCCCACGTGGGTATGTTGGCATGATACAACACGCATGCAAATTCTAACCTCCCTTTACCAGTTGCTCGACATGCTTCCGAACGCTATTCGTCCTCTAAAGTATTCCTAGCGTTAGCAGTTCTTCTGCAAACTGTCTTCGGGTTCGATTTTGGAATCACCAACCTCATAAGCACGTTGCTACTGGAGTTACCCAATTCGCGGACTCAAGAATACGAGGGTATGTTTCTTCCAGCTATAAACATGGAGATGCTGACGTCAGGGATATAGCCGATACTATCGGCATGCAGCTCACTGCAAAGGCATGTTTCGACCCCCAGGCTGCTGTGGAGTGAGTGATCTGTGTTTTTCACTGTCTGACTTATGTGCGTGACATCACAGAATGCATGCGCGACTCGCACAATATGAAAAGGCCCATGGAGCAACAAGTTTGGAATTCTTGCGCACGCACCCTGGTGCGGAGCGGAGAATCAAAGTCAGTGTAGTGTTTCTACTTTGAGATCCATGGTTTCATCTTTCCTTCAGCATCTCGAGGAACTAATACCAGAGGCCTACTCCACACAAGCTAGCAGCCCTCAATGTGCAGGTACACAGGACTCTCTGAACCGTTTCAGGGAGTTTGCTCTTAGATGATCGTAGATTATCCACCAGAGTTGAGATTTTTTGTGAATACATTCGGGCTCTCTCGCTGCTTATCTTTTATTTGTGCGATTTGGAGTACAAATTGATCAATGTTGCAATTAGGAAATAAATGGCATCATTGAAGTAGGAGCTTCGCCATTTTCCTGATGCCATGACAGATTTACATGACAATATTATGACACTAGGTCCCCTTGCTAGTGTGAGGTCATAAGTATTTCATTCTGTCTCCGTCTTCATTTAACAGGTCCATGGACTAGCCAAACAAAGACACATAACGCGGTGGTTAATTGGATTTAAATCTTCATAGCAACTGACACCACTTGGATAATTCGCCTCTTCTCTAAATTCACAACTTCACAACAATGGCCGTCTTCGTTCAGCGCCCAGCACCAGCCTTCACGGCTACCGCAGTCGTAGAGGGTGAATTCAAGGAGGTCTCCCTGTCCGAATACCTGGGCCAATGGTACGCGTCTTATGCGCTAGACATTCGTGAGAGGAGCGGCTAACATTAGCTTATTGCAAGGGTGATTCTTTTCTTCTACCCAATGTGAGGATAATACAAGCCTCCTCAAGCATAATGTTTCTCACTATTATTTTCGTCACGCTAACAGGGATTTCACGTTCGTTTGTCCAACTGAGATCTTGGCTTTCAACGATGCGCTTCCTCAATTCAAAGCGCTGAATGCCTCCGTTCTCGGTTAGTTCGGGATTATTTTCGTGGTCTATTAGACGCGTTCTGATGGGGGTTTTTTTAGGCGTTTCCACGGATTCTCAGTATTCCCACTTTGCGTGGGCGCAGCAACCGAGGAAGCAGGGTGGCATTGGACCCGACCTCAAGCTACCTTTGGTTGCGGACAGGAACATGACAATATCCAAGGACTATGGTGTCCTCATCGAGGAGGAAGGCATTGCACTGCGTGGTTTGTTCATCATTGACCCCAAGGGAATCGTCAGGTGGGTGTTTGTGTGATTCGTGGACTAGTTTGGTAACCGACGCTTCTGAATAGGCAAATCACCGTTAATGATCTGCCCGTTGGTCGATCTGTGGATGAGACTGTCCGTCTTCTCAAGGCCTTCCAATTTGTGGTACGAATTTTTCTTTGCATATCGTAACGTTTCGCTGCATCTTTTGCAGGAGGAACATGGGGAGGTCTGCCCTTTGGGCTGGACTGAGGGTGCTAAAACCATCAAGCCGGACCCCAAAGGATCTATAGACTATTTCTCGACGGTGGACGATGCGGCCAGCAATGGTCATGTGAACGGAAGTGCCAAGAAGCGTCTTCGCACGGATTGATGGAAGGGTTTACACGACAGCTAGATGTAATCACGGTCGACGCGGTTAGAACACCAAGGTAGACTTTTGATATTTAGCCGTTTAATTTTTACATACATATATTTTGCATACCACTATACATACCTTATGTTACTTATATCCTGACATGGCAACACTTGACTTTCAAGATTACAAAGTTTATGAAGCTCGACGAAACGAAGTAAAATGCAGTAATCCATACCAGCAGAGGGCCGGAAGCGCTGGACGAAGCCAGTTCTCCTCTGCTGTATCCTGGGGGAGCGGCAGCGCTCGACCGTCACTCTTTCCTGCGAAACCAGACTCCACACAGTCCAATGTCTGCCTCGGGCGATGGATCCGGAAAACAAAATTGGATGTCGCTCAACGTAGAGCAAGTTTTCGTCCATATTTTGGCATGTGTCTTCTCTGTGCCCGAGCTCACAAAGTCGTTCGATAGGACAACACCCACAGGTGAAGTAATCGACATTGAGGAAATGCTAAGCGGGGGCGTTGTGGGAGTAGGGGATGACGGCACTGACAGTTGCAGAGAGCCAGATAATGGGGGCGTCAACAGTCGTGACTGTCTGGAGCGAAATGGTGTGGTGACCTTGAGCGTGCGCAACCCATTAAAACGCGAGATAACTGCATCAATGATGCCATATAGTATCTTCGAGCAAAGCGTCAAAATCGATGATTTTTGAATCCAGAAAATATCACTAACCTCGGCGGTGTCGTCTTCCATCCAAAGCACCTCTACCTCCAAAGTCACGAGGCCGTGGCTATTGGTAGCGTCGCTACCTGACAAAATTCCACCGGCAGCACCCAAGAATTTTTCAACTGTTCGTTTGTCCACCTCGTGAGTGAAGACCACATCCAGTTTGGAGACGCCTTGAATTGCACGGAGGAGTGCGGCAGGCCGCAACCCCGTGTACAGCGTGGTGGTGACATCCAAAACAACAGTTTCAAGTGTTTGTCCCAGTAAGGAGCATATTGCCATCGTCAGTCGTGGAGGAGCATGCAGTTGAGAGAGCGATGGTAACATCTCCCGTGCTAGACCAGATGCGAATATGTGTTGATGGAAGGAAGATTCGGGTGAAGGGTTCTCGACGACATTGGGAAAGGCTAGATATTGTAGGGAGGATTGATTTCTGAGGAAATGTAGAATGTCGATGAATTGCTCCTCAGAAATCGTGTCATCAAGGATGACCAGTGTTTTCAACCGGAAAGAAAGAGGAGGTGACTGCGAAAATACCGGAAGAAATGTTCGAAGCGTAAGATATTCCAAGTTTGACATATTATGCAACGCAGTCGTGAGATCAAGAGATGGTATGAGATGGCCCTCAGATGCCGGCCAGAAGTGACATGAGAAAGATTGAACCCTCGTAGCGAGAGACGCATGGGTGGCAAGGGTTTTACAAAGCTTTTTAACTTGTGGCTCTGATATTGATTGGAAGTCGAGTATCCGATATAGTGTGTTACGCGAGGCATTGCAGAGCTGAGCCGAAACAAGGGCAATACGCGGTAAATCGAACTTGGGCAAGAAAGACAGAATTGTCTCTAACAGCTCCACAGGAAGGCTCTGGATCGTGACACCTGTGTGTGTTGTGTGTTCTGCAAGCAATCGTGGACGGAATGAATGTGACGGAATATTCAGTAAATTGGACAAAGACTTGAGCAATCTTGCCTCACCTCCATTTCCGTTTGACCGCTCTAGATCGATACTTTCACCGTGTAACGGTAAAGACTCCATTAAACTGGCCCTGCGTCCCAGGCCACTGGGTCTCCTGATTTCGTCTGGTGATGCAGTGGAGGAATCACTAGACGGCCGAGGATATGCTGCAGCGGCATCACGAATGAATCCGACTGCTCCGTGGCTGCCCACGGGGCTGGCGTTCTTGGACAAAGTTCTTTTTCGAGGGTTGAAGAGGGTGGTGACGCGTTTAAGAACACGATTTGGATATTTCCCCTGGGGAACGGTACTAGTATCTGCTGCAGCGCTTCTTCCTCCAGCTATGTCCAGATCAGAAGATGCCCTTGATGGTTCCGCAGAGCGTCGAGAGAGGAAGTACATGATTGAATGTTGAGTCAGTTCGGACTTGAGGAGCTTATTAGACGAAAAATAGTCGATCTTGTGGATGTATGGTTGATGGCCATATTATAGCTAGAGTAGCAAGGTTATTTTGAAAAACTTTCATCCTGTTCAAAAGCGGGAAAAGTATGAAGTCGTTCTCAGGTGCTGCCGTATACGATATATTGCTCATAAATTATGTATGTACTTATGTTGCGAACGTTCCATGTCGAGATCTTCAACTTATCCTTGAAGCTCAACCGTTCTGAGCCGGCAGTAGCACGCTGTCACGGACCCTGGCGGTGATAACTCCAGTTCGACTAGCTGTTCAACGTCCTAGTGCCATCTTCTTTCCATGACATGCTATTTGCGACGTTTGCCAGGCTGCATCATCATCACCAGGATACAACTATCATAATACCTTGGTCTGACTCGGAATTGCACAATTGGTCTTAGAATGTGCGTTCCTTCAATTGATGTGATGGTCAGTTGTCATATTGAACACACTCTGGCCAATAGGTTTCACACAGACCTTCACAGTGTGCGAGTTCTTCTTCCATCATTTACTCGATATTACTTCTGGGACAGATGCATATCAATATCTTTACCAGTACCGTCGTCCAGAAGCTGGATAAAGACCCGGAAACGAATACTTAGCTTAATGTGACAAGTGCCAGTTCATCATGACCCGCAATTGAGACCACATCATAGACGTAATGTTTCGGTTTGCTTCTAGCTCATTCTGTCTCTTCCCCTTTGGACATCGTTTGGCTGGTCTGCTTTAAGATCTTGTTCTCTCCCGCAGCTCCCGGTGAGCGTTCTCGAACTCTTACGCCTAAAGCCGCATTTCCCGCAATACTTGAACGTTAGATAACTTAGAGAAGCAACCGCGCCGACTTTATGAACCTTCTCAAAGACGTACGTCGGACTGCTCCAGAGTCTGATCTATCATTCATGTCGACGAGTCCACAATATCAATCAAGGATCAACGTAATGTATATCAAATCTTCCTGCCAATCTGGGCTGCGGCAGCAGAGCACTTGAACTCGTGGCTAACTTGAGGTCGACTAGAACCGGGACGTTTTGGGTACGCTGCAGCGAGCCATACCGCACTAGTTACTCCTACTACACCAATTGCTATTATCCTCTCGTTGTCCTCTCGCAATTTCAATCTCACACTAGTCAATTTGGTCATTTTGGCTTCAAACTAGGCGGCTATGCATTTGGACGAGCTTACTTCCCAAATGCTAAGGTATACCATAAAGCTATGGAGAGTCGAGTCAACTCACCCTGCTTCTAGGTACTTATTGGTACCATATCGCTGGTTACGAACCCTCATTCAAGTTATACTTGGATCGCCAAGGAACTTGGATGGCCAGTCACCGGCACCCGTCCCTAAAACCGACCGGGCTCGGGTAGCCTGGATCAATGCAATACAGAAATTCGACGCACTGGATCAGGAAGTGGATACACTATCATCTCCCAGGCCTGTTCCAACAAGGCTAATCAACATCTTCACGGGACAAATCGAAACTATCCAGAATGATATCACGAAGCGCTATGTCATTGCATCCTACCTTTGGAATCCAGACAGATTTTCTGACACTCCAGAACACTATTCTGGTTTATACAACGACATACCCCGGGCACCCACATTCGACGATTGGTTCCGTTTGACTTGTCTCATGCATCCAAACATCGTTCAAGCAGTTGATGAAGAGGAAAGGGAAGTGGATCGTTTGCAATGTCCGTCGGAAGTGCCAGCGGGGATATCGCGGGAATATCTGCGAGAAATATTTCTCCTTGTTGCCAGGGAAGCTTTGTTGATGGGTCTTGAGTATGTCTGGATAGACAGCATTTGCGTCAACCAAGCGGATGCAGAAGATGTCGCACGTGAGATACCCAGGATGAGCGACTACTACAGCAACGCAGCTTGCTGTGTTGCTGTATCCGAAGCAATACGCCGGCGCTATGCTACTACCGAAGGCCCTGCCCAAGATGACACAGGACCAGAATCCAGAAGCGACCAAGCTTGGCGCAGGATTATAACTTGGATGAAGGGATATCATGCTAAACGGCTCTGGGTCTTCCAGGAGACGTACTTGTCCAGAAAAGTTGTAGTCCGCGCCAGAAACATCCGAATTGACGCCAACGAATTAGTCAAGACTAGCGACTCGGTTTCGCCCGGCTCTCGTGTCCTTCTCAGCATAACGAGCGACGAATTCCCTATTTCTCTCCCGATATCAGATTGGCATCGCCCAATGTCACCTGAACTCTGCTTGCGGTACTGTCGCAAGCGAGACTGCGCATTCCTTCATGATAACATCTACGGCATTCTTGGCCTATTTTCCCCAAAAATTCGTCACTCGCTTCCGGTAGATTATCAGCTTTCGCCAGGCATCATTCTCGCCATATTTGCCTACTTGAGGATTCGAGACGGGGATTTATCTGCTCTACTTACGCTCCAACATGAAATTTACGAAAGGGATGAACCCGGTCTCGGCGTCTCGTGGATGCCTAGTGGCTTTGGCTGGCAGCCAAGGGATATCTTTGGCGTTACGCCACATGCAGAACTCTTGCCTCATGTTGACCTTCAGGGCATACTGCACATGTCCATGTACAGTCTCGAAGTACAGAAAGTTGGGGAAAGCTTGAGTTTTGCGTCTATTGCAGTAGAGCATGATGATCTCAATATTGAGATTCACCTCATGCCACGCTATGCCGAGCTCTTCCCTAAAAGGCCACCTCAGACCGGAATATATATTATCGGGGGGATATTGGAGCCTTCCAATAGTGGCCGCGACCCAGCTGTCTTTGGTCCACCTAGCTTGCGACAGCAAATTGCAAATAAGGAGCGCGAGGAAAGACAGGCGTTCTTGAATCGGAAAGCGGAAAAGGGACATGGCGAAGTTGTACTGGCGACCTTTGGGGAACAGAGTTGGTCGTTTGAAGGTGTCCCCAACTGGTGGTTCTGGCTTTTACTGGCAACCGATGATGAAGGAAAGACATGGAGAAGATTCGGAATAGCTATCAGCCACGAAGTTAAGACTGACTCAATCGCACGAAAGAGATTTAGTATTCGGTGATATGAAAATACAAATCACTACTGTGTAGATTATCCTGTATACGTGGAGATTCGGAGTACTTGCTAGAAATAATCTTGAGTCATTTTTTCATGTAGAACCCTGACTCCGGACTGGGAGTCCCACTGTAGACTCGTGACCAGTCCATCTATCAGGCAAGCCATCGATAGGTCCCACTGTGGGAGAGCCGGAGGACATTGACACTGCCCAATTAGGACAAAGCTTGAAATTACTCCTCTCAAGTCTTTATTTTATGTAAGAGAACCATTCTCGAGCATCCACGCTACTCGTTGGTGTCAAGTACCGCAGCGACGCAGGCAGTAATATCGATCAGTTTTATCTTCATCTTCATCTTTGTCGCCCCCTTTTTTTCACGTTCATCATAACGGCAATAGCAATGGTCGGTCGTTTCAACAGCTTCTCAGACGGACCACTGCGAGCAAGAGTAGTTATGGTCGAACATTTCAGATAAATCCAAACATCCACATTGCTCAAACAGCATGAAACTTCCTCGTTATGGCTTCTGGTCCGTCACTTGTGCCCAATCATGCTACCACCCGCCGTGGGATATACTATCGCTGGGAAGATGCGCCGCAAGATGGAGGAGTATGACAGCTGTGCTGGTGAATGGAGCAAGCGGATATCATCATGACGTGTTGGAATTACTTCCATTCTGCAATCTCATCCCACGGTCGTGATGAAATAAAAGTACCGCATCAGTATCATAAATCCGAAATGGACTCGCGGGAGGAAGGGCTTTGTGTATCCGTGCCTTTATATCGATGAAACAAATTACTTCATCGTCAGAGCACTGATAAATACACGTTCAAATCATATGCAGACCCTTTCAAACTGAGCAGCATGACTCGGAGTGCAAGACAAGCACACATTGTCTGCATGGCATGCGGACGACAGTGCATGGTCAGAGGGTAATATAAATTTACAAACTACTGTGTAGATCATCGTGTAGAGATTTGGAGTACTTGCTAGAAATAATCAATATCAGGTATTAAGGACCGGGTTGGTTGCCAAGCGTTCTGGATAATTTCAGCTTCAAGTTGCCACTTGATGCAACTGGCTTAATGTTTACAGCCAAGAAGATAAGCATCGTCCTAGATCGATGATCGATGATCCCTGATACATGCATGGCATACAACTGAGCAATCACGATGACTTGCATCATGTTTAAATTGAGTCAATATCGCCGAGGAATTGCAACTGAGTAACTCACCACACAACATAGCAGCTATGACCACATCTGTCCCATCTGTTGTGTAGTATATAATACCGCCTGAAACACCCAATTGTTGATCACCGTAGTAGCAGGATCAAACACTCCGACTCACACATATCGAGTCATTATGTCGAGTCAAGTTCAATGGTCAGAATCGCATCCACCCCTACAAATGAATGCAGTCATTGGATAGGAATGAAATGATTGCGGAATACTCACTGCATCTGTTAGTGAGACCAATCGAATATATTCTGTGTGCTGCTGGTCAGACGAATAGAACACAGCGCACACTAATGAGACATACGCAGAACATGAACACTGATTGTCAAAGATGAGCTATTAGTACAGTATCAATCTGTTGGCCTTTACACATGCATAGAATATGGTATTCCAATATAACGGATCTGAAACATTTTGGAGTCAACACAACTTGCCAAGCACGCTATAGCACAACACGAAGTACGAACAATCAAATACAGCACAGTCATAAGAGACCAGCGTCGCTCCTGTCACGAATTCATTGTAATCTTCTATTTTCTCATCATATGGGACTTAGTACCCAGATCAATTCAATCTATGACACTGTTCTTAGCGAGTTGGCTGCTCCAGGGATAGCATCGACTTACCTCTTGTCCAAGTGTTGGAATATAGTGAGAATATAAGCGGCTTTAGAACACCATCGGGTTTATCCTGCTCACCCCAATCGTATACCACCATGACAGTAGTGGCAACTGTGATACCGCAAGTCGACATTAGATCGAGACATCATCAACTGATACGATGAACCCGTCGAATAGCTTAAAAAAGACCAAGCTGATGAACGACCACCAACTGGGATCATATGAGACTGAGGTATGACCTTAGTCTCAAATGATCCCATATTCGAGGGATGGCTGCGAGCGAGCAGTGGGGAATGTCAGTGATGCGTGATAATAGCGTTCGTGCGAGATATATAGCACTGTTCAGCGCTTCTATCACCAATATCTGCATGATGGAGATAGATATCGATCAGTAGACTACTTACGTAAATTCCATCAGTAAAGTTTCAGTCGTTGGATGATGTTGCCATCATGTTGGTCAACGCGATTTTTGAGGTCGAGCGGCCGCTTCCGTAATCGTCCGAGATCGATCTAACCAGGTGGAGGCCATCCGTCACAATGAAACATTCCAAACGGGCCGTTTAGCAGAAGAAGTTTGACGCACCTGCCACCGATGGGTTACGAATGGTCCAGTGATGCAGCTTGTGAGATCGTGTCGCAGTGCACCAATTGATGTAAGTCATCAGCCATCCGAGCTCAATCCGAGCTTCACACTTCCTCCACAAACGCGTAGAATCATCTGTCTGGGCATTTGCACCAATTCTCCTTGTATTTCAATATCGGGCACTCAAGACCGGGGGTACCAGGACCGACGCTAGTGTAGGGAACAGAAAGAAATTGGCCTCGTGGCAAATTGCAATTGGTAAAATGGCAGAAGTCGGCAAAATGTATTGTGAGCGCTTTTCAAGCTATTTCCAACTATGTTTCTACTACGGCAAAAATAATTTTGACCACTACAAGCCTTCTGATGAGTCAAAAGTGCATCAATATTTCATCCTGGTGCAAGTATCCCGAGCCTCGATTCTCGATTGAGTGCATTAATCTCTTCAACGGAGCCAACTGGCACGGCATACCTGTAAACACTCTCTAACTCACTCCAGTCGATTATACCGCCGTCTAGAATATGATCCGGTACATCATCTGCAATCAAACCACCACCTGCACCGTCATTTTCCTGCGGTTCAAGTTAGCCAGCCTCCCGTGTCTCGCGCTCGAATCTTTCAAGCCCTTTCATCAATTTCTCATCAGGAATTGATATCGGATTCGCGAGATAGTCCTGCTCATCAGAGTCTGCTACCAGGGGAGGAATCACTTTCAGGTAAATTCAAACATCCACATTGTTCGAGCGGCTCGAGCAGTACGGAAATTTGTCCAAAAACAATGGTACTAATTGACTTCGAACTAGGTATTGGACCATCAACCATGATACCAAAGCAGAAGCAGAAACACGACTCACTATTGCGACATGCTGCACTGGCTGCCAGCTCAGTGTTCAAATGGCCCCGACATACAGGTCAAAACCCTCTGCTAAGGTGCGCAGGTGAGACATGTGGTTGAATCCTGGTTGCACAGCGACCCGCTCATACTCACGCTATCATCGTGACAAACCAACTTGGTTATGTTAGTGCAGCAATCTTTATCTGTCGTGCAAGTTTCTGTCTCAGTCTGGCATGCACTGACAGACATAGATACTGTCAAAGCAACAACAACAGCGAGGAAGGAGAAACGCATTTTCTGTGCGAGGTGATATGGAATTTTCTGAGGGGGATCTTGAATGATATCTCTGAGGATGGAACACTGTAAGACGACGACCAGCTTTTATATCCTGCTTATACTCAGCTTATACTCACGGGCATGATTTCGCAGAATTGCTATTGGTGTTGGATGGCAGAATTTTCGGTAGAACCTGCAGACGCGTGTTCAATTACAAACATCGCATCATAACTGGGATCCCGAGTCATTATATTAGGCCCCGGTATAGTTCATGACATGTGGGTTCTTTCGCATGAACCATTGATTTGAACCGTATTCAAATCCGCACCGTCACCGCGCTTCACTCATTGCAATCTGGAAGTCCAAATTGCTTCACTTATGTCATTTACGTCCTGCTAGACTATTTCATTCTGTGACATAGCATCTGCTGCCTCTTTTCTACCGGCCGTGCCTATTTGCTTGCTGGCGCTACTACGAGCCCCCTCAAATACACAAGGCGGGCCAACTGAAAAAGAGTAAATATTGAGACTAAGAGGTGAGCGTTGACCTCAAGACCTTGCCTTCTGGGTTGTTGAAATTGCTAGGGCCGGCAATTAGAATTACAGACTGCACTGATGGTAGAGTCATTAGTCGGCATGTTGGTAGGTAAGCTAATATAATGGCGTTTTTCAAAAGAAGCATCCATTAGGTATATCAAAAATACCAATAGAGTAGAGAAATCTTTGGGGTTATCTATCCCGCAACTTCTTCAGCACTCGTTCATGCAATGCCCTTGCCACACCGCTCACAAAAGAGCTGTCGCAGACTACCCCGGCATTGATGTAGGCCACCTTTGCGTGTTCGTCTTTTATACGTACATATTTAATGGCGTCAGTAACAAGGGTCTTGAACTCTGGAATTGGTAGCAGACTAAGAAGCTCGGAAGACGGTGATGATGTTGAAGAGGAGCTTGAGTCGAAAAGTGAGTATGACGCATCTAGGATAGCAATCCGTTGTCCCGTCATTAATCGGAAGTCAAGAGCATGTCTAACCACATCATATCAGTTACAACTATGAGCATATAGTAAAGAACCGCACCTCAGGTCGCCATATAGCACCCTCCACCAGCCTAAGCCTTTGACATATGTGTCTACCCATGGTTCGGAGGTGTCGGTCTTGACCGCTATACGTGGCCGACCTCTACCACGTCCTGGAGACTGCTTAGCGTCACGGGAACTCGCTCTCATATGTTCAAGTTCCACTGCTATAGGAAGGGTATTTCGAAGGAGTTCAACAAGGCGGTCAAGTGAGGATGCTAATGGGCCGTGGCGGAGAACATGGCGGAGATATGGCTCAGCTTCTTCATGTGGATTGGTCCGTAGTTGGTGGTTCGGGAAACGAAATTGAGGGGGAGCAAGAGAGGAAGGCTGTAAAAGGGTCGGCGAAGGTACACAACGTGAAAAGCGTAGCTCGAAGGATCCACCTGTAGGCGATAGCTGGTCCGTACAAGTAATTAAGACCGTATAATCCTGCAGAAGTGGGGTGAGAGATTACTAGACAAATGGACGTTAAAGCTCACTGAAGCGTACGCAAACTCCACAGTTTGCAAGTCAAATGACAATAGTCTCACGTCCGGCCATTTCTTTCCTTTCGCCATTCGTGCCACTACATTGTGTAAGCCTCAATGATACACCGACAACTTCAAGCACAACGTACCTTCACGGGCAATGACGACCATCTTAGAAACGCGGGCCCACTCTTCTAGAAACTCGTCCACACAGGTGTCAACCTCTTCGGATAAAAAGGAGACCACAGCCTCAACCGCATCATAGATGATTCTTTTCGATGGACGAATAATATTTTTACTGCTAGACCCTGCTGCGGCACGCTTCCCGACTGGTTGTTGGACGTACTTCAATTTCACGCAGGTAACCACCTGTGCCTTCTTGTCTGACCACCAGTTCAATGGTATGACGCGGATGTTGGGCATGGCCGCCTCGGCTGCTGGTGCACCTGATAGAATGTCTGAGGACTGAACGCAAAGTGCTGGTACAGAACGGGCAAGGGATGATTGGATGTGACCAAGCTCGGATATCTGTGGGAGGGTGATCGTAGGGTTGACATGGGTGTAGGGGATACCACGGAGCTTAAACTGGCGCTCGACTCGGGTGTATGCAACGCGTGCGCTGGAAGAACAATTGAGGATTATTTAGATGACGAATGAATGGAGTTTCATACCAACAATATGCATATAGCTCCCGGAGTACTTGCGTCTCCAAGTTGAAACTACGCTTATATGTTAGCAACACAAACTGGGGAACTGAAAAATACCTCACCTATCTTCGCTTCTTGATAATTCTGGAGGGACATCATCTCGTCTTCTCTTTTGCAAAACCAGTGGCTCGTGCGACATAGATGAGATCACAACCTCATCCATGCCGGCGCCAGCACCCCTATCGCCTCGTATTCGTCTCACATCAAGCCAGCCGATATCCTCCATAATCATGTTTCCAAACATCGTGTCCGAGAGCATTTTTGTCGATATGAGCGCGTACCTGAACTCTTCATCTGTGAGGACAAGTACGAGGTAGTGCGTGGGGAAGTTGGCAAGCTGGATATACATCATGCCGCGCGCTGCAGGTCCAAGCTTTTGAATCTCTAAAACGGAAGTGAGACGGAGTATGACTATGAATTGACAGTATCAAACCTTCTTTTGAAAAGTTTCGGTGCCGGAACACTTGGAAGCCAAGGTAGTTAGCTTTTTGTTCCACAATATCTGTAATTGTCTGCCAATACAATACAGTGAGGATTATGGTGCAAAAGTAAGATGGCGCACATTAAATCTTAGTCTGATTAGCACATCGAAAAGCATATTGGGTGCTTCGTTAAGTTTGTCAGAGAGGGCAGAAAATCGTGGTCCTCGGCCAGGTGCTGCAAGGTCGCCCGTATCTCGGATACTCAACCGACCTGTTCTAGTGTCAATGGACACAATCGCGACTTCGTCGGCACAGAGATGCACGCGCAGAGAATGATAACCCCCTTGTGTGACATTAGCGCGAGATCAGATTCCTGATAGTTTTGTACCCACTTTCAAAAACTAGAACCACTTTGCCTGCAGGAGAGAATACTCGAACAGGACCCCTTTGAAGTTGGGCTTGGTAGAATCTCAGGATTGCTTGTGTGTGCACCTCGATCACTTTTCTCAACATCGACTCAAAGTCAATATTGTCAGACTCCTATCGAAATGCACATGTGAGCAACCTCATCGCGCAGGAAATCGTTAACATACAACCACAAGCTCTTTAACTGCAGCTATCGTTTCCTCAGCGTCGATGTTGGCGGCCAACACGCCCTTCATTGGTTCCCATTTTGCGTCAAACTGCAGGGTTTCAACATCATCAGAAGGGCGCATGTCACCTAATTTTGACTTTTGCTGAAGCTCTGTAAGCATCCGCGCTATAGGCGATCGCACGCTTTTTTTGTCGACCTTTTCGACAATAGAAATGGTAAGGGTACCACCATGCGATGGTAATTTGAGACGATTGGGGGCCAGCACGGGGACTCCGGGTTGCGGCAGTCGCCTGGATACACATGAGCAACAGGAGAATGGTCTATGAAACTGAAGGCCCTACAGCCAATACGATACAGCAAGTGTTCTGCGCCCATCGCGCATCTCAACTTTGAGGAAATCAGCCCAGCCAAGGGAGCGCATCCTCTGAGCCTGTGGGAAAGCCGTCGGCCAACAGCGTTGTAATCATGAAGATGTGCTTACTTGGTAGCACAATATTTCAAGTTGATAGGACATGGACATCATTTCTGTGCGTCTTCGTGAGCCCCCATCCAACGGCAAAAAACTCTTTCACTTACGAAGAAAATTAAAAAGCCTCACCAGAGGTGCATCTACCGTTCCTTCTGGAAGCTGCGGTCGCGGTGGATCTTCCGGATTCGGAGCAAATTCAGGTGTATCTTGGAGCGGAAGGTAACACGCCATCCGTATGTTAGCCTCGTCTGCAATATGTCGTCTGAGGACCCCAGTGGGCTCGGAAGGGAATTCTAGGTACACGGCATAAACATCGGTATATAGTAAATCAACGATATCAATACCTTGCATGCCCGTGAGGTCACCGCCCACGGTGATGAGGAACTTGACGCTAACAAAGAACCAGCCGTCATTCTTCTCTGCGCCTCTTAGGCAGATGGCACTTTCGAACAACTTAGGGACCGAGAAGTGCACACGTCCATTAGCTGAGATAAATTGAGTAAGGAAATTTACGGTGGCAAGCTTAGAAAGATACCAATGCTATGCTGGAGCATTTCCACCGGGATTATCTCCGACATACGGAGACGGTAGCGGATGGCGTGTTCCATGTCACTGAGCGTGCTTATAACCTCAGCATCTGTTAAGGGAGTGATTGGAATGATAGATTTCTATAAAAAGACATAAGCATAATCCAAGCATACAGAAGATGGAGAAAACCTTGATGGCAGACGGTAGCCGCTGATATGTGCCTGTAGTAAGGACATCCAGCGAGGTGAGTAAGTCATGATTTCGTAGCCTACGACATGGAACACGTGAGGACAAGCGTGAGGGCGTGTAATGTTCCTGTACCTGGCAGGGTCCAAGCTTTCTTTTGCATACGTTAGGCCTTTCATGACATCTTCGAATTGCTGGTTCTGATTCATGAGGAAAGCAGTGATGTTCTGGAAAATGATATGAAGTACAAAGCATTAATAAAAACGCGTCACTCGCCATGCATTTCTGTACGGTCTCTGCATCCCGCGCCCATTTAGTGATGGCATACAGCTTTACAACTTGTTTCTTAGTCTTCACGACCCAATCGGCGAGTGTGCGTTTTCGAGCACCATCGGACATGTTTGGAAGACTTGATAGAGTTTTTTTTAAAGAATTTGTAGAGTTAACATGTGAGACACTCACGTCTCAGCAAGCTCAGACAATTCAGCATAGATGGCCTGGGCCACTCTAGAAAGAAGGTCCCCCAGCGGAACCTGGCCATCAAGAACTATAGGGAGCTCGTTCTCAAGCTCCTCTATAGAGGGCTCGTGGTGACCGTTCATATCATTAATGATGACTGCCAGTTTGTGAGCTGCAAGTTAGCGCAATAGTCCGTCGGACCGTTGGCGCTGCGAGGTAATGGTTATTGACCAGGAGCCGTCACGTGTATCGTGACACTCTATGTCAGATATAGTAAGTAATCATTTTCTTTACATAACGTGCAGTCACATAATGGTCACACTAAGTAACTGTATTTGGTTACATAATCAGGGAAATTCTAGATTTTTCCTGGAACTTTTTTATTGCAAGTTTTTACCACCTCTCTTTTCTATCTGTCCTCTCTTCTTTGAAGTTCGTCTTCCTGATCCTAATTCGTTGTTGAAGTAGCTATGCACACGTCTTCCCGTACCCTCCGTCGCGCTGCCGCAAAGGTTAAGCCTACTTTGACCCGCAGTGTACACAAAGAGATCAAGTTCAGTAATGACGGTCGTGCTAGCATCCTCAAGGGTGTCGACGTCCTTGCTAATGCTGTCAGTGTCACCCTCGGTCCAAAAGGTTAGTATCACCCTCTTCACTCTCGCGAACCGAATGTGGATTTAAAAAAAAATTGCGATTTCACAGGCCGTAACGTCATTATTGAGCAGAGCTTTGGTGGACCAAAAATCACGAAGGGTAAGCTCTTTCTCTCTCCCTAGTTCTACTGTTCTTACCTGAATCACCATCAGACGGTGTAACTGTGGCCAAAAGCATCAGTCTCAAGGACAAGTTCGAGAATCTCGGCGCCCGGTAAGTTCTTTTTGTCCCATTGTCAACATACGATTTTTACGCGTTCCCGAAACAGGCTCGTGCAGGATGTCGCGCAAAAAACAAACGAAATTGCTGGTGACGGCACTACCACCGCAACCGTCCTCGCTCGTGCTATCTATGCCGAGGGTGTCAAGAACGTTGCAGCAGGGTGCAATCCCATGGATCTTCGTCGCGGTGCTCAATCTGCCGTACAAAAGGTTGTCCAGTTCTTGGAAGCCAATACCAAAACGATCACCACTACAGCTGAGATCGCACAAGTCGCCACTATCTCTGCTAATGGTGATGAGCATATTGGTGGGTTGATTGCGCAAGCAATGGAGAGAGTTGGGAAAGAGGGTGTCATCACCGTGAAAGAGGGCCGGACAACCGAAGATGAGATTGAGGTAACAGAGGGTATGCGCTTTGACCGCGGTTACATCTCCCCGTACTTCATCACCGACGTCAAGACTCAAAAAGTCGAGTTCGAAAAGCCCCTCATTCTCCTCTCCGAGAAGAAAATTTCCTTACTACAGGACATCCTTCCATCCCTCGAAACCGCTGCCTCAGCTCGCAGACCGCTAGTCATCATCGCAGAGGATGTTGACGGCGAAGCCCTCGCAGCCTGTATCCTTAACAAGCTCCGTGGCCAGCTCCAGGTCGCAGCTATCAAAGCACCCGGTTTCGGTGACAACCGTAAGAGCATCCTTGGCGACCTTGCCATCCTCACCGGCGGCTCAGTCTTCACTGATGAACTGGACGTGAAGCTTGAGCATGCAACAGCTGACCTCCTGGGCAGCACCGGCAGCATCACCATTACCAAAGAGGACACCATCGTCCTCAACGGTTCCGGCTCCAAGGATGCTATCTCAGCACGGTGCGAGCAGATCCGCGCAGTCCTGAATGACCCCACCACCTCCGAGTTCGACAAGACTAAGCTCCAAGAACGTCTTGCGAAACTCTCAGGAGGTGTCGCTGTCATCAAAGTCGGTGGTTCATCTGAAGTCGAAGTCGGAGAGAAGAAAGACCGGTACGACGACGCACTTAACGCAACTCGTGCCGCTGTCGAGGAGGGTATCCTCCCAGGTGGTGGTGTCGCACTGCTCAAGGCTAGCCTTTCGCTCAAGACAGCTGTAGCCGGCGAACCTGCCTCCTCTGACCCCGACATCATCCCAACTGCCAACTTCGACCAGGGCCTCGGCGTCAGCATCATCCGCCGCGCATTGACACAGCCCGCACGCACGATCCTCACCAACGCGGGCGAAGAAGCAAGCGTCATCGTGGGCACGCTTATCAACTCGTCCAACTCCTCCTTCGCATACGGTTACGACGCGGCAAAGGGCGAGTACACTGACATGATCGCGCGTGGTATCGTCGACCCGCTCAAGGTCGTACGGACAGCACTCGTAGATGCCGCAGGTGTCGCGAGCTTGCTGACCACGAGCGAATGCTGCGTTGTAGATGGTGAAGAGGACAAACCTGCTGGTGGTATGCCCGGTGGCATGGGAGGCATGGGTGGCATGGGCGGTATGGGCGGGTTTTAAGTAAGGAATGTTAAACCTTACCTGCGACTTTGTGACGCGCGGGGTACAATAATTCCTAAGCGCCGTCAGTACTTGAGTCGTCACTTCATTTATGCTGATTTATTATACTTGCTTTGTTGTTGCACGCCGTTACGCCCCCTTCACCATCATGCACTTCACGTATTTGTATCCCTCATAATTACTTGCATGGAATTCAAACACCACTCAGTCTACGTATTTTTGTGTGATCATGGACGGGATGCATGCTACTAGTTGCACGAACAGTTGTGCTTTGATGGCCTGTCTGACCGAGTTCGCGGTTCTAGCTGACGGACGCAAAAATCTCTCACTGAAACCAGCATGATTTGTCAGTGATCTCTCTGTCGCCCACCCTGCTTGCTCCTTGTCAAGTTGTCTTCCCTGCAGATTTATCATTGGCTGCACGCCACATTTACATTATCGCAATCCATACAGAGGTCTTGAAGCTTGAAGCTTGAAGTTCCGCAATTAGTCAGTCAATCTTATTCTAGGTTGCATCGGACGCACGCGGCAAACAGAATACCACACCGCCCTTCTCAGCAGTGTAAAGTCGCTACCCACACACAAAGTCTCTCTGCCCAGCATGGTTCTCGTACTCGTGGCCAGTTGTGACGTCTGCACTGTCTGTAGTGGTATCTGCAGGGTCCGCATTTGCGGCCATCTGGCCAGTTCGTTTTGCCAGAGTCGAGTAATTGGAAGCAGAAGAGGCGAAAGGAAGATAAAAAAATGACTTATAGAGATTGTGATCCGCGTAATTAATGTGGCAGAGCCGTCCGGAAGAACTGCAACAGTTAGCTGCAGAAGATAGTTGCAGAGCGGAAGAAGCGAGGCTCGCTGCTGATTATAGTTTGTCCAGAAATCATCTCATGGCCGCTCCTACGGGAATCATCGAGACCACTAGCACCGTCAGGAGCTACCCTGATCCGTGCCCGAACTCCCGGATGATTTGGTATGACGTTCACGGATCAGGCACTCAAGAGGTGTCTGACTGGAAGTACTTCAAAGACATGGGCCTCTAAGGTTTCGACCCTTGTGATCCCGACATGGACGACGAAGCACGTTCTCTGTTCCGGCTGACGAGATCACAAGAAGAGAACTCCATCGATGAAACGTGCCAGAATGTCCAAATGAACCTTGAGAAGGTGAACCTCCCTCGTAAGAAGGTCTACATCATTTGCATGGACGCCATGCTTCAGACAGTGTGCAACATAACGTTAAGTTCATAGAAGAGGACGAGTGATGGGATCTTACATAAGAGATATATACTTTCTGAGATATTCACGAAAGCCCACATATCGAGGCCTTGAGCGCAAGGTCTCAATTAGACTATACGAGATTTGAATCGTGCATGGTGGGCGTCAAGTGTTTAATATTGGATCAACAATGCCTACAAAACGGGTTAGTATATAATGCGGAAGCATCCTTGCACATGCATGTTGTTAGTGATCTGGGAACTTTTCTACGTTCGACAAAAGCCTCCTGGGCCCCCTAATGTCGACAATCGTTTGAAGCTCCGTCTGTATGGTGGCATAAGTATGTGCCTTTACCTCACACGTTGCGTATAGCCTGGGTTCCCAATACTGGGCATACTTTCTACAATCCCTACCAAGATGCCTGACGCAACAGTAATCAATAACCTTGCCGAAGAAATTCATGTTGCTTTCTTCTTAGGCGTCCCTACCAATTGGAAAAATCAGCTCAAGCCCGGAGAACGTTGGACAACGCACCTCGCCAGCCTCCCGCATCGTTTTGAAGCGCGCTCTGTGACGGAGAGTCGCGAGTTCAGTCACGATGAATCCATGGAGATGCTTGCAACCATCGGAGGCGCTTGCGCTGCCGGTACTGCTTCTGTAGTTACAGGGGTTGTTGGCATACCCGCTTCAGTGCCGCTTATGGCTATTGCGAATGCTGGTGAATTTTGGTTTTTTTATATGTAATATCATGATGTCGATGTTCGTTGACAGGTGGCGCAAAATATGGTGGATGGGGTGCACATGGGAGGAGGTGCATTACGAGAGTGTGGGTGCCATTGTGGCACCATCGGGAGTATTCAGTCAGAATGGTTGATGGGAAGTGTGTTCTATGGGAAGTCGGTGCTAATAGATTGGTCCAATAGCTATGGCTGTTTTCCGGACTGCGCGTTTCATTTGATTGTACATACCAGTAGCTAGTTGACTATGATTAGGGCCTGCAAGAGGACGACTGCGTGCTATGGCCAATCTACCTACTGGTTGTCAGATGCAGAGTCGTCGGGAGCTTCGGAGTCGGGTACTACGAGCGCAGAAAGGCACATAATGAAGTGACAAAGGACATCGACCAAGGTTCGAACGCTCATCCTATTTATTTTCCCCTAGTATGCAGATAAAATTACAAGTTATTGACAGGACATAGTGCGCATGCTACTGGTACAGTGAAGGTAATGAAAGTGAACGTTGCGAAACGAATTCAAAGAGACAGCTCCGGTCAGTTTTTACCACTAAACATACATTCAGTCACCTCCTGCTGCTGCCCTTGCGGCCTTCTGTTTCTTCTTTCTTTCTTTTCTCTTCGCACTCCCATTCATCCGTTTCCCGAAGTGCGGGTCTGTGATCTCCTTTAGCAACTCCTTCCCGCCTTGATACATATTCTCCTTCGGAAAGAATTTCTCTGGTTCCTGGAGAGTATATGCTGTCAACTCTCCCAAGGTCGGAAACAGCTTTGCAGGCTTCCCAGTCCTCGCTGAATCAACCAGGTCTACAAGGTTGACACGCGTGTCCCAAACGCACTAGTACACAAGCACATCAGCTACGATGACTCGCTGCAATAATGATATACAAACGTGACGACACGCCTCAATTGAATCCGGAACAGGATCGATTCTCAGCACACGGCATAAATTCTGCCAGTTCGAAATATTGTTTCCGTCATTCCCGAAACGCTCATTGAATTCCTGAACGAGCGCGTCTTTGAACCCCTTGCATACTTCGCGCCTCTCCGGATCTTGGACATCACATCTCAGGACCTTGATGAGGCGGTCTAAGTTCTTGTTTGAGGACTGGTTTTCGTCGAAAGAGAATGAATTGAATTGAGCGAAAAAGGCGGCGAGGGGCGTGCGCTTTGGTTTATGGTTTTTGCGCTTTTTGCGCTATATTTTTCTATCAAAATAGAGTCAAAGGAATTGGTTCGGAGCTTACCTTTGTTTGCTTTGTACCAGGGGGCATAGTATATGGGAGGGCTTATAGGACGCAAAAGATGGGAGAAACCCCTGTGCTGTGCCACATCGTGAACAGACTCTTACTATATGTAAGGGATATCGAAGCGTTCAGATCCACCTCATGGCTTACATGCATGCCCAGGTACCCACGAAGAACCCTGTGAAGAAGGATCGTCGTAAGCTAGATATGGTAACTGACCCACAAATTGATGAAGATAGTTGTGATTCTCCGCCGCGAAACTTGAAAGTCATCAAGGTAGTATTACACATCGCACAGATGATGTAACATACCACGACTCCTATTGAGCACGAAAACCTAAACTGTAGGTACGCTCCCATGGGCGGTGCACTGAAGGGCGCCCACACATTACGGCCATGCACGAGTTCCTATACAATTACAAGCACCCCATAATGGGATCAGTATATAAAACCTCGTGTTATGGGGGTGGTTGGGGGGTGGCCGTAAAGATATACCATCTCTGCTGCGACTGCACGGATGCCATGAGGCAACCAGAATTATGCACATGAAGTCCTATCAAGGTGACCGAGAATGTTGAACCCTTGTTTCGAGGCACGCGCGCAAGGATATCGATAGTGGATTGTGGGGCCAACATGATTAGCTTCATAAATAAACCAAACATTAAAAACACACGCTGTGCCGAGTCTCACTAGCCTTGTGACTTCGAGGTAGATTGCAGAGAAGTACTTTTGATTTGATTTGATTTGAGCTGATACTATATACATACAGTATACCGGTGCAGGGACTGGTGAACATATCTGCCATGCCGTGCACACCGAAGAAATGTTTACCATTCCCTACACCGATATCGTGCGAGCAGCATGTACATCAGTCAGATGCGAACTTGAATGCAGGTTCAACCTTCAATATCGATATTCTAGCCCGGGCCTTGCCATGTCTTCGCAATATTAACGTCTTCGTCGAAGATACCACCACCACCTCGTGTGTTCGAGATGGTAGAACTGACAACCTGCAACACTGTTTATCTCGAACGAAAGAGGGAGAGCGAGGGACCGTTTTTTTTTTCGTTCGAGCTGGATTTGTTCATGACGAGTCAGGTTAAGTTGTTGTCAATGAAGAGTATGAGGTTGTGCAGGACGTACATATTTTCCCCCTGCTATTTACAGTGTTGTCCCTTCACTATAAGACTGTTAATGTCATTCGTAGGCTGGTCATTCCTAATCGGAGCGGGGAAAAGAAGTTGGCATCGGCTTAAGTTGTTAGACGGTTGAGGTACCCTACTGTGCTCGATGTGCATGTTTTATGCAAGGATGGGATGTCACATCAAACATCGTACGAGCATGATGCAAGGTGACATGATGCGGACGAGCTTGAAGATGGCTTGCTACGATGGACGCAAATCTCGGGGAATGGTGGCGATATAAGATGTGTTGAAAGTACGTGGGCCACAGGTGAATTGAAGCAAGGTAGTGGTGAGGAGAGTTGAAAGTTGGTTAGAAAAGGCTGAACGCCCTCCATTAGCCGTTGTTGTACGAGAGTGATTAAGGAAGTAGGGGGTATATATGTCATATGCCAGCCACCGGTGAGATGAGTCTGAGCTCAACGGGGTTTTAACTGTAAACTCCGCACCAGGTAGTATGATCTGTTTGCAGCCGATGAACGGAGATTTCACCACACTCTTAATGATACTAGAGATCGACATCATAGCATACCATAGTTTGCTGAACAACCCGTTGTCCTGCGAGTCGGCCATCTGACTTGTCTGACATGTCTGGCCCATGTGTAGCCTGGTTCAAGCAACGCCGGATGAGGGACTTCATGCGGAACTCTCCAGTGGAGGAGTGGTTGATATGCGTGGATAGGCCCAGCGAATCGTATGATGTGAGAATGTTGATATTAGAACTCAAGCTAACGACCACCAGGCTGCAATACTTCTGTCGTCCACATCTCGTACTTTTCAGTGAACATAGCGTTAAGTGTGTGATGTAGTCAGCACACTTATTGCTATGTTTAGTTGGAAGGTCTCCGTTGCTTAAGCGTTGAAGCACAGCCAAAAATTTTTAGGCACAGCTCGACTCAGCGAGCGACTATGTACGACAAGAGTGCCCCAACAGAACCTGAATGAGCTCGTGTGCGAGAATCAAGTCTGGTCAGAAGTGAGAATGCAGGTAAATTATATGGTTCGTGCTACCTTTGCTTCATCTTAATGATGACCTCTGCAGGTAATTAACAATGAGGAATTTCGCGCGACAGGACCAGAGCACAACCGTGGATCAGAGCCAAGCACGTTGTCCGACTTAGAAGGAACAATAACGTTGCTATAGACCACCGGGCCACAGCGCGTGGTCACTTACAATGCATCCACACTGCTGTGGACGACTCTGCAATTTATAAGGTGAGTATTAAAAATCAAAGGTAGGACTCCTTCAAACCAGCTTCGCATCTTACTCGCCTGGCATGGACTCTATTTCCAATTTTCCGTTTAACAACCTTCCAACTGAACTTGCCTGCCGCATCCTCAGAGATTCTGCACAAGCTACCTTTGATCAGACTGACAGATATCAGGTCAAAAGTCCATACTCCTCCGCACGCACACTTTGTCTCGTCTCCAAAGATGTCAGGCGCATTGTGCTTCCCGAACTCCTACACACCATCTTGCTGCCGAAATCAGAAAACCTAAACAGGTTTGTCGATGCTCTTATGTATGCAGGAAGAGTACGCGGAGATCCAAAAACAAAACGACCTCCGTTTGGAACGCGGGGAGGAACAAATACCAAACGACCTCTATTTCCAGTATGCGCCTCACATACACAAGATATGGATTGGGTGCATCCACGACAAGATCGTACCCAATCCCTTGCTCCAATCAGACTATACATCGGCGCGCAAGCTGACCATCAACGTCCTGACTCCAGTGCTGCTCGCTGCGCCGTCCATTGCCCTTGGTTCGACAAGTCTGAAGCTTTTTTCAGAATGCCTGGAACACGCATGGAAGTCCCGTGCAGACACAAATGCCAACGACGAACATTCCCCGCCTCCTTGGAAGACACAAGCTCTGACGCTGTCGGGTGAGACAGTCGCCAACGGCCCATGGGAGCTCCTCACGAACACCCCTCAAGGATCCGCTTTCTTTTCCTCGATCTCTCACCTCGCCTATGGGTCCCACACGACCACATTCAACTACAGTTTTTTTGTAGCCATGTCTCATGGCAGATCTCGAGACTACGACCTACCTCTGTGGATGAAGAGCATTCTATGGCCTTCTTTCAAGAACCTTCAAACTTTCTCAATGGCCTACCCACATATCAAACCCCCTTTCGATATCTATGACTTCAATCAGTTCAGAGAGGGAAGAAAGGGAAGAAGCTTTCACGTGGAGCTGTTGACGTTATCTGCAGCCATGCTGACGCGCGGCCGCGATGATGCCCGTGATTGGAGGATAAGTGCGTTTGCTGAGATTGGTCCAGGAGAGGAATGTATTCGAACGGAAGAAGTTCGTTTGAAGGTGTCCCATTTTCCCATAGAATTTTGGTATGATTTTTATGATTGGGAAAAAATATGGGCCTGCGGGTTATGCGGCTGACGAGGGGTGTTATGAAGCAGATGGGGGATACCAAGATATGAATTGTGTTATATGTATGTACATAATTGTGATACTCGATGGACTTGGTCGTCTTACGAATGATTCGAGAGAGGCTCAGACTAGAAACGGAAAGGGACTTAATTTTGGATCAAAAAACTGAGGCAGAGTATTCGAGGGAAGCTTGAAAGGAATTAGTACACTGATTAAGGAGAGTCAAAGGTAAACGTATACGAGGCGTGTAACGAATGGGATGAGTACGTACCAGAATGGCATTGAGAGCTATATCTTAACAGGTCAAGCCTTGGTTAATGTGCACCAACGTATCCTCAGTTCCAGATCTTCGAGACAACTTTGAACTGACAAAAAGGCAGCTATGATAAGATATGGAACCAACAAAGGCCGGTGTCCAAAAAATTCCTTGCCAAGTCAATCGCATCGAGAATGCACGTCGAGTAGGGAAATGGTCCTTAGCTTATTCTTCGTGGGCGGGCTTCCGGGATGTTTTGACAACTACTTGTGAGGCGTCGAGGGACTTGCTATAACAGCACTAAGCTCAACTTAATCTCCCGAACCTGTGTCTTCGAAGAAGTCACCTTATTAAAATAGTTGAATGTCCAGGTGTAACACGCACAATAAACTACTATACCAAGAGCCTCGAGTTTGAAATCACATGCATAGCGATGAAGCGCTTTTACAATATTGTAATTTTGACGCGTACGCATTTTGTTTTGATAAATTTACAAATTTTATATGCAAGCGATATTGATAAGATCATATCTTTATGCGTACCATCAGCCAAACATCAAGGAACAACCGTAAAGACTCACCTACCATCCTACATCTTCGCCTTCGCATTCCCCGAACCATTCACAATCTCATCCAGTATGTCTACGAGTGCCTCTCCAAGTTCGTCTGGTTTCTCTTGCGGAATCTAATAGATTTGAGAAGACGATATCTTACAACCCACTTCGACAGCAGAATAAGACAGAGCCACATACCAGATGTCCTGCCCCCTTGATAGCCCGCTGAGACACCACCCTGTGCTCCGCAGCGTCTAAAATTTCTTTCCTCGACTCTTTAGAACTATACGAACACCATCACAACACTGTCAACCACGAACAGAAAAAAAGAAAACAACGCACATAAACTCCTCAAAATCAGCCCAGACGACATGAACTCCCCTCCCAGCCTCTTCCACCGCCCTACATGCACGCCCAAGAGACTTGGTCTCCACCGTATGCGATAAGCACGCATACAACGGGCTCTCCTCGTCTTTTCTCAACGTAGGTGTAACATAACTCTTCTTCCCCGTACCAAGGTGCGACTCATTCACCTCCTCAAATCCATACCTCACATAATCATCTACAACCCTCTTATCCCATTTCCTCCAAACGCCTTTCCCACCCACCAACCACTTCGTCAACGCTTCCCTATCCGTCCAACGATCGCGTTTAGCAAGTGACCCTCGGACGTTCGCGGCTCCGTGGATGGAGCGAGGGTCAGTTGGAGTGAGAGAAGGGAACATCAATGTAGGTTCGACCATTATGAGAGCAAAGGGTGTAAGGGAAGGGGGTATGGATGTGAGCGCCAATATCCAGAGCGTGCAACTCCCAGAATGAGCGATTCCTACCACCGTGCTGGATTTAAGAGAGGGAGTGGAGAGGAAGGCTCGGAGGTAGAGCGCGATATCTTTCGTTGCTTGAGGCGATGTTAGCATTAGTAGTAATACATAAGGAGGAAGAACGTACTGCACATCGCCTTCCCAGCTGCCTTGCGTGCATCAAGCACGGGGCGGTTGAGAAGTGCCGTTTGACCATGATTGGGGAAGTCAAGCACCCATATATCTCGAATCGTAGCGCGAGTTTGAGCGCGCGAAAGCAGGCGAGCGATAGTAGGGTCGTACTGTTCCTTGTCTGATGCACATTTGGGGTCAGGGCACGAGATTGGATGGAAGGACTCACGACCAGCAATTCCGTGTGTGAACACAAGTGTGAGACCGTCTTTGGCGCAGGAGACGGGATAGTATAGTGTAGAACACTTGAGCTCTACTGGGTCTGAGCCTAGAGTTGTGTGTAATGATAGGACACGCCTCTCAGGCGCTGGAAGCTGGGACATTTCGGGCTCCAGTATTCAACCAAGATAGCCTGTAGGACGTTTGTTAGAAGACGACAACTTCGTCGCCTTGTAAGACACAAACTGATGGAGGAACCAAGGACAGTGCTCTACTACGCCGACTTTCTCCCAAACCATATTGGCTACGAAGTTCCGGTTGCTTCGGTGAGTCGCATTTCTCATGGAAATCGGGTGTTGCCGGCGGCCGTGGTCAACTTCGAAGTCACGGTTAGTCACCTCGCTAATTCACCCTGATTCACAGCTCACATGACAACTGCAGGCCGAAGCCAAACACCCGCGTTACATTCTGCTCATTCGATGTAGGAAGCAGCGACTCAGGTACTATACGATAGGATGTCACTCCTTACATCGTACGATTGACTCGAACCAAACTCCTGCCGAATGAAATTCACAACACAGATTCACAGAACGCACCTGAGTTTGAGGAAGATGTGAGGACGACGACTTAAACCTGAAAGGACTGAGCATTCACACTGTATCACAGATAACAGGGCAAAACATACAAGATCTGTGTAATATGAATTCGTTCATGGTTGCCCAAACATCTACAGGACTACAAAGGCATCGTTCTGCGGAGTTAGTACATGGACGATTCTGCTGAGCGCTTGCTGACCATCTCGACTCCAGCAAAGAGACAACACACCTTGTGTGCTATGCCTCATCCATTTAGCCACGAGCTTGCACGTGTTGATGGAGGCTTTTTCAAACTCGTATTCCTTCCGTGTGTTACATCCTCCGTAGAAACCGGTTACTGTAGAAAAATTTCGACGTCCAGCTCGTTGGCCGAGTCTTCATTCACGTTCTGTCACTGGTCACCCTCGACAACGACATTGGCTCCTGGCATCGGATAATCTGCCGAGTATGGCTAGGGAATTCTGATTGATTGATGACAAGGGCGTTTTGCTAGGCAACTCCCTCGTATCATCAGCCATTCCCACCTCACTTCAATTTGACAGGCCGCCTTGTAATGCATACCTCGTATATTCTACCGCAACAGGCTCACCGAAGTATCCATCGTACCCAATAAGTTTCTTCCCCTAAAAATCAAATTTATTGTCCACAGGGTTAAGGACTTATCTCCAACATAGTCCCATTCGAGTTCGGGCCGTTTACTTCTGATACATCAGTCTTCAGGCACTTGAAGGCACAACTACTTACAAAGGACCCGCACCCTATTCATACGATGCTCCGTGTCGGACGTGTGGCCCCCATCAAGGGTCATAGATTCATGGTGCGCGATTGCGCATGGCATGGCGAATGGTCAAATCTTTAAAGTTTTCCGACTTCTACCCTGTTTACATAGCATTGGAATGAGTGGGTCTCGGCAGAAAATTAAAGAACGGTCACATTCGCGGCGACGATTTGGGACTTACATTAGTGGATATCGGACCACATACCAAACGAAAGGCCGAAGGGAAGGTTGGGCTGCGACTACTCAGGCTCGCTTGTACGTCAATCCTTGAAGCTTTCAACACTAAGGGTCTGATGGATGGAAAGAGGACGGCGTGATCAGTGACGGCTGATTCACATTTGTAAGGAACAAAAGCTGAGATGTCATCGACTGTTGGAGTAGGAATCTACTACTGAGTAGCAACTCTCATCCTGGATCAGGCCTTACGCACCATACACAGACTCGTTAGGGTCAGTCCAGCCTGTGACGACATTGCAGTGTACATTTGATCTTTGATATTCAATTTTGTGCGGAAATGTTCAACGTTCCATTTCAGGTTTTACATAAGTTTTCATCGCTGGGCGTTACATCTTGGCCAATATTAGTAGTACCCTGGAGTACCTGGATTATAAGTAAGTGGATGCAGTCTACCTTAAGTTGTCTTATGAAACCTCCCTTTGGTGCAGTGCCATCAAGCCGTCTTCTTCCCAGCTTTCAGGAATGACGGACATGTCTGTAGTTGCAATCCAATTCATAGGTAGGAGCAAAATATCGATATTCTTGCCTTGATGTCTACCGAGTACATATTAATGTTAAAAACTTTAGGGTTGACTATCTCTTTCGTGTCAGTACATTTCGGTTACCGAACCCATTGGACACCAGCTTACACGGCTCTGATAGGCAACTAGGTATTGCTGCTGCCCAGGGCTTCTGTTATTATCGAGCCTTCCCTCATGACATACGAATCCTAAAATATCTTGTGAGTACATGACAGTGGCATCACTTATACCCTCTAACCGAGGACTTTTAGGTAGTCACTGTCATGTTCATTTTCTACTATATCTATCGTGTACATCATTTAACTATCGATCCAGGATTCTAAATGTCACTGGGACACTATTGGCCAGTTTCATGTACTGGTCGTTTTTTGTCAATTGTTATCGAAGTACGTCTCCGAGTTGTCAGGCATGGTGAGCGTCCCACGTGCATAATCATGATGTTTTTCGGTTTTAACGCAGTTGCAGGGACACGGCGGTGAGCAAGATGTCTTTACTCTCAGATCAAGCATACCCAACTTGAGCTCGACTTATGGCAGGCAATGATCCTTCTCTTTGTGTCTGTGAGTTCCAAAGACTTTTCAGGATCATTAATCCGACGTTCTTTCCAGTTTACGCTACCATTCATGGTGCAAAGGTACCACGCTGATCGCTATTGCGAATGATGCTTACTTCTTGACACCGCAGTTTTTATTGTCATCGTGTATGGATAAGTAAGTCGTCATGCGTTAGTTGTATGTCGTTTTTAATCCAGTTGTGTACGTAGTCAGTGGCAAAAACATCTACGTCGTCATACCGATAGTGAGCATTCCATCGCGTTCACGAGATCCACAAACTTACGTCGGCGAACAACAGATTTTATTTGCAGTTTCGTCTTATGGTGAGTTTCATTGCGCACTGCATCTTGGTTGCACTCTCAGACTTATCTATGATAGTGCTTGGTTTGAGTTAGTTGACTGAACAGTGTTTACTTTGTGCATGTGACTGACAGATTCCCTTTGCGTGCAGTAGTCATTCCGCCGCAGTGAGTTTTTTCGTGGTAGGACTCGAAAAACCTAGTTCAATGACATATCCAGGGAGGTTGGGGCTTTCTCGAGCGACGCAGTATGTCAGAGCATGTTCTCGAAGGCTATCCTGACATTGTTTTGGTAGATACTCAGAATCTCTGCCGCAGGAGCATTTCAGAGCGTTCTGTGCGATTCTACGATCAGTCTTTCTGTCTACTTTTACCTACGCCCTGCAAGAGCTGGTGTCCACCGGTAAGTCGATATACTGTGACTTAACCGTTAAAATATTCACCTGTGCGATGTAGCACGGACACCCGTATTCAGAACATAACCAAGAAATTCACCACCATGGGCTTTCTTGTGTGGCAAGTCTTGTACCGCTTTGATGTGATCCCCACTAAGTGCCTTAATTCGTGATCCAACAGTTTGTTGGCTATCAGCATATTCATCTTGGTACGCAGCATGATCTATGCAAAACTTCTCAACTAAATAACAATGCCCAGTACTGGGCAAATGGGTTTGCTGCCATCGGAGGTGTAGCCATGGTTCTCAGAAGTTGTGAGTGATGTTTTCTCCTGAGTTACTTTCGTCCCACAGTCTGAGATGGTATGCATCGAATAGCATATGCCAATTCGTTACTATCTACGTAAGTGAAACCGCGAGTCGATCATCCACATTAACTTATGGTGCGACTACTAGACTCAACGCCAGGAAGCTACCTAGTAGGCCTCAACCGACGGATATCGAACTTCCAACGATTTCAGTGCATAATTCGAGATAAGCTGGTTACCCTGCACGCACTGAGTTCCGGAAGCTGAATTCAAACACTAAATGGTCGTATCCATAAGCATTTGTGTTCTTGTGAATGTGATAACTTAACACTAAGAACATGAGCATATTCGTGTTCTCATTGCATGCAATGCAAGTAAATGGAATACTACGTCTTATACTAGTAGCTCTGGTGCGAGCATACGCATCCACTTCCCCGCTCTTCTCAGCTGTCGGATAGACCTCAGTCATTTACATCGCTCCATCAATATTGTGTACAAATGATCATTCAGCCTGTTCTATACAAGTTGCTGCCCATGTAGCTCAATCGTCGTCGTCCGATATCCATAAGCCGTAGACATGAAATTGCAGTAGAATGCTGCATGTACGCAGGAGCCGTAGCGGATTCGGAGTGATGGTCGGAAGCTGGCTTGGCTTCGAATACAAGGAGCGAATGGTAGCAAGTGCAACAGCACACGAGCTGTACATTGAGAAAATCGGAGGTGCATCATATGAACACAGAAAGATCAGTCACTCGTCCTACTCATCCCATTATTCGAAACCGAGTCCCCAGATGGACCTCACGAATGTGACGTAAGAGTGAGTCGCGCCGGATGCTGCGAGCGCTTCCGCAACCTTGCCAATGACATGGTACTCTTGCCTCACCGCGAGACACTTGGAGATGACATCCAACGATATGGGTTCTGAGTGCATCCAGCGGCCCTTCAAATCCGCATGTCATATTGTCTCCGACAAGCCAGCGGCAAGACGCTGTTCTAGTACCAGTCTGGTGAGAATGCGAATTACGGCGGGGTACAGTCTGTTGACCAAGTTTTCAGTTTAAGACGATTGCTAATGAGGTTCATGATGACATACACTTTGCTGCACAAGAAAGTTGTGAATAAGGTGCAGTTCTTCATCACTCGCTTCAGTGGAATTGTTATTACGGGAGTGTGTGCTCTGCTTCACATGGGGATCACGAGAGATCTGGAACCGTCGTTTGCATACTCGGCTTCTGACTGTTAGGCATCGGCAGCTCCCAGGAGACAGACATACTCACCAATCAACCGAACAACCGGCCTGCCGTTCAAGCGAATGCATAATAGACTCGACGGGCAAGTGATTCACAGCGCCGCAAAAATGACATTTGTAGTCAAATTCAGAGAATGATGTCGTCTCCTGTTCGAAGATAACCCTCATGACAATCTTTGTGCCTGCTGCAATGCTTGACCGGCTTGTAAGTCGAGTTACTTGTCTGCCATCGTCGATGCACAAGTCGTACTGTCCTTCTTCTACATATCGTTTCTGAATGCGTGCTTCGATGGAATCACATTCAAACAAAACTTGGAGCATCCTTTTGAGTTGCTACAGAGAATTTAATCAGTAAGCGTCCACAAGACGAATTTTGAGGCTGGCGAGCAGACCTGATATGAGGTGCAGAAGTTCGCAGGTATTGCATGGTCGTGGCCTGTTGCGTCTACCAGTGTCACGCAACCAACTAGTGCGACAGTTCTGTTCATCAGGCTTTGCAATGTCTGCATTGCGATCAGCACTTCCTGATTCGCTTCCCGCTGCCTCCGTAACTCTTCGTGTATGGCATGTTGATTTTGCATTTGCGACGACAACTAACCAAGTAAAGTAGTGAGTGAAGGCAAACAATTTTGAGGGAATATATAACGCAACCAAATAATCTGCTGAATAACGGTCGATTTCAATGAAGCATCTAGCGATATCTTGCGTGACGAATGTGGATGCGAGACAACGTTCATGCAACGTAGCCACTCGGGTTGAGACGTCTTGCAGCATCCTAAGTTCGAATTGATGTCAGATGCAATTCGGCACACACCGAAAAAAGAATATACCTAACAAATGAATCTCTCCGGAATTGTTCAGAAGGATTGCAGGCAGGCGGAGCGTTGCACAAATTGCAGCTCAGTCGATTGAGTCGTTTCGTCAGACTATCGAGGTCCGCCTTGTTCTGATTATGCGTCTGTGACGTCCTTTAAAATCAAGAAACGTCCTCGCGATTGCTTAAGCTCTCACATTGAAAGTTTGAAGGATTGACAATAGTCCACCGATAGCCGCCTGCAACGGAGAACCAACGAGTGGAAATACACCTGCAATGGCCTGTACCGATGGCAAAGCTACCTGAGCCATATCATAAACTTCGCGAGCAAGTGGTACGCTGCCAGATGATCTGGAAGGAACATTGATGGGGGCTTCCAGATTTGCGGGTTCTCCGGTCGCAGAAATGGGCTGCATTAGCGATGGATTCGAAGCGGGCGCGTGCAGAGAGAAGGGACTGGCAGAAAAATCTGCAGGTGGGCTATCCCCCTCATGACCAGTGGTTGTCCAACTTGTCGAGCTGTGTTGTGTGCGTCCTTTCACCAATTTTTTAGATCGCCTTAGGCGAAGTGGGATGACCTTATTTAGACCCTTGAGCCATGGAAAGACCATTTCGATCAGATGACAAGGTTAGACTCTAGAGGATAAGTGAACGTCTGTCTTCACCTGATGCATGAGATGTAGGAGAGCAAAGGAAGGTGGTTGGCGACTGACGCTGCTTTGGTAGCCGTACACAGGCCGCACCGCACCGCACCGCACAACACAGGCTCAGCGCTCAAGCGTTCAAGCCTCATTCAAGCGCCTGCAGCTCAAGACACTCAGACTCGGAAGTACTTGCCGGAAAAAGACGGCGGGTTGATTTCATCGTCAATATCGATATCTCTTCCGTCCTCCAGTATTTTCAATAACGCGTGGAGGATGCCGCATCAGCTGCAAGCTAGGCGTTTGAGTATCCAAGTTGCTACCGAGGAACGCATTTGAAAGCAGAGAAGGAAATTGGGCAAAACGAAATACAGGAAGTGATTATTAAGCAACCCCGCGTGATCGAATCGATTGATCCCCTTGACATCATCACCTCAACCTCACATGATCCCTACCTAATTAGGTTGTCATATACCCCCGGGAGTGGCAACCTAATTAGGTACGACTGCACCAAATACGCACACTGCCAGTAAATAGCTGAATAATGTTCAATATCTATACTTCGGCAAAACACCAGTGTGTCAGACTGTTTGGCGGGGCTCGGGCGTACGCAACCATTCCCAATTTAGAAGCTTATGCGCTGTTCATACTTCGGGAACATCCGCACGTCTCGTGCTCACTGTCGTCGACGACGAGAAACCCAATATCTATGCCAGCAACACGCAACAAACGAAAGGGAGTCTCCCGCCAAGTCCGTGTTGTCAGTGTCACCAGTGATGGGAAGCAACGTAGTACCACACTTGGACTACAGGCAGTAGGACGCGAACGTCTCGCTGGGCAGGCACGCTACCGCCTCAATATTTCAGGTAGGTACTGTGCAATCTTCATTACTTATTATTCATTCTGTAGGTCTCGGTAGTGATTCACTCAATGTTCTCGGAGAGATACGATCTGACGTGGACTCGGAGGACATGACCCTCGCATATGACGGACAAGACGATGAACCAGCAGGGGAGTGGGAGACCGAGCCTTCAGACGCCAGTGAAACGATTACCACTGCCATCCGCGATTATGTGGAGACACCGTCAGTATTCCTTCTCTCACAAATCAACTTTCATTGATTTTTAGCATTAGGTGGAACCAGCGCGTCTACAAAGACAATCGAACATGGCGACAGCGTTTAGACCACTTGCATGCCAACTGGATGCCCCTCCTGGCGACACTCACAGATACTTATCTACGCTGGAAGGCAACATGCTCCGATCAGCCCCAGCCTGTACCTGCCAACAATTGCCCTTCCATTCCCTCCGATTCCTACAGCTTTACCATCGCTATCATTGATATCTTCACGCTACAAACAAGCACTTTCATTCATCGTGATGCGAACAGTCTGTCTCCTGCAATTGACCTTGTCCGTGCTGGCTTTCTCAGTCATGTACCGGTGTCACCCTCAGTAGCTATCTCACTTCGTACTCTGGAGCATTTTCGTCACCTACGTCTCCGCAAACCTTCGTTTAGCGTCGAGGCATATGTCAAGGTGATTTGCGATTCATACAAGGTACTACTCTTGTCTACTCTGAGTTTTGCATCACTAACTGGCATTAGGTACCCTATAAACGTCGCTGGCGTACTGTACTAGCCGATGCTTTCGATACTTACTTGGCCATACTTCGGCAGGTTGAGCAGAGAGTCAACACTGCTCTCGGTCGCAGTACCCCCAACTGGCGCATACTCAACTCATGCCCTCCCTGCACCTATGAGTTGGAGGATGAGCCCTTATTACCATTCTCTCGCATGTATGTCCTCGATGGTGGCAACTCAGCCAAACGCATGGCAGGACTAGGAGGACGCGAGCGAGGAGACACGCGGACATACACTGAGAGCGACTACATCATACCACGTGACTTTGTTGATAGCTTCGCCAATGAAGTTCGACCACGCGCTTCAGACTCAGATGATGCAGACCCAGTTGTGGGTGTTTTCAATACTACAGGAGAAGAGGACACACACCCCGAAGTCAACACGGACGATCTCACGACGCAGGTCATGTCATCTGACTGTAGTAAAAACTGGAAAGCGGCTGCCAATGAAGAGAAGAAACGTATGTGGTCTGTCTTTGACGAAACGGGGATTTTTGTTTCCGCTTGTCGTCACGGTCTTTTGTTATGGGTGACAGACATGGTCCGCAGTGGTGAACTGTAAGATCTCTTGTCTCTACAATGTATTTCATATCTAATGACTTGACAGTGCGAAATATCCTCTCGCGATCATGTCTAACGTCATTGATGTTCTTGGCGAACGCACTCTGGGAGCATATGATATAGGCTGCGGATTTCAATCTACCATCCGTGCAAGCAGGCTGGGTGATGCATTCGAGAGGCAAAAGTGCTGCATGTGTGTTGACGCCTTTCACGGCTACGCACACAACTACCTGTGTCAAACGAAGAACCATCCAAACGGGATTGTTGGTGCGGGTCTTGAAGACTTTGGAACTATTGAACATTTTTTCAGCGCATCGAATGCTATTGCCCCCGTCATCCGATATGCCAGTTCATACCGCCGTCATGTCTTTTTGGACCTCTTTTTCAAGCAATGGGACGAGGATAAGTACTTGAATCTCGGTACTATGATATACAATAACTACAAGCAAGCGCTCGACATTGTCTCGACGGAGTCGATTGCTCTTGATGAAGCAAAGCAATCACTCGGCATTCAGGAGGGTGATCTGCAGACTTGGTGTCAGGAGGAAATCAAGTATTTCGCACATCTGGGTAAAGAGACTGAGTGGGATGTCCATGCGATGGCATATGTGGAACTCCTACTGAAGCTGAGAGATGCAGAGTTCTTATTTCTTTTTTTCGCATTTAACCAAGTAACTAACTATCATCTTAGATCTCAGGCGCAGTCCGCATCTACACGTTTTCTATCTACGACTCCAAAGGATTATCAGTTCATCTCTTTTACGGGCACACAGTCCTATTCCGGTGACATGACGGCCACGAGAAAACTTGAGACACAACGTCGGTACAGCGCTGAGCGTCTCGCTACAATACAGCAAGAAGTCACTTCCATGGAAGTGAAGATGGGTATCGCTAATCGATGGCAGCCTTCGTCACCTGAGTATCAAGCAACGCTGAAGTATATGTCGAATCATCAGTATCAACGTGCGTTGGACAATCTTCAGCGCTTAGTAGTCCAACGGCTCTTCGAGCTTCAGCGGCTGAATATCTCACAGACTGGTGCGTGTCCTTCTGCTAATTGTTTACTTTGTAATCACTGATTGATATTATCAGCTTATAAAATGCGCACCCACATATCTAAATCCCTTCAAACTCGATGTCATACTATTCAAAACGCCGTCAAGACATATAATACAGCAGCTGCAGCACTATCACCCCCTCGCCCCCAGCTTGATTGGTCCAAGGTATCCCATTACAGCTTTCTTGAGGAGTTCAACCTCCTGCGAGATACACGACAAGACGTTCGCGAAAAAATGTGGGCCAAACCTGCTATCCGTGCAGTGATCCGACAATGGCTACGGATTAACCATCAGCGCTATCACCGATCGTCTGATCACATCAAAAATGTTGTGTTTCTACTTCCACCTTCTTCAACATTGTCAGTCTCTTACTTTTGCAACTTAATGAGTTCTCACAAGTACTGGGTAGAGCGCCTTACAGTGTTTACTTAGTGATTCGTTTGAAGGGCTCTTCACTCAAAGAAAATAGAAAATTCAAGCAATCATAGTATTTATGTAGGCGAATGTTAATGAAAACTACACGTTACACTAGTTCAACGATGAAGCGTCAAGTCAGAGAGATATTCTATCAAGGTACCAATGTCCTGTGTCAATTCCTCGACTTCATCAACAGCGGGTGCACTGTCGTTGTCATACTCAACTTCGTTACTGCTAGACAAAGCAATATCCTCTGTAGTACGCCCTCTAGATCCTTTCCTGATGCCTGCTGAAATCGAGCCGGAGAATCCTGGAAGCAAGTGGATCTTTGAAATGCGGTGAAGGACTTGCATGTTGATTAGACGGCGGTGTGAGCAGTATTCGTACACTGCGACATGTTCAATAGCTTGTTCAGCTGCGAGTGAAGCGAGACATTGGGTAAAGAAAGTGTCTTCATCTATGATGGCAGTGTGCAAAGGGCGGATCTCCACGTTGCATCGGTCTATTTCCTCCTTCGCACGGTTAATCCGTAGCCATTGTCGGATCACTGCACGGATAGCAGGTTTGGCCCACATTTTTTCGCGAACGTCTTGTCGTGTATCTCGCAGGAGGTTGAACTCCTCAAGAAAGCTGTAATGGGATACCTTGGACCAATCAAGCTGGGGGCGAGGGGGTGATAGTGCTGCAGCTGCTGTATTATATGTCTTGACGGCGTTTTGAATAGTATGACATCGAGTTTGAAGGGATTTAGATATGTGGGTGCGCATTTTATAAGCTGATAATATCAATCAGTGATTACAAAGTAAACAATTAGCAGAAGGACACGCACCAGTCTGTGAGATATTCAGCCGCTGAAGCTCGAAGAGCCGTTGGACTACTAAGCGCTGAAGATTGTCCAACGCACGTTGATACTGATGATTCGACATATACTTCAGCGTTGCTTGATACTCAGGTGACGAAGGCTGCCATCGATTAGCGATACCCATCTTCACTTCCATGGAAGTGACTTCTTGCTGTATTGTAGCGAGACGCTCAGCGCTGTACCGACGTTGTGTCTCAAGTTTTCTCGTGGCCGTCATGTCACCGGAATAGGACTGTGTGCCCGTAAAAGAGATGAACTGATAATCCTTTGGAGTCGTAGATAGAAAACGTGTAGATGCGGACTGCGCCTGAGATCTAAGATGATAGTTAGTTACTTGGTTAAATGCGAAAAAAAGAAATAAGAACTCTGCATCTCTCAGCTTCAGTAGGAGTTCCACATATGCCATCGCATGGACATCCCACTCAGTCTCTTTACCCAGATGTGCGAAATACTTGATTTCCTCCTGACACCAAGTCTGCAGATCACCCTCCTGAATGCCGAGTGATTGCTTTGCTTCATCAAGAGCAATCGACTCCGTCGAGACAATGTCGAGCGCTTGCTTGTAGTTATTGTATATCATAGTACCGAGATTCAAGTACTTATCCTCGTCCCATTGCTTGAAAAAGAGGTCCAAAAAGACATGACGGCGGTATGAACTGGCATATCGGATGACGGGGGCAATAGCATTCGATGCGCTGAAAAAATGTTCAATAGTTCCAAAGTCTTCAAGACCCGCACCAACAATCCCGTTTGGATGGTTCTTCGTTTGACACAGGTAGTTGTGTGCGTAGCCGTGAAAGGCGTCAACACACATGCAGCACTTTTGCCTCTCGAATGCATCACCCAGCCTGCTTGCACGGATGGTAGATTGAAATCCGCAGCCTATATCATATGCTCCCAGAGTGCGTTCGCCAAGAACATCAATGACGTTAGACATGATCGCGAGAGGATATTTCGCACTGTCAAGTCATTAGATATGAAATACATTGTAGAGACAAGAGATCTTACAGTTCACCACTGCGGACCATGTCTGTCACCCATAACAAAAGACCGTGACGACAAGCGGAAACAAAAATCCCCGTTTCGTCAAAGACAGACCACATACGTTTCTTCTCTTCATTGGCAGCCGCTTTCCAGTTTTTACTACAGTCAGATGACATGACCTGCGTCGTGAGATCGTCCGTGTTGACTTCGGGGTGTGTGTCCTCTTCTCCTGTAGTATTGAAAACACCCACAACTGGGTCTGCATCATCTGAGTCTGAAGCGCGTGGTCGAACTTCATTGGCGAAGCTATCAACAAAGTCACGTGGTATGATGTAGTCGCTCTCAGTGTATGTCCGCGTGTCTCCTCGCTCGCGTCCTCCTAGTCCTGCCATGCGTTTGGCTGAGTTGCCACCATCGAGGACATACATGCGAGAGAATGGTAATAAGGGCTCATCCTCCAACTCATAGGTGCAGGGAGGGCATGAGTTGAGTATGCGCCAGTTGGGGGTACTGCGACCGAGAGCAGTGTTGACTCTCTGCTCAACCTGCCGAAGTATGGCCAAGTAAGTATCGAAAGCATCGGCTAGTACAGTACGCCAGCGACGTTTATAGGGTACCTAATGCCAGTTAGTGATGCAAAACTCAGAGTAGACAAGAGTAGTACCTTGTATGAATCGCAAATCACCTTGACATATGCCTCGACGCTAAACGAAGGTTTGCGGAGACGTAGGTGACGAAAATGCTCCAGAGTACGAAGTGAGATAGCTACTGAGGGTGACACCGGTACATGACTGAGAAAGCCAGCACGGACAAGGTCAATTGCAGGAGACAGACTGTTCGCATCACGATGAATGAAAGTGCTTGTTTGTAGCGTGAAGATATCAATGATAGCGATGGTAAAGCTGTAGGAATCGGAGGGAATGGAAGGGCAATTGTTGGCAGGTACAGGCTGGGGCTGATCGGAGCATGTTGCCTTCCAGCGTAGATAAGTATCTGTGAGTGTCGCCAGGAGGGGCATCCAGTTGGCATGCAAGTGGTCTAAACGCTGTCGCCATGTTCGATTGTCTTTGTAGACGCGCTGGTTCCACCTAATGCTAAAAATCAATGAAAGTTGATTTGTGAGAGAAGGAATACTGACGGTGTCTCCACATAATCGCGGATGGCAGTGGTAATCGTTTCACTGGCGTCTGAAGGCTCGGTCTCCCACTCCCCTGCTGGTTCATCGTCTTGTCCGTCATATGCGAGGGTCATGTCCTCCGAGTCCACGTCAGATCGTATCTCTCCGAGAACATTGAGTGAATCACTACCGAGACCTACAGAATGAATAATAAGTAATGAAGATTGCACAGTACCTACCTGAAATATTGAGGCGGTAGCGTGCCTGCCCAGCGAGACGTTCGCGTCCTACTGCCTGTAGTCCAAGTGTGGTACTACGTTGCTTCCCATCACTGGTGACACTGACAACACGGACTTGGCGGGAGACTCCCTTTCGTTTGTTGCGTGTTGCTGGCATAGATATTGGGTTTCTCGTCGTCGACGACAGTGAGCACGAGACGTGCGGATGTTCCCGAAGTATGAACAGCGCATAAGCTTCTAAATTGGGAATGGTTGCGTACGCCCGAGCCCCGCCAAACAGTCTGACACACTGGTGTTTTGCCGAAGTATAGATATTGAACATTATTCAGCTATTTACTGGCAGTGTGCGTATTTGGTGCAGTCGTACCTAATTAGGTTGCCACTCCCGGGGGTATATGACAACCTACATCAGGAAAACCCTCCCATATAGACTTAGATAGATTAGACGTTCTTAGACAAATTTTCGCAAGCTGTGAAATTTTATATTAGCTAGCTCTAAGACCAATAGTATAGTGCAAGCTAATGATAATCATTGGCAACTAGCACAATGTTGCAAAACTGTATTGATCTAAGTATGTATTTACATAAAATGATGAACACTCGTCAAGAACATTAGCAAGCACAATGCCGGAAATATTGATGCTGAATAACTGTGTCAGCATTGTTGGCAGCGTAATGTGGGATGAGAAAGCGGACTTTGGCGGAGGACAGCGGTAGCCATACGAAGGCAGAACATTTAATAATTTGAAGTTGTTTGTGTAACGAAAATCGAACGATCAATATGACTAATATTTTATAAAGCTCCCACGGTTGATTTCAACAGAAAACCAACAAAGTGCAAACAAAGTGCGCTCTTACTACAACGAAAATCGAACGATCGATATGACTAATATTTTATAAAGCTCCCACGGTTGATTTCAACAGAAAACCAACAAAGTGCAAACAAAGTGCGCTCTTACTACAACTACTCACACCATCCATTTCGAACTTCGACCTTTGATGGTGCCAATTGGTGAGTAGTATTATTTCATCTATATACGTCGTATGGACTTTGCTGAGCGGACGTATCGTTTCTCTTCTCTTTGGTAGCATAAACGTCCGCGTCCAAAGTCCATGCGTGCTAGTCATGGAGAAGGACGACGCGGGTGGTGCATCCACTTTGGCTTCTGTATTGTCCACGCTGTCCTCGGCTGCAGCGCCACCGCATTCTTCTTCTTCTGCGACACCGGTCCGAGTCGTGGAGGTGGTGAGTCCTGGTGGCAACTCCTTTGTGGAGGAAGGACGATGAAGGCAAGACTGTTTGCAACGCGTAAGTTCTCATTTGTTGTTCCTTCTATATTCGTACCAATCTCTTATATACATACAGATGCAGCCTCTACTATAAGCTTCACGGCTCTGCTCGTCCCATTAGTATGAAATCCGATATTATTCGGAAGCACTCTCGACACGATGCTCGTGCGCAGCGCTCCTCCCTCACCGAGCCCCCAAGCGCATCTAACACGCCTGGCACTCCTTCCGTTATGGAGGAGACAGTTTCAGAATGGGTTCTGGTGCGACAAGCGCAGGCACTTCTTCGTCTTCGCGGCGCAGCAGCATGGACTCGTCTGTCCACACAGTAGACGCGGGCACTGTTTGCGCAGGTATGCACTGATTTTTTTAAAATTTTAATTACATTCTTTATATTCAAATGGTCCTGACTGTCAATCTTATTTCATGACAGACACTCTTGTTTGGATCCGTCTTAATCTCCCCTTCCACGTGCGGATACCATGTGACAATTCCTAAACTCGCTGTGCTGAGTCGCTGACAAATATCAAGGCGACCAAAACCATTGAGTTCTGACGTGTTAGTTGTGGCGGCTTTCTGTGCAGAGTCGAAGGGCCAGTTTGGATAGTCATTGATTCCCCGATATCTCTCACTCGCTCATTATATCTGACCGCTTGCTATGTTTTTCTTGTGGTTTGTTTTGCTCGTATGAGTCGTACATTACCACATTAGCCTGATACACGATTTTAATGATATCATCAATTTCTTCCGTGTACTTCAAGTGTGAAAATCTTCCTATTTGTGTTTCCTAAGATGTGCAAAGGCCTTCCTAGTTGTCTACTAGGACATCTAATTGTTCTAAATAGCAGCAAGGTATAGCTAATTAAAAATCAGCAATATAGTCTGGCCATTTAGTCTAGCCCATCTAATATGTCTAATTCTATGTTTTCTGACTCCGTCGTTGAGTCCAGAACAAAATATTTAGAACCAACATTTTGAGACTGTTACAAAGTACGATGCGACGTCGATCTGGAGCAAGTGAAAGCAACTGTAACTACATAGTGTTTTGGGCAATAAACTGTTGAAGTTTATTCGACTGAAACCTGCCTTCGTGCCCTAGAGATGAGGGCAAGCATGAGCAAGGATACCCAGAATTAATCCTGAACTAACTCATGCTCAAGACAAAGTGTCAAGTCAAAATGCAAGTCCTGTATGACAGATGGGAGTAAACTGCTCCATCAAAGGTCATGCTCCAGATCTCAGAGGAGCACCAGAGGGCACATACCACTAATCGTCCACAGTAGCCCAGGTGATTTCCTCACTCATGGAGATGGAAGGTGTAGCTTGAAGGGGATGTCGGGCATAGACATGACACCTAGGCCAAGCAAAAACCCAGCCCCAGAGCCGTTGCAGCAGGGAAAGACGACAGAAGGATAAAGGGAGTTGGATGGAGGTGGGAGGGGTGTCGATGATGCTGGCAACATCTACGCCAAATTCCACACAAGAGGGACCCCATCCAACAATGTGTGTCAACACCCCGGTGAAGGCAGGTGCAGGGAGGCTGGGACCATGGTCTCCACAAGAAATAAAAGAATGCCGAAATACGGCAATGGTATCGCCAACTCCCAGAGTGTAGTGTGCTGGGTTGTCGTGGTCCAGATGACAGTCAAAAACCCAGTGGTCATCTAAGGAACCGGGATGACACCAATCCACAAATAACGACCCAGCAATGGGAATGTGACTAGTGGTGGTGCTAAGTGGTAAAGACCGTGAAGTGTCCAAACTAGAGGAAAAACGAGAGACAGAGGGTTCATCTACGCTCAAGATGTACATGATGTAGGTAGGGTAGCAACAATGCAGACATGAGCAAGGTAGCTTAAATACAGCTCGGGTCGCACCTTGGAGCTGAGAGTGAAACATAGCCGAAGAGACAGAGTGTCTAGAGCCCCTACGATCATCGGTAAAATAAACTCTTAGTTAATAATTTAACAAGTCTAGACCCACCAAGGCTTCGTATTAGAGTTCAAAACACAGCCTTGTATCGCTAATGCTAATGCCCTGTGGTGTCCAAAAGATGGGTGTACAGCCAAAACTTTAATCATAGGGAGTGGAGGGTGGGGCAGATTTAGAGAATCAATCCAAAAGGCTGAGGAGTGATAAGATGTCGAGCAGGTGATGCTCGAGTGCTCGCGCCAAGCTGTTGGTAGCGGAAAGGAAAAGGACAGCTTATGTAACCTTACTCCGTCCCTACATAGACTGAGTTTTATGCGCGTGCTCGTGCCTCTCACTTACATAAAACAATATCTATGTTTTCTGACTCCGTCGTTGAGTCCAGAACAAAATATTTAGAACCAACATTTTGAGACTGTTACAAAGTACGATGCGACGTCGATCTGGAGCAAGTGAAAGCAACTGTAACTACATAGTGTTTTGGGCAATAAACTGTTGAAGTTTATTCGACTGAAACCTGCCTTCGTGCCCTAGAGATGAGGGCAAGCATGAGCAAGGATACCCAAAGACTAGGAGCGCACCGACGCATCTAGCGAAGGCTTGACCCCAGAAGTAAGGAGGGAAGCAACTCACAAAGCTAACGAACGGAGGGCATCGCGTAACGCGTGAAAGGTTCGAGTACAGGGGTGTCTTGAAGGTATGGTGCGATGACAACGGCGTGTTGTCGGAGGTACGCAATGAATGAATCCCCGCTCCAGCGTCCCATGCTTTTTACCGTCTCGAAAGGCACTCCACGCAGAAGATACTCCAGGGTTCCCCCTATTCTGATGCCATGGCCTTTGAGGCCGGCGGTCCCGGCAGCGGTGGAAGCACGGTCCAACCAGCGCAGGAACTCAGACCTCGTCAAAGGACGAAGTCCATTCTGGTGGCGCCAACTGAAGAGGGCGTCCGACGGCTCTGGTTTGTTGCGGGCGAGATGGTGAGCAAGGGCAGCTGCAGGGTCGAGTTCCCCATTCTGACGAGCGAAGTAGAGATCTTCACCGACGGATGACATCTTTGTCTTCGGAACGTGAAGGACTGTCACCTTGACGCCGTGACGGTCTTCGGTGTAACGAACGTTGGATGCAGTGAGGTGTAGCGTGGGATCAAACACGGTAAGGGAGCGAACAGTGACTTCACCGAGGCGAGCCAGAGAGAAGAATGATATGACGAGACACGCATAAGCAGCTGCGTCGAGGGCGTGTGAGAAGTCGAGAGTGGAGTGGAGTTGTGATAAGATCTCGACCGTGAACGGTAGCCTCTTTAGGCGCTTGGAGGCAGGTGGAGCGAGGCGAGCAGCTCCAGTTAAGGCTGCCGCGGTTTGCGCGTGGTCTGCGAGCCAATCCAGGCCATGCAAGAGATGCCACGCGCGCACGCCGTAGAAGTAGTTTTCGAGACTCTTACCAGAGTACATGCCTGCACAGTTTGCGATGAACGCCAGGAGGAGAACCGACGAGGCAGGTCCTCGTTGATCCTCGGGGATGCTACGCGCATCACAGAACACATGAAATACTAGTAGTCCCGACCCGTAAGTCTCACGAGTTCCTGAGGCGAGGGAGTGTCCAATGACAGTGAGGATGCGATTCAGATCCGCATCAGACAATGCTATGAGTTCGCCGTTGTCGAGAATGCGGGAACGATTGCGAGAAGGGCGCCATAACTGAAGACGATCCCTGGCTAGGCAATGAGGACGAAGGGAGGATGCTAGAGGAGTAAGCGCGGCTCGATAGACACGTGGTTGGGATGTGGAAGACGTTGAAAGCGGGAGCTCCAGTGGTACCGAGAACCGAGAACCATTAGTCTCGCCAGTGCTCATGGAATCGAGGCAAGGTGTTTCTGAACTCATCTCGCGTTGCCCAGTCATCCAGCGCGTTAATGTCTGAATTCCGTTGGGACTCGACATAAGGGAAAGCGATGCAGGTGCTCGAGGGTGCGGAGTGAGCATCAACGAGGAGGTGAGCGAGTTCGGTGGGTAACACGATGGGAGGGAGAAGGAGTTTAATGGGCGGGAATTGTCCACGCGAGGGCCCATCGGCGGGGTTATCCCTACTGGCAATGTAATGCAGGTGGAAGGAGGTCGAGGTACCCCATGGTGCGAGTAGAGAGATAATTCGCCTGAAGACACCGTTTGTCGCCCAGTTCCTGCTCCGCCCGTTCTTCCATCCCTCCACGACGCTAACGTTGTCGCAGTGGACGCGGAGATGAATTCCTGTGGAGGGGATACCCACCTGCAAGATTGAACGCACCAGGAGCTCGAAGCCAACGGCTTCAGCCCAGCCGATGTCATGTTCGCCATTGAGGGTACGCCATCCAGGTAGAAGCGTCCAGGCACGCCAATACCCATGCACAATAACTGCGACTCCGACACCAGAGCTGGCGTCGGAGTAGCCGTGAGCATCGACGATGGTGATGACTTGGGGGATGGCGCGCTGTAGGGAAGGGCGTGAGAGTTGCTGGATCCACCAATCAAGGTCTTCGTGGAGGTGATGGACTGCGTGATATGGCACGAAAGGATGACTGGCGGTAACGCCCAGCATGGCTTCAAGGGATGTGAGATATGCGCGGCCAGCAGGGACAACAAGGCAGGAGTGCAGAAGTTTGCCGTACAGCTTCTGCACGTCCAGGAGCACGTGCGTTGTGCATGCGCGCCAATCAGCGATGGCAGCCAGATACTTCTCTTTTTTAGCGTCAGATAACCCCACCGTGAGATGCTTGATATCCCACAACAAACCGATGAACAACACGATGAAAGCAAATAAGGTATCTTTTGAGATCTGCCATGGGATTCCCAGCCAAGAGGATGTGTCATCGATGTCATTAAAATTGGATGTAAAAGGCAGATCATCAGCGTCACAAGTAGATGAAAGAGCGAGGTCCCGCACAGGGAAGCGACAGTCCTCGCTGAAGACTTCAAGAGATCCATCGTTGAGGACGTCACCTGCGAACCAAACACGACCTCCGGTACGGCGAGGCGGGTGATTGCGCAGCTTTTTGTGTACATCCGAACGATAACTGTTGTATTCAGTAAGGGTCGAGCGAGGGAGACGAAAAAACAGATGGTCATCGACCCATTTTGTGAGAGGACCAAGCCCAGCAGCGCGCATGAGGTCTGCTCCCGCGTCCGCAACATGACCATAAGCACCTGCAGAAGGACCCATCCCGAAAGACATACATGTATCCACGCAGAAGGCGTCATTGCCAGTGCGTACCACAGTAGCGGCCCATTGAGAGTGATGCAGAGGAACGGTCCGATACGCTTCAGCGACATCGCGCGTCGCTCCTTGAGATCCAGCAGGTAGATTGCGAATGAGGACACAAACGGTGTCGAATGTCCCCCAGGTGCACGCAAAGTCGTCAGAGTTGATGGTTGAGTTGATGGAGGGTTGTGGGTGTCGAGGAGAAGGTGAGATGGGAAAAGAGAAGTTCTGGATAACCCGGAACTTGCCGGGTTTTCCTGGCTTCGGAATGATCGAGACTGGCGAGGTCTGGAACACGCCCAGGCTAGACTCCAGTTCCCGGCGCGTGAAAGGCCCGATATAGCGTCCAGTATTGAGTTCATGTTCCAGGATGACGTTGAAGGCGGTGTGATAAACTGAAAGAGAAGAATGATTTTCTGGAACCTGGGATGACGAAATAGGAGGTAGATTAAGGTTAAACCCGCTCCGAAAGCCATCACAGATGTCATCGTAGCGGTCCAAAAGCTCATGGCGAGCGAGCAACTCGCGCCAGACTGGCTCATTGTATGGGCAGATGGCTTTCTGCCGTCTGAGCGCGAGAGCAATGCTGGGCGCCATGCGAGGGGGACAGACATCCGGAACAGAGATGTCGCTCGTCGTGTGAGCGCGTCGAACACCCTCGGCTTCTCTGCCAGTCGACGCAGAGAGGATTGCCGTTGGAACCAACGACCAGCTGTTTGTTGACGCGTTTGGCGATGCTTTTCCGAGATCCATCCCATAGACGATCGGTGATGCACTCGACGAACGAGTGACGATTGCGCCCGAGACAAACGGCGCACACGGCGAAAGAGCGCTGGCCGTGTGCGCCGTTGGAAAAACCCAACATGGAATCGCCATATTTGGAGGAGAGGGGGGCATTATACTGTGTGGCAGGAGATTTGGAACGATCGCGACCACCCTGGGAAGGACGTGGTGCAGCAGGTGTCATGGAGTGACGACCGCGACGATGACTCGAAGTGTGACTCCCAACATCCACAGGTGGGCGGGTACTACCACCTTGGAAATGCTGTGACACCAAGCACATGCACCAATAACGCAAAACGCAAAACGCAGAACGCAAAACGCAAAACGCAGAACGCAAATGCCAGGACGCAAGTCGCACAACAGACAACGCAAGCCGAATAGCAATAAGATAGATGAAAAGGAATTAAGGATACCATCAGACGTTGTATGGTGAGATTAATTAATGTACGAACCTTGTAGTCGTAGCTCACGTTTACGCGAGTGCGTTCGGCGTGATACAGCCTATCAAAGCACCGCGATATCTCTATTTCGTCCAGGATGGAGATGTTCCAAGCCCCATTGGGCTGTGGAATGGCTTGATGCCAGGCACGGCGTTGTTCTTCTTGATAGGCGAGAAGGGCGCGTTGCTCCAGAACGTCATCGGAAGTCCAGTAACTATGGAGCATCAAAGCGCCGAAGAAATTTGCTAGCATGAGAACCCTAGATGCTGGCCAGCCACGTTCCTCAAGGGAGACAATATAGCGAGGGACGGCTCTGGAGAAATCTAGAGGAGGTAATAGACGATCCGCGATGACGCCGGTCGCGGGACGCGCTGCACTAGCAGCCGTCCAGACTGTTGAGCCGTCGACGCCGATAGTGGGCACCATACTGTCGTCGTCCGCAGTTTTGAAGTCTAGACGCTGAAGGTACAACAATTCAGATGGTGAGTCTGAACAATGTGTTGGGTCTTGCAGAACCTAGCTGCTATTCGACCCTAAAGGGTTTCTGGACCAGGCTCAAGGCTCAGAGGAGAGGAAATACCATAAAAACTTGCTGATCTCTCAGACTCATACTGGTAACTGGTGAAAAGATTGCTTGATTATGTAAGCTACAAAAGTGCCAACATAAGGTAAGGTAAAAACAGTCTCTACAAGCCCAACCAGAAATGAATCCCTACAACGCGTGTCTGCAAGACCTTTGTTAGTCCAGTAGTGCAGTTCAACGAACTGAGCTTTGTCAAGCTTGCGAAGGGCGAAGTCTGCGACGAGAAAAGGTTCTGCTGCACGGGTAGGACGAGGACGATCCGGGATTGGGATGTGATGGATTTTGTTCTTCTTGCGTTCTTCTTCAAGGAGAACAATGTTCTGGAGGTCTTCAGCGGTGCGCCGCTGGTCTTCGGCCTCGACAAGAGCGCGCTCGCGAGCCTCGGTTTCCAAAGCGGCAGCGTCAAGCTGCTGTTGCCATCTGATTTTGAGTGTGGAGTTGGTAGCCAACCAGGTAGTGCAAAGAATCACAGCGGCTTGGTCTTCGTCGACGTTAGGGCTAAGTAAGGGAAGCCGGCTGTCTTGAAAGGTAGCACAAGTGAAATTTGGGCAAAGATCAAGGTTTGGGTCATTGGTAAGAAGAGCCATGCTTAACAAGAGTGAAGCTAAACAGATTTAGAGAATCAATCCAAAAGGCTGAGGAGTGATAAGATGTCGAGCAGGTGATGCTCGAGTGCTCACGCCAAGCTGTTGGTAGCGGAAAGGAAAAGGACAGCTTATGTAACCTTACTCCGTCCCTACATAGACTGAGTTTTATGCGCGTGCTCGTGCCTCTCACTTACATAAAACAATAACTGTCTAATTTGTGTTAGCTGCACGAAAGAAGATCTAATCCGAACAGCTTTACCTAAGTTTACATGGGAGGGTTTTCCTGATGTAATTAGGTAGGGATCATGTGAGGTTGAGGTGGTGGACATCATGATTAAATATTAACCAACCAACTCCAGTCACCGTCCTAGCCATAATATGTATCCACATCATCCTCGACATCGTTCAAGGCATCGAGAATGGCCAACAACCGGCATCAAGTCTTTCAACTCATCTCATCTGCCGTATAAGTGATGTCAATGTGTAATGCTCACACCGCACATAGAACCACCTCTACTATCCACCAAAAAAACCACCCCGAGTGCTCCTTTGAAGCATCTATCCTACATTCCTGACAGTCAAAAGCATATCAAACGCATTGCCATGCTTTCATCCGAGTCAGCGCCAACACCTCACTAACGCTTGATCTCCAAGTTTCCGCCCTCCAACGTCATGCGTGGAGGGTGTCGTCAGCTGCAAGGTGGGCATTATTGCGCAATAGACTAACGTCAAGTACAGTTGGTCTGGGATTATGATGAGAGTGCGTATAAAATCAAGCGGGAAAACGGAACAGGGAGTGGGAATTTGGAAAGGAGATGGGAGGAACAGATCAAGAATATTCGCGTTTGTTGCTTACATCCCACTCGCACGATATCGATGGGTATACATATTCAGTGCGCACTGTACCGTAGATATGCCCACCACACCCTGCACAGTCTCAACTCGAATCAAATCAATCGGAGTTATGGGAAGGATATAACACACACTAACGACGGCAACCTGAAGAGACTCGACGCGTCCCATCCCAGATAACGAAACGACATGCGTTTCCTGTGAGCATCGCACCGTCGCTTCCCATACATCTAAGATAGTAGAGATAAACAGACTCGAGCTTGTTGAAATACTTCAAACGCACTCGGGACGCGGAACGCGTTGTACAGCAGCCCAACGAATGCTAACCAGCTACGAATCGGTGTCAATCAGGGATTCCACGCATCCTAGATAACGCTCATCGTATCCGTATCGTATGCTGGAGGAAGGACTCCCCTCACAACGCGCTCTGTCATCAGCACCAACACACCTCGAATACAACCGCTAACAGATGATACAGCTCCCACCCTCCGCTTTCTCAAGTCTTGCATCCAGTCGTGCGTGGAGGGTGCCGTCTGGTGCGAGATAGGGTGTGTTGCTGTAGGGAGGGGGTTGTTAGCATTTTTGTTGGGAAGGGCACACGAAAGAGGAGAGAGCAGCGATGTAGATGGGAGAAACCGTGTAGAAAGGGGTATGAGGATGAACGAAGTAGATGACAGGCGGGGTGAACGAAATGGATGACAGGCGAGAAACGAAGTACGGTAAGGCAGTACGGAAGTAAATAAGGACGAAGCAGAGAAGCCAATCAAACCAAAATCAGAAAAAAAAACACTCACCCCCACCCAAGATCATCGCCCAACACTCCGATCAGCGTATTCGTGTACATTGTTCCTTCCTCGGACCACGTAGCTGGTTGTGGAGGTCTGCAGGGCTTTTGTGAGCTGGGCGTACATGTCGAGTAAATGAATTACGGTGCACGGGGAGAGAAAGAATATAGTCAGCCTACGCAACGCCCTCCCAGGAATCAAACCCACCTAGGGCCAATACCACCCCGCCCGAGCTCAAACACACTAAACACACTTCCATCCGGAGTACGATGGGCAAGTCGATTAGTAGATCGAAATGGTATGATGACGGACGGTTTTGCTTGGGTAGGGGAGGTAGGTACTGGTGTTGATGGAAGAGACGAGTATCTTGAGTGGGCGGGTGAAGATGACTCGGAGGAGAGTAGGTCTGAAATCGAAGATGAAAGAGGACGAAAGACGTCGATGATGAGTCTTCCATCCACGAATGTAGGTGGGCTATGCTCCATGAGACTGAGTGCGACTTGCCAGGGTCCGCTCCCCGCACCATGAGTCGAGGGAGAACTGGAGAAAGGAGAGGGAGAGGGAGAAGAGAAGAAAGTGAGTGACCATATGCGTCCTACAAGAAGTGAGTTCGATGAGGATGGAAATGAGAGAACGCTGACCTCGCGCAATGAACTCCACACCTACCAAACCAGCGACGCGCATTCGTTTCTGCCAGAGACGAATTTTGATAGATGCACTAAAGGCAGCTTCGCCGTCGACCTCGTGGACGTCGATGTCATCTGCAGATGTGGAGCCTAGAACGAGGGCGTCTGAATCTTGTGCATCAGTTTAATAACACAAAAGGTAAAATGGGGTGGTCACCTGCTCTGAGAGTAGTTATAAACGGCAGCTCTCCCCTGCGAAGCTTCCCAAACAAGAGCTGATCGCCACTCGCAAGACAAGCAAGACGGATGTCTGCAACACAGGCATTGTTGAGTGGGCCTGCGTATTGAAGCATATCGGGGAGAATGTGGGTATGGCGGTTAAGAATGGCCCAGTAGATAGGAGTGTGTCCTTCCAAGATAGGTTGTTGGAGAAGGGCGGAGAAGGATGACGGAGGTAGAGCAGATGCGCATGAGGCTAGGATTGGGGTAGCAGCAGAGTTATCAGTGGTTGTGGCAACGAGATCGCGGATGAGAGAGATGATAGTTTGGCGTGTTTGTTTGGTACGAACATTAGGAAGAAGGGAGAACCACGTTGAGGAAGATAGAGGGGCGGCAGAGGCAGACCCTGCAACACCAGCAGAAGAAGCTGTGGTACTGGCAGTTGGTGCCGGTGGTGGACGAGGTTTCTCATCTATAACGGTACTAGAAACAGATGCAATGGTGTCATAAGAGGGAGGCAAGTCAACTTCATCGTCGATTTCATCGAGGTATTTATCGAGCAAGACCATCTCGGCGCTCCTCTAAGCGTTGAAAAGAACCAAAGTTATATAGTGATAGGGACTGCGGGCTACGCAGATGGCTGAGCAAAACATACGCGCTTAACTGCTGCGCCTGGGAATGACTAGTACAGCCCTACTAGGCTACTACAGAACTAGTAATACATTGATCTGTAGAACTTTACTGACATAACACCTACCCACTGCGGCTCTGCCCTTGTTTCTGAGTGGGGCGGTGATGATAACTCTCTGGCTGGTTGTTGAAAATGTACAACACGTGCGCGTGAACAGTATCGTCACATGCATTCCGCTGGAGTGATCTGCCGGGAGGTGGAATTGCATAATTCGTTGAAAGCGAATGAATGTGGAAGGTTTTTCTGAAGCTGTAGCTGGGGTTTGTTCTGGCGTTGCCATTGACCTTGGTTTCGGAAGAATCGGGGTGTAGTTTAGCAAGGAAGGAACGAGCCGTCTGTATGATAAAGCCACTCTTCAGATATGTAGTAGTAACCGTACATCTGAGCAGTATGTTGCAGAGGCGGAAGGACTATATTGATACGGTTTCTTGGGTACATGCAGAATCATGTTGTTGGTCTTGCTTGGGTTCACCAAGCTGAGCAAGAGTAATTATGTAAAAGGGATATCAGCGAATAATACCTGGACACACCTGCACGATGCGCTCCATCGAGGCTTTGGATTGGTTCAGACATGTTGGAAGTTGACAAGGGGAGAGCATACAGCCGTACGGACTCAGCCGTTGAACTTGAAAATTCACAATTGTAAATTGATTTTTAAATTTAATCATCGGTGTTCATTAGAGTGCCACAGTGAGCTGGCATGTTATGTCTGCGGACCGGATTCTACCGTCATATTTTACACTGCGTGTCCCTGCTCAAATTGCTGTCAGTTGATTGAAAATGACAGTAACTTCCAGTGTGGAAATGGAACTGAGTGGGCCTGTCTTTCCCTGCTGCCTTTCGAGCCCGAGTGTTAATGTTGTTCACTTAGCGTGTTGTGCGCAAGAGGACGTGAAGGAGCGCTGTGACGTGGCTTGGAAGTTGAATATGAATGTTGAGTACCAGTGAGTGTCAATGCGCATTCATTCAAGTTGATTGACGTGGTGGTTGTGGACCTCATTTCGACTCCGGCGACGTGACACGCGCACGTGACTCTAACTTATTTGACGCCTGGAAATCGATTTCACTTAAGCCGTACCAATTAATATATTGGAGATCTATGTATATCAATTCGTCAGAACCGACGCACGTACTATATTTGACGGTTTTGGGACAACAGAACTATACACAAAGAATGATCTATGTAACATCCGTCCATTCCATGATTCACAGTGACTGACACAGGTAGCGAAACACGAGAAACAACATGTAGTGAGTGTAACGACCACTATAAAGGTAAAGATTTGCTGAGCTCGACCCACGCCTCGGTACCTGTGAATTTGCCTAATAAATCATCCATATCCGATACAGTTTCCTCGGCATTTATCTGCTCAGATGTTCCTTTCCTCAATTTCCGGAGATTACGCTTGAAGCGACTGGAGGTAAGTGCCAGGAGCACCTCAAAACATTCCACAATGAGAATCCATAAAGACCAATTCGTGTCCGATTCAGAAGTGTCGAGGTCCGCGGGTAGATGGCGGAAGGGATTCACCAGAAAGGCTGACTTCTTCTCGCCACACGCAATAGCGCCTAAAGTCGCCCACTGGTCGAGAGGGCGCGATCCCTGCGGTAGGATTCCCTCCCGATAACGAAAGAAAATCCAGACGAAAACCCACATAAACGATTCTAGATCGTGGCGATATAGGTGTTTCACTTTGCCTTGTTGACCCTCTTCGGTGAGAAGCTCGAGCGCCATGAACGGTACCGTGCCCGTACGCTCGTTTCCCTGAGGACCCAATGCATTCGCCAACGACGACAGATCGTAGTCGTTTAAGACACCGATCAGTCTGTCGTTTTTCCTGTACCACATCAAGTTTCCAGGGCTGATATCTCGATGATAAACACCTTCCTTCCACAAAGTGAGGTGGCCTGTAGGCTATGTCAACGAAGAGTCACATAAGCTGAATCAAACACATACATAAGATACACTGACGCCAGGCGTCGAAAAGATCCTTGCCGTGGAGCTTCGTGATGGAGTGGAGCTTGCGGAACACAAGAATGTAGAGCACGCGACCTCCCGTGGTGGGTTCAGGAACGCCGAGCGCTTCTCGAATGGCGGACGTGGGATTCGTGAACTTGTGATGCCAGAGCAGCTGGGGAATATGCCCTTCGACAGTCGGGTGCCTCTTAGCGATCTCCTCAACCTTTCTCAGGATCTCCGGCTCGCTAGTGCGACTCGCCTCTCCCCAAAAGATCTTGGCCACCATTCCATCCTCGAAGTTACCATATTTCTTAGTCAGCGCTTCGCTAGTGACAGGAACCACATTGGTGGCCCGCCCTTGTAGTCCGTAATGCGTCACTCTTTCGGGGTGGCTGGTGTGAAGCAACAGGTCCACCGTTCCAAGATCTTCGTCCTTGATTTTGAATTCGTGGCATTGTTTGCCCTCAACTTCAACTGGGAGGAAGTCCTTGTTTCGGCCCCAATCGTGAACATTGAAGCGTTGTAACGCATATAACAGCATCATGAATCGCGGGAGATCTTGCATAAAGTTGATGCCCGAGCTTTGAACGGTGCCCTGGCGATCATAATACCAGGTCCAGATCACATCGTCTAAAAAGCGGTGGTAAGAGCGCGACCAGTCTCGACAGACGAACGAACCCACCGATAACGATAAAATTAATCAGATGTTCGACGGCAAGATTGGCCGCAAACATTTCCGCAGCGTACAGACCGGTCTGGACGGTCACATCTGGCTCGTCCGCGTCAGGATTGGCCTTGGGTTTTTTTGCGGTAGATTCCAAAGTGTCCGCGGCCTTGCGCTTGGAGCTGGACCCGCCCTTGGAAGTCTGTGCAGCGGTGAGGCCGGAGGATTGATCTGCTGCTCGGTTCATTCAGTTTGATCTTGGATACAAAAATCAAATCACTCACGCGCGGTATCGGACGCAGGTTGTGTTGCTAGGGTTTGCGAAGGGCCTGGCGTAGGCACTTCAGCCTTGAAATGACCCACCGGCAGATGTTCTGGTTTAGTAGGGACGTGGTCTATCACTATATACGAAGAGGGCGGCGACTTGATATCTTTCGTCTTTCTCTTGAACTCGATGCAAGCCAAAACATCTTTCCAGGGAAGTTTTTTTGGCTTTGCCTTTGCGTTCTTGTCCATGTGATCCTTGCGCTTCTGACCGTCCTTCCGTTTGTCTTTCTGTTTGCCCTTCTTGCCGCCCTTCTCATCTTCAAATAAAGCGCATGCGCTGTTCAAAGGAAGAATGACGACATCGGGCTTCCGAATTGATTTCGCCTTCTGGTGGGTTTGATACATGGGCATGTCGTTCTGCTGGAAGATCATGTCCACGGTGGAGACAGGAGCGCGCATCCCGTCAATCTTGATCTCTTCAAGACAAACGAGCGCAATATTCGTCGCATCAATAAAAGGGCTGTAGAAGTCGGGTTCTACTCCTGGACATGCGCTTGCAATCGTTGTAAGCCTAGAAAGGTGTAATAATCGAAAGAGCGCTTACTATTTTTTCAAGGCTGTCTCGATGCCCGAAGACGGTATGCCTCCAGCGGAGACCTGTCCATTGCAAACCGGAAGAACTCCCTTCAGGCACTTTTGCAGGAGCTCGGGCTGTTTCGTCTTCGGGGCGCAAGACGCACGCTGTAGGAGGGCTTGCAGCATGGCATCTGCCTTGCATTGTTTGGCCTGCTCGATGTCCCGCTGAATCCATGGCCGAACCTCCTTAACCCTTCATCGAACGTCAGGTGCTACTCCATAAGAGCAAGAAAGGTACGTACTTGATACCGACCAAGTTGATGTTCTCGCTGACGACGGAAGCCCCACGGCTGTTTGGGGTGGACTCTAGTTTACTACCACCTTGACTTAATGCATTGACGCGTGGCGGAGTAGCCGATGTGCCTGTCTCGCCAGCAGGGGACATGACGCTAGGTGTTCAATGATTACGCTGACTGAGTGTTGTGAGCAGAGCTGGTGAGGGAGAGAAAACTAAGAGGATAAGGAAGACGTCTGCTTCCTGCTTGCCTTATATGCGGTCAACGAATGTGGCGCAAATGTGGTGGACCATCGATCATTGATTTGATGTGGATTGATGTGGTGGTTGTGGACCCTACAGTTTAATTCGTGACTCCGACGACGCGTTCCCATCAACACACGCACGTGACCTTGACTTATTTTTTGAATCACCAAGTTCTTGAAATCGATTTCAGTCAAGTCGACGTCCGGTTGTACCATCAATATTAGAGATCTGCATAATGTAATACTCTAGTACTCTGTCAATTCGCCAGAAAACAGATGAGCTGCCGCGCGCCAGGGAGTTCATGTTTTTGCATGCTGAAAGGAACTCCACTATCTACGTGCACAAAAATCTTGTTCTCGATAATAATCAACAGAAGTTCTTCTAAGAATTTTGATTTTGGGATTGTAGAGCGGAGTCCGATGCTCGCACCATGTTCTAAACAGAAAGAAGACTATCAAATTCATGACTCAGTCGCAGTTCTCTAGTATTCTTTTGTTCTCCTATAGGAACAAAACATCGTTACCCCCGTTTAGATCCCTGTGCTACGTAGATGCATGACAATATTACTGTTAATGGACGTTGCTGTGTATCTTTGGTGATGTCGGACCATCAATATGTTTGATCCCTCGCAGGAAACCCTTCTTGTCCCGTGGTCTCGCCCATATATTCCTAGTTGATCTCGTGGCCTTGAGAAAGAGCGATCCATCTAGCGCTTCCGCGCCTTCCAGTCAAATGTCCCAGAAGCAAACTCAGTGGTCTGCAAAGCCAGGCTACGGGCCCTACTCGAGTTTCGTTATTGGCGTAGATCATGAACACAACCTCGAATAAAAAAATTAGTCTCATGCATGGTCCACAGGCCCAGTCCAGTTTTTTTTACATGACTCTCTTCTATTGTTCACTTTGTCCTCCGACAGTCTATCCCTTGTTCACTTGACAAGGCGTTCATTGGGTCGATTCGATGATCTGGAACGGAGATCATGCTGTAGCTCATGGCTCATGAATCATCAAGTCTCCGTCCCATGCATTGGGTATGAGAAGTCTATAGTAATTGTACAGTAAGAAAGACCGATCGTTGAAAGGTATGTATCCAAGACAAGCATCTATCCTAACATTTGGTACCCCTCATCCGTCAGTTAACCCGGAGGCCCAAGCTCTATCCCACGAGCAAAAAAACCGGCAAAAGTGGGTCTGATCACGCGTAACCTCGAAGGAAAGACCATCCGATTCCACCCTCTTCTTTCCAGGATCCGTTATAGAAAATGGCGGGGTTGCCCAAGGGAAGAATTGAGGGTCCTGCCTGTACAGGGGAGCAGACACCGTGAGTCGCTCCACATGCAAGTCTAGTCCCCTCGTAGGATCGATATATGAACGCATGCTGAAGGGGGCAGCCATATGCGGGTAGGCTGCTGAAACGGCTTCAAGGCTCTTCATACGAGCCCATGGAATATCTTTCATCCAATCACACAGCGAGAGTTCGGGGGATTTTAAACCCCTGCTGATGTCGCGAAAAGTGTTTGATTCCTCATCCAAATCGGTCAGGAAGGTGAGCTGGGTGATTGGTGCGAGGAAAGCACATCCTTTCGGAATGTTTTCAAAGATCTTCCAGTTGCTGCTGTGACGAATTATCGTCAGATTTTGTGTTTTACTGGGAAAGGGGGAGTGTTCATGGTCGATATTGGCATCTGCGCGGGAGGTCCACGCATCTTCCACGCTCTGAACAATAAGCTTTAAATGGTAGACGTCAATCGCAAGTGCCGGTGCAGCGAGGATTACCGGAACCAGTACGCTCATGTCCAGCTCGAATTCAGGCTCTTGTAAGGGATGTCGTAGAAAGAAGTGGTTAACCATCGCCCTCTGTGCATTGGGGGAATGGTCAAAGAAGTCACTAATCCACATCCTCTGCACAGCAGATGTATAGTCAAAGAAAAGGTCGCTTTGTTTCTGCGCATATGCTTTCTGCATAAGCAGAGCATTTACGAACTTTTTCACGTCATAACGTCGGCGGAGTAAGATCGTATGCAGGAGTTCGGGGAGGACGATGCGTCTCACAAGTCGAGAGACGAGACATAGGGAGAGCGCCGTTGAATAGGGAGTTTTATCGTCATATTTTTCCCTTTGGGAAAACGTCGGCTCGGCTGCATATTCGAAGATGATGGTAGCGATCTCAACGGGAAGGCCGCTAAATGGAGAGCGGATAGGAGACTCCATGATGGGAGAGGTGCTAAGCTGATTAGAATGAGCCCGGCCTTTAATATTTTAATACTTTCCTGGTGTCACATCCACAACAATAGATGCATATTGTGTGTAAGACCACAAGTTGTGACCCGGTGGCCCATTAATGTTCCTTCTAGGTCGTACAGTCCTGTGGAAATTACTATTTATAATCACACAAGATCGATCATACCAATGATGTGAATGTGGTACAAACCGTATAATTTACCTTCCGAACAGACTCTAAGTTGGGGTTATTGATTGAAGTTCACCTCGCCCTACCCTACACCCATACAAAAAGTATCGGTCGGAAGAAAATTATACCACAGTGAACTGGCATCTGTTGCATTCCAGAGCATCCACCGCTAGTGTTGTTGGTAGAACTCACGCAAACGGAGTAGAACCTCACAAAACTCCATGATATCCATGACTCGCGGAGATGTACAATGGGTGTGATAGTACAGTCTGTGAAAACCGACGCCGCTAAAGTAAGATGGTGCATGCAGGAGGACAGAGGACGCTCCGTCGTATCAAAGACAATTCTGAGTAGCTCGCATGCGCATAGACTCATTCAGGTTCCGTCATGGCACGACTCTTATAGTGCATGGTTGGCCACTGAGACGAGTTGTCTGCGGGACAAAGTTTTCGCTGCACTTGAGCAACATGTGATGAGGATGCTCGGTAAACTATGAGATAAAACTTATCTTCCAAGTCGATTGACACTTGTCATATTTCCCAAACTGACCTCATAGCACCCCGCGGCCGTCTGTGCGAGCTACATTTTCCGCCAAGCAGATGCAAGTACTAGAAGACGCAAAACTTCAATTGGTGAGCATCTCTGAGCAGGTGAGTAAGTGTATGAGCCGCATCTCTCTATCTCGAGGTTGGACTATGGTATTCAGTTGAGGTTGCAAGAAGGATTCGAGGCTGGGTCAAAAGTACTGGATTGAGTGACAGCCGAGTCGCACAGAAGATGATGCTGATCGTGACTTGAGTAAACTTGGAGGATGTGACGCATTCTCTCGTGCCTAGATTATAAATTTTGATTATTGTGATGGCAAGAAGCTCTACGGCGAATAGGTCGTCCGAAGTCGCCCGCAGCCTTTCCAGTACTCGTTCGAAGTCGTGAATTCAGCGAGAGAAGGGCAGCCTCGCGCAATGAATTTGATGTAGATAGTTATTTGCGCTGTGAAAGGTGCGGGATTTTGAGCGCTCGGATTCTCGGAAGCAACTCGGAAGGCTCGGCAGTGGGCACCACACACCGTGCAAAGTATCATATATCAATGTATCATACTCGATCGGATTTCCTTGTTGCTCCCAGATTTTGGTGTTTCACAGCTTCATCATTTCGTTCTATGAACCAGTAACCAGCACTGTCTCATCAGGAGAAAAGTCCAGCAAGAAGATTAATTGGACTCTGGAGTGAGCTTTGATGCATGATGAGTTGGGTAAGTGATTCGCCAGTTTTTCCGTGCCAGACGATGACCTCTTCACCTTTATTGCCGCTTGCTATCAATTACACACTTTGTGACACCATGTCAATCTCGACACCTCCCTACTATACCTCCATCTTTCTCAACGCAATACCTGTGTTCAAGTCCCACATACGAAGTGTCTAGTCGGTCGAGCCCGTAACCATCTATCATTTATCGGGGAACCCTGCGACTACCGTCGCGTCCTTTTTATGGCCTTTGAACTCTCGCTGGAGTGTCGTGATTTGAATGAGCTTCGACATGCTATCAGAGGTTGATGGCGTTAGTCGCGGTCCAAGTGGACTTTGGAGGGATTGTGGGTCTTTCTAAACTTTCCCTAAGCTGCAGAGGTGCGTGTATTGCGTGTTTTATGCTACGTCAACCTGCCTAATTACCATAGATACCCAGAACATGAGGCTGTTTGCCTCCATGCCTTGATCGCTATTATGGTAATAGGAAGATTGCATCTTGTTGTCTCTAGCACCATTGTGACAGCTTACTTGCAGCCCAGTCTTTGGGTCATTTGGTATGGGGTGCTGCCTCGCTAACGTCATCTGGGCCGTTCAACAGCGACTCAACCCTCGACATCGACGGTCGCCTCCATGTTTTCCGCCTGAAACATGTCGTCTGCGGGGTAAATACTTCAACTTCAGGCTATGTAGTGAGTGATCATCTCATTGCATTCTACTTCTACGGTACGTACAGTGGTTCTGCAATGGATAACATGTTTTTGACTGATAATATCACAGAAAGAAACTGTGGGATCGCAGATCATGCTATACTAATTAAGAGTAGTTTAATGGGCAGTGCTCCGACATCTACTTCTATCCCTGAGCTCACGTCCGTGTTCCCAGGATAGTCATATCAAAGCCTTTATCATCATCTGCTTAACATCCAGTACCCCTCATCCGTCGGTTAACCCACAGGCCCAAGCTTTATCCCAAGAGCAAAAATATTGTGAAAAGTAGGTCTTATCACGCGTAACCTCGAAGGAAACACCATCCGATTGTATCCTCTTATTTCCAGGATCCGTCACAGGAAACCACGGTGGCCCCCACGGGAAGGAGTCAGGATCCTGCTTGTAAAGGGCAGCAGACACCGTGAGTCGCTCCACATGCAAGTCTATTCCCCTTGTGGCATATGCAGCATATGAAATTGACTTCAAATCGTGGAGGGGAGGCAGATGCGGGTAGACCACTGAAAGGGTTTCAAGGCTCTTCATACAAGCCCACGTAGTGTCCTTCATCCAGAAAAACAGTGAGTCTCCTGGCGAGTGCACACCATGGCTGATGCCACGAAAAGTGTTTGATTCCTCAGCCAAATCGATTAGATGAGTGAGATGCGGGATTGATGCAAGGAAAACAGATTCTTTGATCTCATTGGAAAACACGTCCGGGATCCGGCCTGTCCAGGTGTCCAAGTCATCGCCTCGACGTATTATTGTTAGATTTTTGGTTTTCCCAGCAAAAGAAGCGTGTCCGCCGACATTGATATCTGTGCGAGAAGACCACGCATCTTGCACGCTCTTCATGATATATATTAGATGTTCACGGTCAACCGCAAGTTCTGGCACAGCAAGGATCACTGGAAGCAATACGCTTACGTTGCGCCCGAGCTCGTTCATTTTTGAGCATAATCTCTTATAAAAGGTAAACCTGTTGTTGCTCGGCGGGCGGGGTTCTGCATAGACGAAATAGTCAAATGCATTACTCATCCACATCCTCTGTATAGCGGAGGTATAGTCAAAGAAAAGATCGCTTTCTTTCTCAGCGTACGCTTTCTGCATAAGCAGGGCATTTGCGAACTTCTTCAAGCTGTGATGTCGGCGGAGCAAGATCGTGTGCAGGAAATCGGGGAGGATGATGCGTCTGACAAGTCGAGAGACGAGACATAAGGAGAGGGCGGTCGAGTAAGGATTTTTGATGTCATATTTCTCCCTTTGAGAAAACGTCGGCTGGGCTGCGTCTTTGCAGATGGTCAAGAAAATCTCGATAGGAAGGTCGCTGAATGGAGAGTCGATATCAGGCTCCATGATGGACAGGATAGATACGTAGCTCATTAGAATGACCCTGCCTTTAATACTTTCAGCGTCAATTGTATTCGCAGCAAGAGATGCACATTCAAGTTATGTTGTGACAACAAGGATAAAAAAAAATTGTGACCGATGGTCCACAACAGTGAACGTTTCTTCTAGGTCACACGATGTACTCTTGTCCTGCGGAAATTCCTATTTGCAATCCCCAAAGAACGTCATAGCAATGATGCGAATGTGGCATGAACCGTAGAATAACTGCACCATTCTGCGACTCTGCCTTTGTAGGCAAGGTGCGCATAAGACTTCTCCCAGTCATTGTTAGGCTCTCGTCTATTTGTTGTCAGCACGATAACCACTCAATCAACAAGCCCATTCAGTCAAGTCACTACGGCCGAAAGTCATCTATCTGACAAACAGTGTTACTCCTCAGTGCGGTTTTGTAGGTACCATCTACCAACGGCTTCCTACAATTATCCTCGTGTCGTTGCTCTATTGTCTGTCTATATGATAAGCATTTGATCCACAGATCCATCCCTGACTCACTATGTCTGATTTGGATGAAAACCCTGATGGTACGGAGTGATCTTGATGAGTTTGTAACTGATTGCTGATACCCAAGATCGTAATGATGTGTAGTTTGGACGCCTTATTATGATAGCCACCCCAAGGAGTCAACAAACGAGAACACACAACAGAGTCAAGACAAGTGCACTACCATCCTATGATCGTGCTATTCCATAGTGTTGCAGTCCCCACCATCTCAAGCTCGAGGACTAACCAGTTTGCTGATGAACGTTAACCCTTGCCAGGACAATAAGAACTACTTTGTTTCACAACGGTCTATCGCATGTGTTCGTTCATCGTGCACCCGCTGTTGTTGGTTTCCTTTCACTCTCTAGGATCTGGAACCGGGATCACGCTGCGACTAATGGCCCATGAATCATACAGTCTCCATCCTATTCATTGAGCTTGAGAAGTCTATAAATAAAAGTACAATCCGACAGAAAACCAATGGCAAGCGGGCACATATCCAAGATAGTCATATCAAAGCCTTTATCATCATCTGCTTGACATCCAGTACCCCTCATCCGTCGGTTAACCCACAGGCCCAAGCTTTATCCCAAGAGCAAAAATATTGTGAAAAGTAGGTCTTATCACGCGTAACCTCGAAGAAAACACCATCCGATTGTATCCTCTTATTTCCAGGATCCGTCACAGGAAACCACGGTGGCCCCCACGGAAAGGAGTTACGATGCTGGTTGAAAAGGGTAACAGACATTGTGAATCGCTCCACATGCAAGTCTATTCCTCTTGTGGCATATGCGGCATATGAAATTGACTCCAAATCATGGAGGGGAGGCAGATGGGGGTAGACCACTGAAAGGGTTTCAAGGCTCTTCATAGAATTCCATATATCGTCCCTCAAAAAAAACTCCGTGGTTTCTGGCAAGGTTAAACCACAGCTGATGCTGCGAAAATCGTGTGAGTCCTCAGCCAAATCGATCAGGTGAGTGAGATGCGGGATTGATGCAAGGAAAACGAATGTTATGACATGGTCGTAAATCGAGACCACGTCTTGGGCTTGACGTATTATTGTTAGATTTTTGGTGTTCCCAGGAAAAGAAGAGTGTCCGCCGACATTGAGATCTGTGCGAGAAGACCATGCATCTTGCACGCTGTGCATGATATACCTTAAATGGCGACGGTCAACAGCAAGTTCTGTCGCAGCAAGGATCACTGGAAGCAACACGCTTATGTTGCGCTCTCGCGCCTCATCTCTGTTTGAGAACAAATATCTGGCGTGCCAAAAAACGGGAGAGTCTTGGTTCTCCAACCGGGCCTCTGCATAGACGAAATAGTCAAATGCATCACTAATCCACATCCTCTGTACAGCGGAGGTATAGTCAAAGAAAAGATCGCTCTTTTTCTCAGCGTACGCTTTCTGCATAAGCAGAGCATTTGCGAACTTCTGTACGCTGTGGCGTCGGCGGAGCAAGATCGTGCGCAGGAAATCGGGGAGGATGACGCGTCTGACAAGACGAGAGACGAGACATAAGGAGAGGGCGGTCGAGTAAGGATTTTTAATGTCATATTTCTCCCTTTGAGAAAACGTCGGCTGGGCTGCGTCTTTGCAGATGGTCAAGATAATCTCGATAGAAAGCTTAGGTGCCATGATAGAAGGGTTAGATACGTAGCTCGTTAGAGATGGCCTTGCTTTTAATACTTTCAGCATCACTCGTGGCGTCAGATCCGCAGCAAGAGATGCATGTTCACGTTGTGTGTGAGGCCACACGTTGTGACAACGAGAGTTGTGACCAGTGGTCCATAACACAGTTATTGTCACCTGGGTTGCCCTATTAATAAGCCTTATTATACTTGGCAGTTACGTGTCTCGCCAACTATAATTAGGCTTGGTTTCATCAAATCCCTACACCAGCGTTAAATAGTGCCCCAGCTCCTCAAAATACCTTCAAAAAAACTATGTACACCTCACTATGGTGGGCGCGCGCGCGCATAGGCTATATTCGGTAAGCATCCCGCCCCGCCTTAATTGCGTCATATTCCTATTTTAATTCGGCACGCTCGGCAACACCTACTACGCTTCCTAATTCGAACCAAGGGGCCCTTCTCACGCTTCCTAGCTCTCCTCATCACTGTGCTCATCGTCCCTGCCGTTCCCTGCCTCCATCGTGCCCCCATTGTTCCGCCTTTGTCGTCGTCGTCGTCAACCTCCTTCGTTCCTGCCGTTTCCCACCTCCCTCGTGCCTTCTCAACCTCCTTCGTACCTTCGTCGTCGTCGTCGTCCGTACCTGCCGTTTCCCAACTCCCTCGTGCTTTCGTCGTTGCCCTCCTTCGTATCTGCCGTTTCCCGCCTCCCTCGTGCCTTCGTCGCCCCAACCCAGTAATGCCTCGTGCCTCAGGTGTCGGGAGGGTCAAAGGGCTCTCGAAATCCATCATTTCCCATGGTTTTAGAGGGGGTCATCGCTATTCCAAAGTCCTGGCAGCCGGCAAACAAAGCCAGCGTATGGCAGAGGCAGATTCCAGCCGCCAGGCTGCTATACAAGGTATGTACTATTTTCTTTTTTTATCATTAACGCTTATTGTTGTATTAGAAATGTCATCAGAGGACCGAAGCCGCGTCGAAAATATGATGGCAGATTTTGGAATGGACGTGGAGGTGTTCACCCATACAGTGCCTCCAGGTGAAGAGGCCTTTGACCTCAGTCACGCAGGTGGGGAGCATGAGGCATTTGAAGACCTTGCTCATCAACTGGCGGATCTAACTGGATAGTACGTATTCACCACTGTGTACAACTCTTCAAATATTAACACCCATTGTAGTCATCACATTGATCCACGAATTCGGGGAGAACGCATCGACACTCAAACCGCTCATTGGGGCCTTCAGATAGATCGTCTCGTTGACGCCTACTTAAACTATCGCAGTCGAGATTCCGGGGACGGTATGCCTGATATTTCAGATCAGGTCCTGTCAGGTGTCGATGCTTCATTCTCAATTAATGAGATTGAACTCATTGATACATTCAGTAAGTCTGAAACGTTCCTTGATATCTTGTACTTATTTTTTCTTTGCAGCACGAAGGCGCTCGCATCTACGACCTTTACCGTCTCATCAATACCCGAATGAAACCCTCATCTACTATGGGTACATCGGGTGTGCCCCGATGTATCCTTCTGTTGCCATCTCGCTTCGTACACTCGCTGCCTACCGTCAGTCGCACCGAACGTGTCCCCGGTTCAGTATCCAATCACAATGCAAGACTTTATGTTACCTTCACGATGTACATACATTCCTCACATTGAGGTTCGTTTATTTACGTTGAGTTTGTAGATTCCATATCGGCCATACTTAAAAATGCAATTCTCGGCAGCCTATGACGTTTTTCTAGAAATCCTCCATCGCATCAACCAGCGTCTGCGTCAGGCGCTCAAACGGGATACCGTCAACTGGCGTATGTTAAACACATGCCCTGCATGCTTTTACAAGCTCGACGATGAACCTGCCCTCGATTTTGAATGGCTGGTATCAATTGACGGTAACAATAGCCTGAAGCGATGGGACTCGTCCATCTATGGTACCACCGCCCGATCTGATTCTCGCACAGCTCGTTCGGATTATTGGATTCATGCTGACGCTGTTGACAAGTTTGAGAATGAAGTCAAATCCCGACAAGTAAGTGTTTACTATGTATACAACTATGTTCTAACATTATCTTTTAGACAGACTTGAGGAATGATGACGACTGGGAGGATGAGCCTACAGACCCGGATCATCCGGGAGCATTCACATGCGTCAATCGATGGAGAAACGCTGGCCCAGACTCATGTAAGAAGATGTTTGCCGTATTCCAAGAGTCAGGTATTTTTATCGCTTCATGCCGCCATCGCTTTGTGCTTCTCGCGTGTGATATGATCCGAAGCGGAGAACTGTAAGACCGCATTTTGATCTAATTTTTATATTACTAATGTATTCTGGCAGTGCGAAATATCCGATAGCGATCATCGACAAACTCCTTACGGTATATGGAAAAAATGGAGGTTGCGCGTACGATATCGGTTGCGCATTCTCGAAGACGTTAGCTAATAGTACGTTGGGCCCTCGTGCACACGATCTCGGCTTTCGGATGATGGTTGGCGCCTTCCATGGCCATGCGCACAATCGAAGGTGTCAGCTTGACTGGCACCCAATGTATATCTCTGGAACTGGCCATACTGAGGGCGAGGGTTGTGAGCATATCTTCTCTGCATCTAATGAGCTTGCGCGTAGCACAAGGCATGCTAACCGTTTTCATCGCCACCAAGCCATCGAGGAACATTTCGCTTTTTGGGATGCCGATAAGTATGCTGCACTTAGTAAGTCAAAAAATCAAGCTGTAATTGTAATACTGATGCCGCAGTGTCAGGTAATTATTTGTGGACTCATTATCGCGAAGCGTTGAAATCTGTTCGGTTGCTGACAGCCGAGCTAGAAACTATCAAGGCCGAGCTACGCCTTAGCGACAACGACTTCCCTGGATTCTTTGATCAGGAACGCATATATCTGGATGGTCTGAAGCAGCCAGCTCCACGAGATCGACTCTCTATACGTTACGTTGAAGTACTAGATGAACTCGCTGAAAGAAGGT